AGCAGTTTGACTTCACCCCAGGAGGCACACTCCATTGTGTTTCAAGACAGACAGATGCCAACAACAACAAATGTCACAGTGAGGGACGCTGCAAAGCAAAAAACTGTGCTGTACTGGCCAAATCTTTACAGCACACCCCATCACAGCTTGATATAAGTCAGCAACTATTATACAAAATATTGGCTGCTCCCTAGAGTGCTATTGGGGCCCTTGTGCTCTGGACCTCTTGAAGTCCATACCTTCTTGGAGGACCTTCTCTGTAGTGGTGCCCACCCTGTTGAATGTCCTCCCATCAGATGTCAAAGAGATGAGTAACTATATAAACTCTAGAAGGCACCTGAAGGCAGCCCTGCATAGGGAAGCTTTTTAAGGTTTGATGTATTATTATGTTTCCAGGGCACTTGCTGTTTATGTATATACCATAGTTGCTTGCTGAAATGCACAGGTTTAGAAATTTCATTAGCATTCTATACTGTAAGAACTTCTAGGGTGAATAGATTTGTAATGCATCTATGCACTATGAGCTGGAGAAATTAACACTCTGAATCAGGTAATTGCAATCATTTTTGAGGAACGGTGGGGCAGAAAATGAAATAATACTACATATTTAAACAATATTCATTAGCAGTTTAGATGGCTTTTTGCCATTTCTATGTATATTCAGAACAACTTCTAACTTTGAGGAGAAAATGCACTTAAAATGGTATCACTATTTGGACAGCTATATATGGCTATCTGGTGACATCATCAGTGCTAGCAGGTATAAGAAAAACAGCAACAACAACAACAACATGCTGAAACATCACATTTGAATACCAGGCAGAAATGGAGGATACAGAATGTTTTAACTAACTCTTTGGCTTTGTCCCCACCCACTTTTAGCATGTGGTCCTTGGACTAAAACAAACAAAAATCTTAATGATGAGTACAAATCTTAAAAACCAATTCTGCATATTGCTAGCTTATTTTGATAAACAATTGATAAATTATTGCCAGTGATAAACTGGTTCAAGAACAAGAAGATTGCTGTGATATAATTATGCTTTGAAATAACCTGCTGGTTCCACATTTGCTGATAACCCAGATGGTTCTCTGGCACAACAGTGGGCAACATTGCAGAAGTCATCTTTTGATGGATATAGATTTCCTTGAACAAGTAAGTGTTATCTGATTCTGAACTATATCAGCCAATCTCGAATTGCTGGCAGTTTGCATGGTGTATCAGCAGGAGTCCATTTATCAAGGCAGGTAATGAAATAGCAGCTGTGTGAAACAAAACTAATGTTAAGAGCCAACAGAAGTTCATTGTGAAGTGCCAAAAATGTTCAAATAGTTCTCAGAACAATTGCATAATGTGCATGCCAAAGCAATGAATTAGATTTATTTAGGAGTAGTTGAAAGACCAAAATAAAAAAAGACGATTATCAGTTAATAAAGGAAATAAAACTTAACGCAAAAACCACCAGCACATTTCACTGAATCAAAAACAGCTGAAATGATATGTCAATACAATGAAAATCAGATTATTATTATCTTGGCAGTGCAAATCCCTACCTGAGTGTGCTCCACTCAACATAATACAACTTACTTCCAAGTAAACTTGTAAATAAAGGATTTATCAGCAAAGCTTTCAAATTCATGGTGTTTGTCTTTCTCAAACTGGAAGTATAGAATTCAACAAATATTTTTCAAGTCACTTTGGCCAATTCCTTTGCTTCAAATTACATCTCTCCCCCCCAGAATGGTAAGTAAACTATTTTGGTAGCTAGCTATTGAAAGAGGAAAGGTTACAGGCACCAGGTAAAAGTGGCTAATGCATACAGCTCTTTCCCTGGTCAGTCATACAACTTTATGGACAGGAAAAGGTTGTGGGAGAAATTCAATTCAGTTCGCATTTAAAAGGTGAACCTACCCAGTTCAGTTTCTGAAATAACACAAGAACCGAAACGTAAATTCGCAATTCATGAATATTGTGATGCACTTTTCCAACCAAGTAATGTTTTAAAAAATCATGCATTAGTGAAAGCTGTGTGTTACAATGAATATATTTATGAAAATAACATGAAAAAATGCAGTATATTGCTTGCAAATGGTGCACTTTAGTCAAAATTGAAAACAAATGTGTTTATTAAGGGGGGAAATCACAGTAAAATGTGGTGAATTTTCATGATCTTTTTTATATAAAAATGTAAATTGCTGCAGAAATGAACTGAATTTAACATTAGAAAACTGAGAAACTTAAACTGAAATTAATTGATCAAGCCATCTCTTTTTGTAGGGGGGCACAATTGTGAATAGTCACTCCTATTCTTACGCTCTATGAGGCACAAAGATCTGTCTCTCCCCGCAGCCTGTATTCTAGCCTGCTATGCAGCTTCTGGAGAATTATTTACAGCCTTACTCTCATAAAATATGAGAACAAAGGACTCCAACCACAACCCTTCCAATATGGCGAATTTGCAATTCAATGTCTCTCATGTGACTTAAGGTTAAAATGGCACATCAGAGCTACCTGAGAACAATAGCAGTTTGTCATCAACCCATCAAGGCAGCTTGGAGAGCCCTTCTTGCTCTTAATTTAGCTTCAATGGAATCTTCCCTTTACCAATACACAAAGGCATTCCCATTTCAGCATGAATTAAACCAATAATACTTAAGCTCTGGGACATGAACACAACTTTTGTTTGCCCAGGCATTCCCTGACCTCTGATACCAGGTTATAGAATCATAGAATCATAGAGTTGGAAGAGACCACAAGGGCCATCGAGTCCAACCCCCTGCCAAGCAAGAAACACCATCAGAGCACTCCTGACATATGGTTGTCAAGCCTCTGCTTAGAGACCTCCAAAGGAGGAGACTCCACCACACTCCTTGGCAGCAAATTCCACTGTCGAACAGCTCTTACTGTCAGGAAGTTCTTCCTAATGTTTAGGTGGAATCTTCTTTCTTGTAGTTTGGATGCATTGCTCCGTGTCCGCTTCTCTGGAGCAGCAGAAAACAACCTTTCTCCCTCCTCTATGTGACATCCTTTTATATATTTGAACATGGCTATCATATCACCGCTTAACCTCCTCTTCTCCAGGCTAAACATGCCCAGCTCCCTTAGCCGTTCCTCATAAGGCATCGTTTCCAGGCCTTTGACCATTTTGGTTGCCCTCCTCTGGACACGTTCCAGTTTGTCAGTGTCCTTCTTGAACTGTGGTGCCCAGAACTGGACACAGTACTCCAGGTGAGGTCTGACCAGAGCAGAATACAGTGGCACTATTACTTCCCTTGCTCTAGATGCTATACTCCTATTGATGCAGCCCAGAATTGCATTGGCTCTTTTAGCTGCCGCGTCACACTGTTGGCTCATGTCAAGTTTGTGGTCAACCAAGACTCCTAGATCCTTTTCACATGTACTGCTCTCAAGCCAGGTGTCACCCATCTTGTATTTGTGCCTCTCATTTTTTTGCCCAAGTGCAATACTTTACATTTCTCCCTGTTAAAATTCATCTTGTTTGTTTTGGCCCAGTTCTCTAATCTGTCAAGGTCGTTTTGAAGTGTGATCCTGTCCGCTGGGGTGTTAGCCACCCCTCCCAGTTTGGTGTCATCTGCAAATTTGATCAGGATGCCCTTGAGTCCATCATCCAAGTCGTTGATAAAGATGTTGAATAAGACCGGGCCCAAGACAGAACCCTGTGGCACCCCACTAGTCACTCTTCTCCAGGATGAAGAGGAACCATTGATGAGCACCCTTTGGGTTCGGTCAGTTAGCCAGTTACAAATCCACTGAGTGGTAGCATAGTCAAGACCGCATTTTACCAGCTTCTTTACAAGAATATCATGGGGCACCTTGTCAAATGCCTTGCTGAAATCAAGGTAGGCTACATCCACTGCGTTCCCTTCATCTACCAGGCTTGTAATTCTGTCAAAAAACGAGATCAGGTTAGTCTGACATAACTTATTTTTCAGAAATCCATGCTGACTATTGGTGATCACAGCATTCCTTTCTAGGTGCTCACAGACTGTTTGCTTAATCTTCCCTGGTATTGATGTCAGACTGACTGGGTGGTAATTATTTGGGTCCTCTCTTTTCCCCTTTTTGAAAATAGGGACAACATTTGCCCTCCTCCAGTCTGCCGGGACTTCGCCTGTTCTCCAGGAATTCTCAAAGATGACTGCCAGTGGTTCTGAGATCACATCTGCCAGTTCTTTTAATACTCTTGGATGCAGTTCATCTGGCCCTGGAGACTTGAATACATCTAAACTAGCCAAGTATTCTTGTACTATCTCCTTAGTTATTCTGGGCTGTGTTTCCTTTGCTGAATCATTTGCTCCAAATTCTTCAGGTCGGGCACTGTTTTCTTTATCGGAGAAGACTGAGGCAAAGAAGGCATTGAGGAGTTCAGCCCTTTCTGTGTCCCCTGTTTGCATTTCACCATCTTCTCCTCTGAGTGACCCCACTGTTTCTTTGTTCTTCCTTTTGCTACGAACATACCCATAAAAGCCTTTTTGTTGCTTTTAACCTCTCTAGCAAGCCTGAGTTCATTCTGTGCTTTAGCTTTTCTGACTTTGTGTCTACACGTGCTGGCTATTTGTTTGAATTCCTCTTTGGTGGTTTCCCCCTTTTCCTTTTTTTTGTACACATCCTTTTTTAATCTTAACTCAGTTAAAAGTTCTTTAGATAGCCACCCTGGCTTCTTTAGGCACCTTCCATGTTTCCGTCTCATTGGTATTGCCTGACGTTGTGCTTTTACTATCTCCCTCTTAACAAACTCCCAGCCATCATGAACTCCCTTTCCTTTTAGTATTACTGTCCATGGGATCTCACCCAGCACTTCCCTAAGTTTTATGAAGTCGGCTTTCTTAAAGTCAAGAAATTGAGTCCTAGTATGCTTGGCTGCTCCTTTCCGCTGTATAGTAAACTTCAGAAGAGCATGATCACTCGCGCCTAATGATCCTTCCACTTCTACCCCACTAACCAGGTCATCAACATTGATTAGGACCAGATCTAAAATGGCTGTTCCTCTTGTTGCTTCTCCCACTTTCTGGACAATGAAGTTGTCTGCAAGGCCAGTGAGGAATCTGTTTGACCTTATGCTCTTGGCTGAGTTTGGCATCCAACAAATATCCGGGTAATTGAAGTCCCCCATTACTACTATCTCCTTCCTTTTGCATGCTTGGCCATCTGTTCCAGGAAGGCATCATCTATGTCCTCCGTTTGGCTTGGGGATCTATAGTAAACTCCCACAATGAGGTCACTGTTATTCTTCTCTCCCTTAATTTTCACCCAAATGCTCTCACTTTGGCTTTGAGGTTCTAAATCTTGGATCTCTTCACAGGTATACACATCCCTGACATATAACGCCACTCCTCCTCCTATCTTGTCTGGTTTGTTTCTCTGAAATAGATTGTATGCCCCCATTATTACATTCCAATCGTGGGACTTATCCCACCAGGTTTCAGTGATGCCTACTATGTCATATTTAGTTTGCTGTACCAAGAGCTCAAGCTCATCTTGTTTATTTCCCATGCTTTGCGCATTAGTGTACAGACATTGAAGTCCATTAATCATTCCCCCGTGTCTCTTATTTAAGGATTTTTTTCCTCCCATCACTAGGTCTGCGTGCTGTTTGCTGCATTTGGTCTATGACATTTGGATGATCATCTTCATCAATTGATAGACTCCTACCTTCAGGAGCACTGTCTCCCTCCCCCACATTAGTCAGTTTAAAGCCCTCCTGATGAGGTTTCTGAGATTTTTGGCAAAAACATTTCTCCCAACCGCTGTGAGGTTCAGCCCATCACTTGCCAGAAGTCCATCTTCAAGTAACTGCAGTCCGTGATCTAAGAATCCAAACCGTTCCTGTTTACACCATTTGTGAAGCCAGCTGTTCACTTCCACTATTTTTCCCTCTCTCCCTGGGCCACGTCGTTCAACTGGGAGGACAGGTTCCTGGCTACTATATTTGTGGTGTTCTCTTTTTATTTTATATGCCTTTTTTTATTGTCCATGAAGTTTTCCTGGCAGGGATACTGGAGTAGATTGCCAGTTCCTTCTCCAGGTGGATCATATTTGGTCTAAACTCTCGGCTATGACCTGTCCATCTTGGGTGGCCCTACACGGCATAGCTCATAGCTTCTCTGAGTTATTCAAGCTCCTTTGCCACAACAAAGCAGTGTTCCATGAAGATCAGTGGAAGACAGGAGTGCCTGGCATGCTCTGGTCCATGGGGTCATGAAGAGCTGGACACAACTAATCGACTAAACAACAATATTTTTATTGTATTTTATTGCAAATCACTTTAAAAACAACAAACCAACCAACCAACCAACCAGCCAAGTAGCAGTGTCTGTGTTGCAGAAAACAAGGGCATCACTACTGCCATTTTCAACAAAGTAAGCAAGTACTGGCCCAAACTGAGGTGACCTTTACCTGTCCCTGAAATAGCCCGATTTTATTCCTCATTCCCAAATATAAGAGTCAAAACTTTTCAATGAAATAAACAGAACGTTTGTGTTCCCTGGGAGAATATTGTGAAGATTTCTTGTGTACACTGGATTAAGACCATGGCTTCTATTTATGCCCAAATATATTATGTTACTGTAAATAGCGCCTTCAGGGGTGAACTAAAGTCAGGGAGGGGAATAAATTTGGGCAGGCCATGATCCGTGGTGGAAACAAGTTCTGCAACTGCCAAAGTGACACTGCCTTCTTTACAGATGTTTCTGTGATAATGTGTAGTTTGGCTTAGACTGCAGTGGTTCTCAACCTGTGGGTTCCCACATGTTGGACTACAACTCCCATCATCCCTGGCCACTGGTCATACTGGCTAGGAATGACAGGAGTTGTAGTCCAACAACATCTGGGGACCCACAGGTTGAGAAACACTGGCTTAGAGTCTTGTAGATATATTCTCTATCCCCCATGCTGGGATGAAGGTCACATGGCCTCCCAGCTCATGGTGTGGGGCTGCAGTTAGATTTTATAGTGGTTATTTTCATATGAAAAGTGGCTTTTCAATCACAGAAAGGTAGTCTGTAGAACCATTTTTTGCACACAGGGGAGCGTTTTTGTTTGTTTTTAAAAATATGCTGTGTGCTATCCAGGGATTGCCATAATTTGATAGTTCATAGAAGACTCCGGTTCTATTAGTGTATTCAATGAACAATATAAATATAGATTAAAATGGAGCTTTTCAAACTTGTTTTATTCATACACAATGGATTTAACAATCATCAGTTTCCCCCACAAAAATAATATTCCATAATGTTTACTATTTGGTTCTCTCCTCCCTGAAGAATGACATGAATCTAGTTTTATTTGAGGTACTGAGTGTAAATTGAATAGCATTCCTTGGAAACATGAAATTTAATGACTTGAAAATTTACAAATGATGATATTCCAGTGAGACAATATCCCCATGAGGGATTCAATGTCTTGTACATATTGTTGGAAATAATCAGCAGTGTCGAATAAATATAGAGTATAACAAACTGAGAAAAAAAAAGAATTTTATTAATGTGTAATATGAACCATGCAGCCCTATGTATGTCTACTCAAAAATAAGTCCCACTGAGTTTAATGGGGACTACTCCCAGATAAATGGGCATAGGATTTCAGCCTAAACAGAATGCACTATTCAGAAGTAAATATGCACAGGAATGTAGCCTTATGATGCCTTACATATAATCTATTAAATTAGTCAATTGGGGGTTTAAATGGACACGTGATTAGAGGAGATCATGTATGCTCTGCCCCCCCAACATACATTTGCTCCTTTGCTAAAACTGCTTCTCCACTTTTGCCACATGGTTGCTGTTTCCTGATTTTTTCCTCTTTCCCTGGCACCAACCTGCTTGTTGGCTCGCTAGCTTGGCAGAAGATAGCCATACTCTGCTCCAGAGCTGGGATCTTGGTAGCAGCCCAGGCACCTCACTATAGATATGAAAATGGCACTTACGGGAAGAAGAGGGCAGGGATTATGCATTGTACTCATGCAGAATAGTTCATTTCCCATGTCCTCACACTTCCATGCTGCTGTCAAGATTGCTGTAAAGCTGGCACTTGGAGATACCCTCGTACCTACGGTCTTCAAATAAAAACATCTTGAAGGTCCCAGGCCACAGAGAAGTTAGGCTGGCCTCAACTAGAGCCAGGGCTTTTTCGGCCGTGGCTCCAATCTGGTGGAACACTCTGTCACAAGAGACCAGGGCCCTGCGGGACTTGACATCTTTCTGCAGGGCCTGCAAGACAGAGCTGTTCCACCAGGCCTTTGGCCAGGGCACAGCCTGACTCCCTCCCTCGGCAATCTTCGCGGAGCTCTGGCCCAATGGTTGCCAGTGGCTTGAATTAATTAATTTTATAATGAATGATTTTAGAGTGTTGTTTGTGCTGTACTTTTGTACTGTTTTATTGTTGTTAGCCGCCATGAGCCCGGCTTCGGCTGGGGAGGGCGGGATATAAATAAAATTTTTTATTATTATTATTAATATGCACCTGGATTACAAAGTGCATTTAATCATTTGCACTTTGATATCCAAGTTGTGGTTTTCCTGAGAGATCAGCAGCAGCCTGGGGTTTACCACATCCAGGGTTGAGGTGAGGCAATAGAAAACTGGGTGCTTCAGTTTTAGTGGGGCATACTGGAAAGTGGGGATTGGAGGGTCAATTTCTTGGATATATCCACACCATGCATTTAAAGCACAATTACCGTATTTTTCGCTCCATAAGGCGCACCAGACCATAAGGTGTACCTAGTTTTGGGAGGAGGAAAACAAGAAAAAAAATATTCTGAATCCCAGAAGCCAGAACAGCAAGGGGGATCTGGCTTTTAGGATAGCCTCTGGCTGTCCTGGCTTATGGGATAGCCGTGCGCAGCCTCTCCCGGGCAGTGGGATGAAGGCTCCCCCTGCCTGAAGAGGCTGCGCGCAGCTAAGGCAGAAGCCACGAGAGGTGCTTCGCTAAGGGGCGCTGTGCAGTTCTCCCTCTCTGCGCAGCGCCCCTTCAGCAAAGCAGGAGGAGGAACAGAAGGAGCCCCTTCCGTTCCTCCTCTGGCTTTGCAGGACAAGCGCTGCGCAGAGAGGGAGAACTGTGCAGCACCCCAGAAGGGGCTTCGTTCCTCCTCCCGCTTCACTGAAGGGGCGCTGCACAGCTATTCCTCTCTGTGCAGCACCATTCACTCCATAAGACACACTCACATTCCCCCTTACATTTTAGGAGGAAAAAAGTGTGTCTTATGGAGCGAAAAATACGGTAATATGTGAAGGACATGGTTTCTTCCAAATTATCCTGGGAACTATAGTTTACCTCACAGAACCAGAGTTCATAGCACCCTTAAACTACAGTTCCCAATACTCTTTGGGGGAACCCGTGTGATTCATATACAATGTACATGTGTCCTTGGCTGCCTAATTGTTGGGAAGCAGATAACAGGGAAGGGCTCTTGCCTTCAGGCTCTGGTGAAGGGATTTCTGGTGGCTTCTGGATGGCCACAGAGCAAATTAGGAACCTGGACCAAATGATCTGATAGAGCAAGGCACTTTATATATTGTGAAAGTGAAGATTTCCTCTCTTTCGTGTATATAAAAACCAGGCAATTATTTATTCTAAATTTATGTCCCTTGACATCCGAGTTCTCTGTGTGCCCCAGTATTCTACCAAGCCATTATTTTTAAATTAATTGGGGAAATTAAAAACATTGCCTAAAATGCTTAGCAGCATTTGACACATCTGTCCTGAGCCAGGGGAAAACAGTATAAAATTAAAGAGAGCCACAAGACAGCATGTCCCTGTGTCTGAGGATCCAGCATTCATTTAGATAGCCTCTCAATATACTGTGACCCAAATAGGACGTTTCCCCCTTTCGAGGCAGAAGAACTTTTTTGCTCTTAGCAGTTCAGGTTATTTGGTTCAGAGCACTGTAGTAGACCTAACGTATCCAAGTGGCCTGCTCCTTTCCTCCATTCTGATTCTGTTCTACCTCAATGGTGTTCCATATTTAGTTACCTATGCCCTGTATATTTTCCCTGCTCTTAGTACAATAAAATATTTTTTAAAAACCCATTCATATCAGGCTTCAGAAAGAGCAGTGAAGAGGAAAAGTAAAAGAAATATTTTAATTTCAAATATAATTATTAAATGGAGTGTTACAGAGTTGAAAAGATGTACAGTGCATGGAACTCCTCCCCCCTCAGTTATTTGATAGTGTTATTTTCTACCAGAACAAGTTCGGATAATACCTTTAATGCGAGACCATGAGGTGAAAACGAAAGGACAGCTAAAGACTATCAAATGAAAAGGGTAATGGCAACAGTACTTTGAATCAGAAGGGCTCAGAGAATTACAGTAAAATTCAGTTTTACTTAACATTTGGAAAAGGGCAGTGACCACACATTACCACCTTCTGAGGCAAATGGCAGATTGGGAAATGAACAGCAGAGCAGAAAGTGAAATAAAGGAAAGGAACTTAGAGAGAATAAGGAACTTGGGAAAATATACTTGGTGGGGAGGGAAGACTGGATTAAAAAAACAAAAAACTTTAAATATATGTGCAATAGTATAGACCAGCTGCATCCAATCTTATAGTATGGAAACCATGTAATACTATACACACAGTGATTCCAGAGCAGGGGCATGTTGAATGAGAGCAGCCAAATCCATAAACATGTTCCAATTTGTAGGCCAATATGAGTGGGGTTATAGTATTTAGATAGTAGTCGAGGTATGAGACAGAAAATCTTTCCGTCAATGATTTAATCATATGTTCCACAGAACCTGCTAAATCAGAGTTGGAGAATCTGGCGTAGTTGGGCTGCAACTCCCACCATGCCTGACCACTGGTCAGTCAAGCTGGGTCTAATTGGAATTGTAGTTCAAAACTTATTGGTGGCACTAAGCTGGAGAAGACTGATGCAGAACAATAGATGACTGAATGAACATAAGAACACTGCAAAATCCCCCTCAAAATTAGTAGAACCCCTGACTATGCTGGTGTGGTGGAGGTATGATAGAGAACAAAAGAAAATCCCACTGGATCAGGCCAATGGCCATGTAGTTCCTATTCTCAGAGCAGCCAGTCAGATGTCTATGAGAAGCTTGAAAGCAGGACCTGAGTGCATGAAAACTGTTGCTACTTATTCCCAACAACTGGTATTCAAACACTGTTTCCAATAGTGGAGGTAGAAGGAGCGTCTCCACCCCCATCGTTCAGCCCGGACACTGAGATCCAGCACCAAGGGCCTTCTGGCAGTTCCCTCATTGCAAGAAGTGAGGTTACAGGGAACCAGACAGAGGGTCTTCTCGGTAGTGGTGCCCACCCTGTGGAACACCCTCCCTTCAGATGTGAAGGAAATAAGCAGTTATCTTATCTTTAAAAGACATCTGAAGGCAGCCCTGTTTAGGGAAGTTTTTAATATTTAATACTGTACTGTTTTTAACATCTGATTGGGAGCCACCCAGAGTGGCTGGGGAGACTCAGCCAGATGGGCAGGGTATAAATAATGAATTATTATTATTATTATTATATAACATGGGAATCATGGTTAGTAGTCATTGATAGCCTCTTGCTACATGAAATGGAAGCCATCCAAGTTGGTGGCCATCACTAATTCCTATGTGAGCAAATCCCATACTTTAAATATATATTGGGTGAAGAAACTCTCTTTTGCCTGTTCCAAATCTTTCAGCATCCATTTTTATTCGATGTCCATGAGTTTTCATGTTTTTTCCATACCATACGGGAGGTTGTGGACTCCTTCCTTGGAGGTTTTTAAGCAGACTTTGGATGGCTATCTGTCATGGAAGCTTTAGTTGAGATGCCTGCATTGCAGGGACTAGATAACCCTTGGGGTCCCTTCCAACTCCACAATTCGATGATTCTAAACCAAGGTAGCAGAGTAGCCACTACTTTCAGTGGGACCACTGTGCTTGCAGGACACTGCCAGTTCAAAGGAAGAAAATGTTAGAAGAGTCGACTGTGGCAGGAGAGCAGAATAGATTATTCTGCTACAGATGTGAACTAAGACATTGTTTTGCATTAACACAGAAGTCTTTCAGGTACAGACACACTCAAAATCCAGATGCAGTCCTCTGAGGCGGAAGCTGAGTAGAGAGACCTCATTCTTCTGTGATGCTGTCAAAAGCTCCACAACAGATGCTGCTCCACAGTTTCAGGTGTCTTTGTTTTTCTGAGTTAGATGAGATCCTGCTCCCATGCCTATTTGCTGCTTCCCTCCTCTTTAAACATCAGCATATAGGTGTCTGGGAATCTAGTCCCGATTGAGGTTCTGGGGTTTATGTGCGTTAGTATTGAAAAGCATTACACGTTTCTGGTGTGCACCAGCTTTGCCCAGTAATTGCAATGCATGGTGCTGTGACTGCCTGCTCATTCCTGCATTCAACTGATTGCATACTGCATTCCTCCATCCCCTCCCCACATTTGGTCTCAGTCTGATAATATGGCCCACAGTCCTGACTGCCAGTGCATAACGATTCTCTGTAGGGTTCATCACTGAACCAAATAATGCCAGAATGAGGATAGATACACACTAATATGCTTCTTAAATGGTGTTCTGGAGGGGAAATTCAGTAGTATGGCACAATAATGGACCCACTTATTTAGATGCCTCCTAGCTCTATCATTCTAGGGCTGTGATACTGGGAAGAACAAAAGCTACCCACTCCCCACCCCCAAAAGCAAAATAGGATTGAGCTGGCTATATAAATAGAGCATGCTGGAGAAGGCAGTTCTCTTTATTTTGGCATGAGACATGATTATGCAAAACCATGGAGTTTAGCCTACAAAAGTAATGAAGTATTCAACCCTGTACTGATGCATTTTGTTAACTGCTGTTAATCCTAGATATCATTCTGTACTGCTATGAAAAGAAAAGAAATGGCTACGGTCAGTAAGCATTTAGCACTCCCCTCCTCTCCTATTATTGGCACTCATCTGATTTCAGGGGTTTTGTCTGCTGTGCTGGAGGTTGCGCTTTTCATAAACATCAACTACATCCCATCTTAAATAGTATGCAAAGCAGTGCATAATCCACATAGTGGCTCCAGGGCAGTAGCGTGCTGGATGAGAACATCCAAACCCATGAAAATGTGCTAATTTGAAGGCTAATATAGGTGGGGAGCTTAGTATTCATGCCATCATCTAGCTATGTGCCAGATACTGTTCCAGTCATAAGTTGCATAGAATCTGATGGTTCATGGTTGGAGAATCTGTTGCCAGATGGCACAATGAGGATGCGATGGAGGCAGCATAGTATGCTCTCTTTGCTGCCTTCACTGCTGCTAGGTAGGCTCGCCCTAAGTTCTAGAGAATACCAGGGAGCCAAACAGGCTACACAGAACAGGAGTGGTCACTCAGGAGCTATCATGTCAATGGCCCAAGCTATTTTGATGTTCCAGAGGTTGGTCAGGGCTTTGACAAGAGTGCCAGTCATGTCAGCTGGAAAATCCTCCAGGACCTCCTGGAAACTCATTGGATCCATCAGATGATCGTAATAGGTCCCCCACCTCTGCAGAGGGGAAAGGTGCTGAAAGCCTAAATCTCAAGAAGAAGTGACTTGAGCCCACTTTCAGATCACCCTTTTCATGCCCAGTTGAGAAAACAAGGTCCAGAGTGTGTGACCTACCACATGTGTTGTGCTGATAGTGTGTTGGGACAGCCCCATGGTTGTCATGGAGGCCATGAAATCTTGGGCCACTCCAGAGCCAATCACCTCAGCACACAGACCACAAACCAGCAGTCTAGGAGTCTGACACTGCCTCCAAGACCAGCTCTGTCAACTCAGGCAGGGAGATTGCTGGGCAGTGAGGTGGATGGTAAACCAGTAGAATCCCAGTTGAGTAAAAATAGGATCCAGTGTATGTTTGGTTGTGGCTAGCAGGTGGCTCCCACAACAGTTTCTCCTGTTTGCAGATATGCCCGTGGGTGCAAAAAATGTTGGTAGGCCTGGTTTTATAGTCTCAAAAATAGTATTATCAAAATGCTGGATGGTTGTGTACAATGGAACTATTTAAACATTTAAAATATGTATATATAAAATCTATGTCACTAGCAAAAAGTTGGGGATATAATTAAAACAGACATATTTCATATTCTGTATTTCATGAAACTACTAATCCTCTAATAAATTTCATTAAGATGATTTTTGATTCCATTTTGGCTGCCTGACAAAAAGACTAAAATTCTTTGCAAGTGTTTGTTCAATTTCTGTTTTTCTCCCTATCCTAATTTCAATTTTTATAGCTTCATTTTGAATATACTGTTTTTTAAAGCAATATTAAAGGCTTGCAAAGCTTTTGTCAAATAAAATGAAAGAGTCAAATTATTTATATTTAATTAGATACAGTTCTTATTTAGGCACAACTGCTTCTTGTTCTTTAAGGTTTAATTCTTATCAAGTAAACTCTTAAATCACTCATTGCTTATTAGCCAACCCTTGTGGGGGTTTAATATTTTAAACCTATTCCATAAAAATGAAGCTAATCTGCCATGTAGTTTCAGTTCCAAAACATCGTCCATAAATTGTTGTTGTTGTTTTAAAAAAAACCTTCAAATCTGAAAATTACTGTTAACTAAAAATGTGATTCCTTACCTGAGCAGACATGGATGAGAGGATGGAGACTGAAATAAATTTATGTTTGGGAAACTAAATTATAACAAAATAAAGGATAAGACAGAAAACAAATTGGTTTGAATATTGTCAGCAGAGCAATGAATGAGATTTCAATGACTTCAATGGGGTGTGGTTGGGGAGGGGTTGTTACCTGTGGCAAATCCTGAGGGATAGATTGATAATCCTTTCGATGCTTCCCACATGTATTCAGATAACTGATTAATTTTATGTATTATCTCCATGGATATATACCACTGCGTTATCAATTTAAACCAGTTTCCCCTTATGGTTGAACTTAAGATCAATGGGCCCTTCCCCACAAATTCTAAATTTCCAGTAGAATGTTCATCCCTATGTTTTTAACCCATTAAAAATGTACTTATTTGTTTGGGTTCAATGCCATATTTTAAGAGCAATATTTCTGATAGCACACTCTTGAATTTGTATAGCAATTTTTCAAATTCAGTGGGTTCTTTCATTTTTTGATTAATTTATTATTGATCTTATTTGAACATACTTGAGCTGTGGTGGGTTGGTGTGGCTCAACATTTTTCTGCTTTCTGAGTAATCGATCATCCTATCTTGCTTTTTTCAAATTTGCCTAACTGAAAAGATTATTTGCTCTCCAAATTTTCAAACTTTTAGCCACTTCTGCACTTAACTATTTGCATTGGAGAGACTTAACCTTATAATGATCCCATATTTCAGCCAAGTGGAAATCAGACAATTAGGAAACAAAACATTATCATCCAGGGTTTTGAAACACAACCTGTGCACAGTGCATGTAGCTCCTGCCTTAATGCAGTACTTTTATAAGTAATCCTTAGGGTTTCTATTAAGGATCATATTCTATTGAATTTTATAAGTTAAGCTCACAATGCACAAATAGAAATGATTATTTCAGTTATCTGAAGTAAAGAACATTTGATCTTTTGGGGAAAATATATATATGATGTGTTATCTCTTGATAACTCAAGCAGTGATCATCTACATTTCATGGTGGGGTGGGATTCAGGAGGAATTGTGTAACTTATTTTCAGGCAAGGATTTTCTTTCTGCTTCTAAATAGGAGCCTGGTTGCTTTGATTTCAGCAAAATTCCCTTACAAAGCTTTTATTTCAGACATTGGTTGCTAAAATGGGATCCTAAGCTTCTGGGCTTTATTGCAGGTGTTAGGGAACATTTGAGAGGCTGAGATTCAAAGGACAAGAAAATAAATAGAGGATAAAATGCCTTCAATTTACAGCTGAAAGCACGACATGAAAAGAAGATGAAAAGAGAGAGAGGTAGTCCCCCTCCCCCATTACGTACTTTCTTTTACTTTTCTTCAGATGAATTTATTATTAACTCCAAATGTACCAGTTCTGAAACTGGAATGATCTTGTATTGATTAAGGGACATAGAAAGTACACCAGAGAGTTCACAATTCAGGTAAGGTTTTCTTTATCGCTGAAAAGCCTAGCTATATGCTGCAGCAGTTTGTGTAGGAAGCTGGAGTTTTATCATGCTGAAGCTTCCCTTCCCTAACTATTTGGATCATCCCTCACCTTTGAACGCAGTAGGGAATAGCCAGACAGAGATGGAGGCATACCATCATCTGGTGTGCCATGCACAGGGTCCTTTGCCTCCCAGAAGCAGAACAAAGGGAGACCAGGCTAGTATGTGGGATTTGCTAGGCACAGGGCAAGGAGCTATAATTGGAGAGCCTACCTCCTGTTTTGCAAAGTGTGTTCTCCTTCATGGAGAGCACAGGTTGCGGGCGGGGCTCACAAGACACCTCACTGTTACTAGGCAAATGGCCATCCTTTAAGCAGGGGCGGGCTGTTACTGGGGAAATCTAGATGTTGCCATTTGCTGATTGACAGCCCTATTTGTTAAATACAATGCTCGCAGCGAAGAACTTCCTCTTTTCGCTGCTTACTTCGGATCACCCACCCTTCCTTCCCTAATTTTAGGCTGTTTGCTTGACCTTTCTATGCCTGTCATGGGGTCGTCTGCTTTGGGGCAGGGGCCCGGTAGGAATTTTGTCCATTTGGCTGGTAGTGTGTGCCACTTGGTTTTTGCCTACTGCGTAGCAAATCGTCACAACTTGCAAGGTTTGCGGTTAGGCATTGGTCTTGGAACTGGTTGGTGGAGGGGTATGGATTTGGCTGTGCCTGCCCCTCCAAAATGCTGCTGCTGCTTCAAGGGTTTTCTGTTAAAGGAACCCAGGAGCTCCCCATGCTTTTGTCCGAAACCCCCTGGCAAGGGGCTAGGGCCACGCAAGCCCCTGGGAGCATGCTGGGGAGAGGTGAGGCATGGTTCCCAGTCCCGTCTCTCTCCCCATGTGACTTACCCTTGCTGACTTCACGGGGGGTGTGAATGTCAGAGCTGTCCCCGTGCGGGGTTAGTTAGTGCTACCAATGCCTAAGCAACCACTCACATTGCTGTAATTTGAATAAAGTTGTGGCCAAAATTATGCCAAAAACCTTAAACAAAAATTGTCAATTGTGTTTTTCTTTGGGGGGGGTGTTTGAGGACCTTGACGCGCAACCTGTTTAATGGTAGGGCTAGTATTGGCTGTCTTCCTTGCCTTTTGAGCACAAAAAGGTGGAGATATTAAGGATTCTAAATAGCTTCCTATGTGAGTGGATGTAATGTGTAGCCAGACTTTTAGAGAAGTTCTTTTGTTTCTTGTAAAGGATGCAAAACAGGAACACATACAGACTAAAATGTTGGGTGTAACCCTCTCATACACCTCCAAGTGCATAATTGTCTATTAATTGCACAAGAATACAATGGAACTCCCAACTGTTTATCTTTAAAGTGTACAAGAATGAATTGGTAAAATATTATTCTCTACAGCATACGACATGCTGCATTTAGTTCAGGCATCATTAGATCGTCTGAATCCATTAATTAGAACAACTATCCTAAAGGTCCATTAAAACAAAGAGGAACTGACAATTACCCTTGGGTAAGAAATATATGTCACCTTATTTGGTATTAACAAATACTATAGCTAACTGATTAATTGTTTTATCCCTTTAGGCTTATAAAAATAGATACACCTCTGGGTAAGTCATAACCACTAAATCATTAACATCATAACATGAAAGAAGTATGGAATTTGCAATGTAAATTGATGCGTAAAAAAACCATATCCCTTAAGGTTTTGAACCTTATTTCACAAAATGCTATTTCCCAGAACTGTAGCTCAATATACAAGAAGCAAAGACGTTATAAGTCACGGTCAAACTGAGCTGCCTTAAAAACAACTAAAAAATGCATTTTCCCCAAACAAAACAAATCCCTGATCATCATATGCATATATTTTAACTCTCAGTTGACAATGTCAAAGATAATTTTTCATAGAACCTTTCAGCCAGGCACAAGTGGGAGGAGGGGACAGCCAGGTGTACTTGCCCTGGGTCTTGGAGGGCTACGCTGGCTGGGGGGCCCCACCAGGGACTGGCTGCTTTTTTGTATGAAGTTATAAAAAAATCCTATGAAGTTATAAAAAAATCCTTAAATAAGAGACACGGGGGAATGATTAATGGACTTCAATGTCTGTACACTAATGCGCAAAGCATGGGAAATAAACAAGATGAGCTTGAGCTCTTGGTACAGCAAACTAAATATGACATAATAGGCATCACTGAAACCTGGTGGGATAAGTCCCACGACTGGAATGTAATAATGGAGGGATACAATCTATTTCAGAGAAACAGACCAGACAAGAAAGGAGGAGGAGTGGCGTTATATGTCAGGGATGTGTATACCTGTGAAGAGATCCAAGATTTAGAACCTCAAAGCCAAAGTGAGAGCATTTGGGTCAAAATTAAGGGAGAGAAGAATAACAGTGACCTCATTGTGGGAGTTTACTATAGATCCCCAAGCCAAACGGAGGACATAGATGATGCTTTCCTGGAACAGATGGCCAAGCATGCAAAAGGAAGGGAGATATTTGTTGGATGTCAAACTCAGCCAAGAGCATAAGGTCAAACAGATTCCTCACTGGCCTTGCAGACAACTTCATTGTCCAGAAAGTGGGAGAAGCAACAAGAGGAACAGCCATTTTAGATCTGGTCCTAACCAATGTTGATGACCTGGTTAGTGGGGTAGAAGTGGAAGGATCATTAGGCGCGAGTGATCATGCTCTTCTGAAGTTTACTATACAGCCAAGCATACTAGGACTCAATTTCTTGACTTTAAGAAAGCCGACTTCATAAAACTTAGGGAAGTGCTGGGTGAGATCCCATGGACAGTAATACTAAAAGGAAAGGGAGTTCATGATGGCTGGGAGTTTGTTAAGAGGGAGATACTAAAAGCACAACTTCAGGCAATACCAATGAGATGGAAACATGGAAGGTGTCTAAAGAAGCCAGGGTGGCTATCTAAAGAACTTTTAACTGAGTTAAGATTAAAAAAGGATGTGTACAAAAAATGGAAAAGGGGAGAAACCACCAAAGAGGAATTCAAACAAATAGCCAGCACGTGTAGACACAAAGTCAGAAAAGCTAAAGCACAGAATGAACTCAGGCTTGCTAGAGAGGTTAAAAGCAACAAAATGGCTTTTATGGGTATGTTCGTAGCAAAAGGAAGAACAAAGAAACAGTGGGGTCACTCAGAGGAGAAGATGGTGAAATGCAAACAGGGGACACAGAAAGGGCTGGACTCCTCAGAGCTTCTTTCTGACAGAGCTGCTTGGCAGTGGAATGGACTCATGCAAGACATGGTGGACTCTCCTTCAATGGAGGTTTATAAGCAGAGGTTGGATGGCCATGTCATGCATGATCTAGTTGAGATTCCTGCATTGCAGGAGGTTGGACTAGATGAATCTTGGGACCTTTTCCAGCTCTACAATTCTATGATTCCAAATTTAAACCACTTGGCATGATCTAGTTTTAGATGCACTGAGTTCGTAAAAGCTAGCAATCCCAGCTAGTGATATAAGTCAGCCTGCTCTCAAGGTGTATTTTCCAGCCATATATTTAAAATAAGGGGTCTTAAAACCTGCACGTGATATGGCTGTCAGAAGAAAATGAATAAACACTTCTACTGGGCACCCCCAACTCCACCCTGTTTTAAAGCAGCACGTTGGCTTGTGACTTTTGTATTGATAATAGATTTCCAGAAATGCCTTGATCTGTGTACAGTTATTAGTTTCCTACCATGTTGCATTACCAATGCACCTGAAACATGATGTGTATAGTACACTTGAGAAACTAGTAGTGAATGAACTCCTCTAATATCAGAAAACCAACTATTGTTAATGATAATAACATGGAGAAACTGCTCCATGCAAGTCTATTTGCCAATTTGGGGGGTAATGACACCATCAGGAGTGTGGTAGGACCCAAATCCTTTTCATTTGACAAACCCCTTAACCTGTTACTCTCTCCTTTCCCTTTTTCATTCGCCTAGAGTGATGTGGGATGTTCTCACTGAAATCTAATCTGAATGCAGAATCTCAGGTACTTTTTTCAGATGGCAGGAAGCCATACCTGAGTCACTAGCCCCTGAGCCCTGAGACTCTCAGTGCATGACCCAGGATAGTCATAAGAAGGTTCCTTCCCAGGTCCAAAGCCCTGAGTGGCAAGCCCAGGGAAACCCCTTTCACCATCTTGGTGCCTTGAGCACTCACTGATGCTCTTACCTGTATTTGTTACTTCCTGAACACCCCACTTTTGGGACCTAATGAACTCCCTAATTAATGTGTAAACACATCACATTATTGTCAAAAATACTCCCTAGGTAAACATGGGGGGGGGTATCCCTCAAGTACCAGTATGGTTGATAGGGAGAATATCTCTATTGAAGCATATATGACCACATGAAACTACACTGAAACCCAAGAGCAAACAGGTGTGTAGGAATTACAAGCATTCGGGGTTTATATACCTAGGCTAGCTCTACCTCTGAGCCACCAATTGCTTACAGAGGACTCAGCTAGATTGGTAAAGAAAAAGTGATTTCCTATATACAGTATGCATTGTATATGCAATTTAACATTTTGCCACCAGATGGCGATGCGGAGTCCTGTTTTTCTCTACAGTACTTGTTTTCCCTGTTTAAATTTACAGTGGTACCTCGGGTTACATACACTTCAGGTTACATACGCTTCAGGTTACAGACTCCGCTAACCCAGAAATAATACCTCGGGTTAAGAACTTTGCTTCAGGATGAGAACAGAAATTGTGCGGTGGCAGCGGGAGGCCCCATTAGCTAAAGTGGTGCTTCAGGTTAAGAACAGCTTCAGGTTAAGAACAGACCTCCGGAACGAATTAAGTATGTAACCAGAGGTACCACTGTACAATGCTTTCAACTAAAGCGCTTCTTTGGTGTGTCTAGCTCCAGCCAGGGTGTGCATTCAGGACACAGCCCCACACAAATACTTTCTACCAGGTGGACGGAGCAGCAAAGCCAAAACAGCCATTTCTGAACATTTTCTCTTTCATTTTGAGGGGGAAATTACCATTACAGTGTCATACGACAATACAGTGGTGCCTCGCAAGACGAAATCAATTCGTTCCGCGAGTTTTTTCGTCTAGCGAATTTTTCGTCTTGCGAAGCACGAAATCCCATAGGAATGCATTGAAATTCAATTAATGCATTCCTATGGTCAAAAAAGTCCAAACAAAGCCAAATTTGGTACAACAAGAGTTTATTAAGTGCTCTTTAAAGTCACACATACTGTAAAGAGCATTTCAAAAATTGAAGGAACAATAAATTAGGTTTCTAAACATGACAGAAAAACATTTAAAAATCAACAAAGTGTACAGTACATTTTCTAAGACTCTGGGGACAACTCGAAGAAGGTTCCTCTTCCACTCTTTGCTTCTTGCTGAAGAACCCCCTCCTCAACTGTTCCCCCAGCCACCCACCACACAGAAATTCAAATCCAGAATTTTTTAAAAAAACAGCAGAGTGGCCCAATGGTCACAGAAAATCATAAAAATGCAGAAAAAACCACACAAGCTTCCAGATTCTTGCAAACCCCTCCCCAACACCAAGTCCTTGAATTCCAAACACCCCAACCCAAAATCCAAAACCCCCCCAAAAAAGTTTTGAAAGTTTAACTTACCAAATGGCTGCAAAAGAAGTTTTGGAAAAGCTTCAAAAATCACCAAAGTCTTCAAAAACCTCAAAAAAGGCTACCACACCACGTGCTATGAGTTGCTCCTCGAAGTCAAGTCGCAACTGCACCTCTTCAAGCAATGCACCCTGTATTACTGTAACGGTTTTAAGAAAAAGGAAACAAACTTGCAAGATGTTTTCGTCTTGCGAAGCAAGCCCATAGGGAAATTCGTCTTGCGAAGCAGCTCAAAAAACGCAAAACCCTTTCGTCTAGCGAGTTTTTCGTCTTGCGAGACATTCGTCTTGTGGGGCACCACTGTATATCATTCTTCGCTTTCACTTCTATTTGCATATCCACATATGAAGAAAGAATCAATTTATTGCAAGTTAATAGTTGCCTTCCCTAAAGGATGGGGGTGCTTAGAGAGCCAGTGTGGTGTAGTGGTTAAGAGCGGTAGTCTCATAATCTGGGGAACTGGTTTCACGTCTCCGCTCCTCCACATGCAGCTGCTGGGTGACCTTGGGCCAGTCACACTTCTTTGAAGTCTCTCAGCCCCACTCACTTCACAGAGTGTTTGTTGTGGGGGAGGAAGGGAAAGGAGATTGTTAGCCGCTTTGAGACTCCTGAAGGGGAGTGAAAGGCGGGATATCAAATCCAAACTCCTCCTCTTCTTCTTATGCTGTAGGTTTACTGCTTTCTGTAAAATACTTCCTCTTTAATGGCATAGTCCTTCTGTATTAGCTCACTGGAACTTATTGCTTTTCTTAATGTACTCAAGTGCTGAGTGATATCTTCTGTAAAGATTTTTTTTAAATATATATATATATATACAAAACTTTGCATGTGCTTAATACTATTTATACCAGGCTTCTCCCAAATGTTCTTTCCCCTTGTCAGTGTTCTGAATAATTTGGTTCTGATTTGGTTTCATGCTCTGTACAGAAATGGTCTCACATATGCCTTCTTTGTCCATACTCTAGATGATAACCTGTGTCTCTCAGGAGTCAGAATTTATTTAATTTTGTGTTGTTGTTTTTTAAAAGTTTCAACCATTTCCCAAAGTCATGTGAGCATTGTTGGCCAAGTATCAGCAGTTTTTTGTTGCCTGAATTGTAAATAGAATGAAATAAGATAGGTGTGGAGGGTTACCAACTGTTGCTGGCATCCAGCTACATGCTTAAAGATGTCTCCATTCATTAACAGATTATGTTAGCCTGCCAAACTTGAAAATGAGATGCAAGACACAGTCTGTACATTTATCACTGTGAGGCAAGAAGCCTGCCACTGTTGGTTAGGCAACGTGCAGTTGTAGAATTACTTGTCCAGTCTGATTATTGGACTCAATCTGTTTCCAGTGGCAACCTTCAGCGGTGACAGCATTGTCTCCATCTGTGCCCCCACCAGAGATTTTAAGTCTTAACATTTAAAGTTCTGAAATAATCTTACAGATGTAATTGCCTGGTTTCGTAGGGATTGTTCCAGCTGGTAGATGGTAGGAAGATGTACCTGCAAAAAGCACATTGGCCCTTATCTTCTGCTTAGCTGGCCAAACTTCAATTACTCAGCATCACTTCTCATTATAATAATAGGCGTTTGTGAATTGAAAGATTTGCTTCCACTTGGTTGAGGGCAGCTAGATATATCACGTTGGAGTTCCATCTTCTTTGCATAGAGCAGTAAATAGCTGGTGGAGATCAACCAAACAGCGTTGGCTCGAGACATTTAGCTGCCTTAGGCACTGGAAAAAATGGCCCGCCCTCCTTATCCCATACACAGAAAGCAGATGGATTGGCAGTTGATTCTCAGTTCAAAATTACACCATTCACTGCACCAAGAGGCCATGTAGCACACACAACACTGTCCTCTAGCAGAAGGGAATGCAGCCCATTCTCTGAGGCTTAGGAAGAACAACCAGAAGGATGCAACTGCTGCTCCCCAGCATTTGCCACCTGAGGTGATTAACTCACTTTGCCTAATGGTACGGCCAGTCCAGAATGAAGCCCATGTTTAGATCAACATATTGCTGTAGAAGGAGTGATAATGTAAACAAGGTCTAAGGCTGCAACCCTATGCAGCCTGGGAATAAGTCTCAATGACTTCAGTGAGACTTACTCTTGAGTAGATAACGATAGAATAACACTAAGGACTATATCCTACCTGGGAGTACTGGGTAAACATACAAATGGATTCATTGCATGCCGAGCATTTATTGTTCAAGTGATTATCATTTGCATGATACATACTCACAGCAAGCATAATGAGACTCTCTTTCCAAAGCATAATGCCTTTTGATTCTTCACTAGATAGCAATATAACTGCAGGTAAGCCTTGGGAGGGAGCACTGGCAACCAAATTTCCTTGAAACCCCCTTGGGATTTCTTTGGGGGTGTTTTTGTTTTCCCCTGTGTTAGAGTGTTGAGACCTAGGAGACTGTAGCCAAAAAGCAAAAGCAAACAACAGCAAAGAGGAAAATACTCTTGACTGAAGCTGATGCTTTAACTGGTTTTTGATATCGTTCCACTCTTTCTTCTATGCACTCCATCTGCCTATAATTAAATCCTCTCCAATGGCTTACAACAGATTGAAACAGATGAACAAACCAAAGACTGGAAGCTAGCCACTGAGCGTAATATTGCTTCCTTGAGCTAGAGAAAGTTGAAGGACCTTCACACTACTTTGGAAAGCAAAATGGAGAAATGAAGTTTATTTATGCTTTATTGGAATGGTTGAGGTGCAAGATACAGAAAAAAAAATGTTATTGGGAGAAATATAGCTGGAAATCTTAGTTTGTCGACTCTGGAAAACATTGCAAGCATTTTTAAAATTATCTTATTAATTGGAAGACCTTTATTTTAAATATTTAAGTTATAATCATTGGGACTCAGTCACAAATACAATTGGCTGTAACATTTTAATCTGCTATTGGTAAAAGCTGGATAATTATTTCTTAAGTATTTAATTGTTTTATTACAATTATAAAAGAAAAAACCAAGATATTGGTCAGCATCAAGCCTTCTTTGACTACCTTCTCAGCTGACTACAGTGGCCACCAAACTTCACTAGTGACTTATTTTTTTTTTAGGGCTGGGGGGAGTGGAGAAAAGAAAACTAAATAAATAAAACAAAAGCAACATAAGGAATGCTTCTTCTCTTGTCCTATTGGAAAACACAATCTAAAAGAGGCTTCTGTTTCTGTCTGACTTGAATATTTCTGCTTGTTTTATAGAATTGTCAAAGTGTATACTGTACTTTATTAAGTTTACAGAATCGTGGACCAGTACAATCAATCTACAGTCTGGAAATATTGTATGGGTGAAGCAACTCACTGATAGGCTTTTATGTATGACCCTTCAGCATGTGCAATTCAATGTATTTTGAAGCTTTCATATGCATCCCTTTTTTAACTTCAGAGGTTTTCCATTAAGAGTACATTACAGTAGTATGGGTGGCCCTGGAGTCAGAAGTGGGCAGGTTGGAGCAAAAAGTGGGGGAACCATTCTCTTTCTCTCCTTTTTCCTGCCACTCCATCTTCCTTTCTCCCCAGTTTTCCTCACATTCCATTAATGTAAAGGCCATAGGAAATTGGGCCAAATATTGCCCACCTGCAAGGGTGCCAACTTTGAATAAAATATTGGGGGGCAGATAAGCCCTATCCCACATAATCACAAGACATGGCGCATACACACAATTTGAATGGCAGTGCTCATCCATTTTTTGGGGGCCTGGCCCCATCAAATATTTATTGGGGGGTGAAGGGATATAGGCCCCTAGATGTAGGCTCGTATATCCACCTGTGATATACAAATATATGTATGTGTGTAAGCCAGCATTGAATCTTGCATTGACTGTAGCAGATGTACAAGCTAGATTTCCTTCACATACAATGGCTTAGCTCCAAACTCCCACTTGGTGAGCAGACACCAGGACTGGCTCACCCATGAGGCAGGCCAAGAGTCATCTCAGAGGCAGCGCACCCATCCCACTACTATGGGAGAAGCAGCAACACCCGGTGCAATCTCATGCATTCTGCAAGATCACAGGATCTCACTGGCACTGTCATGTTGTGAGTACCACTACACAAACAAGTTAAAAGAGGCTTCAGCAATGGGGTGAGGGGGATGGGCTTCAGCAGCAGCACCTTCCTGTCTCACCTCAGGCAATGAAATGGGATGGACTGCCCCTGGAAAACCTACTGATCTCACAGACAGATACACCAGTCCCCCACATCTCTAATATTTCATGATTTCCAGAAGTCACTGTGGATAAGAAAGACCCCCTCTGGAACAATACACAATACTGTTTGTCTACAGGGAAAACATTGTGTGTAGAACATCATGTGTGACAAATGCACATGCTTCTATTTCCCCGGGGGAATATACTCTGGGGAGTCATGGTCAGCTGTGTCTTTCTAGCACGCTTAAAGTGAACCAGCCTTGGGTTGGTTTGTACAACTTGAGCCTGCCAGACCTATTCACCTCTAATGGGGCTATCACTAGAACAAGTACTGCAATGCTACTGTATAATTTTGTATTAAGCATCCAAGAGCTGTGAGATCGCCAGTAGTCACAGATTTGGCCAACTAGCAGAACAAAAAATTCAGCCAGAAAACTGGAAGAGAATCCGCCCCACTCATCTAGAGACAGACCAACTAGCTCAGGGGATTGCTAATCATTTTATAATCACATGAAAAAAACATCTCCAACAGAAGCACATACTTCATTTATCTTTTAGGAAACTAGGAATGATGCCACTCCATATGCTTGAATGCATTCTCAATATAAATTGTATTTTGGCATGCTCAACATAGTATTCTGGGGAAAGACATGTCATCTAGCATCTCTCCAGTATTTGAGAATTTAATTTGTAGACCACACATTTCCAGGGTCCTAAAATGAGGGAGGATGTCCAAGTGCACAAAAAACAACTTGTTTCAGAAGCTCATTTACAACTTGTGGAGTGAGACTGAAACAGCTACTGGGTAAAGCAGTAAGGGCTAGCATGCTCATCCCCACATCTCCTGAGCCCCACAGCTGTCAGCATTCAAGAACAGAATACCCAAAGAAGGTTAGAGAGAAGCTGGTGAGAGGAAGAAAAAAAAAGTGGGGGCAGAAAGAAGGTGATACCATAAACGTTTAGTCCTAGATCCACCCACAATAAGTTTTGGCCCTGCCATCCTGAGCCCCTGGCCTACCTGGCAGCAAGTAAGTATGCCAAGTCCCCCGTCCACAGTCAATCCATGAGTCCAGATCTGCAGAGGTCTAGTAGCATCCCAGCCAAGGTCTTTCAATGCAGGCAGTTGTGCAGACACAGCACCTCCGCTCTGCTTCCCTTTTATACTATGCCTACTGATTGCAGCATCTGAGCTTGATAAGGCATGTGACCATCACCTGTTCCAAGCCAGCTCCAGCTAATGAATCACACACCTCTTCCCAGAGCTAGTGAGCCCCACCTGGACTGTAGGCCCTTGATTGCCTCAGTGTCTTAGAGCAGCCTTCCTGGTGCTGCCTAAGGCTCAGAGCCTGCTATGTTCATGGAGAAAGAGACTCTACTGGCTCTGCTGATGGGTCTTTTGCACTGACTCAAACCCCCTTATCATTCTCTGTCACCCTGTGAGTACATCCTATGCCAACCTCTCCTTCCCCATCCCCAGCTTGCCTCAGTGTGTTCCAGTTCTGGCTACCCCTCTTCCTCCTCCCCTCCCCCCCATAGTCCTGCCAGTTTATGGCACCTGCACACCAACAGCATGTGCATACCCCTCAACTGTTCCACTTTGAGTGGGACATCCCAGAATTGGAGAAGCCATCCTGTCTTCTGATTGGATCCTGGGATGTCTCATTTTTGCTACCCTGAGAGCGCGGCTCCAAAAGATGCCCGGGTGTGTGTGTGTGCTATTGTGTGAGTCACCTGGCTCTTGCAGGAGTGCAGCCCTGAAAGATGCATGTCCTGATTTTCCTCTGCAGCATGTTGGAGGGGAGGCTTGTGGCCTTCCACCATGTTATTCCCAAGGGAATGACCCTGGGACAGAAAGCAAACCCAACTTGGATAATCATTTCTTTCTTGCTTTGGCTATCTACACCTTTGGTGGTTAGGAGGGTGACAAGTTGGGTCCTCCTAATAGAGGGTCCATGTTGTACTCGGCCCTGAAACTCTTCCCTAACCGGCTTGTGGGCGGGGCTTGCCCTGCTCCAAGCCGGTGGTGCCACAGTTATGCCAATGGCCTTTAGCCAATCAGAAGCATGGCAAGGTTGGGGGTATTTATTTGGCAGCGTGACGTAGGGACCTCCTTTTGCTTCGTGCTGCCAAACACCCGCTAATTAGGTTGTGTTTGGCCTTGCTTTGGACTTCGGTTCGTTGCCTGTTTTTGGAATGGGGGCCAGGTAGGAATTTTTTCCAATGTGGCAGATTGGCTGTGACCACTTGGTTTTTGCCTACCTCTTAGCAATCGTCACAACTTTGTAAGGTTTGGTGGCTAGGCATTGGTTTGGGGGAATGTGGGGAGGGGAGGTGTGGCCATCACCTGCTCCTCCAATGAATAGGGCATTCCGTTAAAGGAATCCGGGGGTCTGGATCTCATCCGAAGCCCGGAGAGGGGCTAGGGCCATGCCAGGACCCCCGGAAACCCCAGGGGTGAGCACTAGTCAATATACACTGATGGAGATCCCCCTGCTGGTTGTTTACCCTTCCAGGCTTCCTGCAGGGTGGGGCAGGAGCCAGATATAGTTTGATACCAATGCCTAAGCCAATACCAGTCACATTTGTGTATTTTAATAAAGTTGTGGCCAAAATTTGCCCATTAACAATTAAACTAAATTGTGTCTCCACTGTGTCTTTATTTCCACGGGGGATGGGTTTTGGGGCTTGAAGCACAAACAGAAATGTTGGTGCCTATGTTTTTATCCTTTATTGTGCCAATGAAAGACCATTTTAGTTTGCCAGGCTTTGGTTTAAATTATTCTATGATGTCTTCCTGCTGATTTTGCCACTGATGCTAGAATATGAATTGCTGTTTTACTTGTATTGCTTATTTTGCTTTGTAAGAAGCCCATGTGCAGAAACTTCTCCACAAACCTGAAACATGTTTTTAACTGTAGCATTATTATTATTATTATTATTATTATTATTATATTTATTTTAAGTGTTTGGTCAGAATATAGAATAACTGAACTGTATGTTGTTTCATCTTTATGAGGATGTAATTAGGGTTCTCTGATTCATAATAGCATTGTACTTATAAAAATATAAAATGCACCACTTTGGGTTGTGCCATACTTTCTCTTTGTAATGTGTGAACCCTGATTCCCCCCACCTCCACTTGTGGAAATAACAAGAAATGCAGCATTTCTGAGAATAAAATTAATTCATGATCTCAAGACATAAAGGTGCTCCTTCTGCACAGCGGTTAAGCAATTGTGTCATGATTTTGACACAAATTCTTGGAAATCATACACCCTGAAGTTCACCTTCTGTTATTAATAACAACATTTCCACTCAATGGTACACAAATAAACACACACACAGGTCAACATATGAAAGAAAGTGATATGAATTTCTAAGCAGTGGTAAATTACTGACCTTTGCAATGTGCTTCAGGTTTACAACTGTCAAAGTTTTTCACACAAGAACCTCCTCTGTTAGTAGATAAAGAAAGTTTGGTTAATTCGGAGCACTATTTGCATGTTATATCATTTGTCTTAATAATTTTAAATTGTAACCAGCCTTGGTGTATTGGAAGAAATGTGGTATATAAAAGCAATGCATGCATGAATAATCTCATCCAAACAAAATGGAATGGATAGTCAATAAACAGCTGATATCATCTAATTTCCCTGCAAATGTAACAGGATGAATGCTCAATAAATAGGCCATTTGTAAGTCACCAATATCTTCAATGTCATTGGATATTTAGATACCTTGTTCTTTAGATATCCAGGTTAAGGCCACAACATCTAATGGATCACCTTCAAATCTCCCATTTTATAAATCTCATTTTAGATTTATTATGAAAGCGATTTAGCAGCAACAACAAAAGTATTACATGATTCCTTATTTCCAATTACATTCAGATCTAATTTTCTGTATCCTTGCATGCTTGTGTTTGGCATGTGTCTTTCTGCAGTACACCCAATAAGAACTGGACTGCCTAGACTGTGGGGTGAGTAGTTAAATGGCCCATTCTCACAGCGGAATTAGGATACATACTCCAACTTTACCTGTGGATCCAAAGTCATGATTATAGGGTCATTTCTGGATCATTCAGACAGAAACAGAAAAATCAAAACATATTGTTGGTTACTTACCCTTCTTTTGTTAATATCTAAGATCGAATTTCATGCTGTCAATAATAACTGTTTTTCCAGCACCATTTTGAGAATGGTTTCTCTTTCTTGCTAAAGGGTACCCAGGAAGAATGTGCACGGGAATATAAGCTTCCAATTTAGCAATATCACACATTTTGCTTCCATTTCATCAGACATTCGTTCTGATCCTCCATTCAGCACTGATAAATATGTCATTTAAATTATTTGTCTAAGTGCTGAATCCATAGTTGCTGAACAACTCCAGGCATGCCTGGAAGAAGCGGACCAGTTGGATCTCTTCCAGTCGGGATTCAAGCCTCATCATGGGACTGAAACTGCCTTGGTCACACTGGTTGATGATCTCCAGCAGGCTAGGGACAAAGGTAAGAGCTGTTTCCTAGTTCTGCTGGATCTCTCAGCGGCCATAACATCCTTCTTGACCGTCTAGAGGGGCTGGGAGCTGGGGGCACAGTGGTTCCGCTCCTTCCTCCATGTTCAGAAAGGGGGGGGGGAGGATGAGTGTTCAGACCCCTGGGCTCTCTCACTTGTGGGTTGCCTCAGAGTTCTGTCCTCTCCCCCATGCTTTTCAACCTCTACATGCAGCTGCTGGAAGAAATCATCAGGGGGTTTGGGCTGGGTGTCCATCAATATGTGGCTGATACCCAGATCTACCTCTCTTTCAAATCAGAACCAGTGAAGGCAGTGAAGGTCCTGTGTGAGTGTCTGGAGGCGGTTGGAGGATGAATGCCAGCTAACAGATTGAGGTTGACTCCTGACAAGACAGAAGTACTGTTTTTAGGGGACAGGAGGCGGGTGTGTGTGTGTGGAGGACTCCCTGGTCCTGGATGGGGTAACTGTGCCCCTGAAAGACCAGGTGCGCAGCCTAGGAGTCATTTTGGACTCGCAGCTGTCCATGGAGGTACAGGTCAATTCTGTGTCCAGGGCAGCTGTTTACCAGCTCCATCTGGTACGCAGGCTGAGACCCTACCTGCCCGTGGACTGTCTCGCCAGAGTGGTGCATGTTCTACGTGGGGCTACCTTTGAAGGTGACCCGGAAACTACAACTAATCCAAAATGCGGCAGCTAGACTGGTGACTGGGAGCGGCCGCCGACACCACATAACACTGGCCTTGAAAGACCTATATTGGCTCCCAGTATGTTTCTGAGCACAATTCAAAGTGTTGGTGCTGACCTTTAAAGCCCTAAATGGCCTCGGTCCAGTATATCTGAAGGAGCGTCTCCACCCCCATCGTTCTCCCCGGACACTGAGGTCCAGCGCTGAGGGCCTTCTTGCAGTTCCCTCACTGCGAGAAACCAAGTTACAGGGAATCAGGCAGGGCCTTCTCGGTAGTGGCACCCATCCTGTGGAACACCCTCCCACCAGATGTCAAAGAGAACAACAACTACCAGACTTTTAGAAGACATCTGAAGGCAGCCCTGTTTAAGGAAGCTTTTAATGTTTGATGCATAACTGTATTTTAATATTTTGTTGGAAGCCGCCCAGAGTGGCTGGGGAAGCCCAGCCAGATGGGCAGGGTATAATAAATTATTATTATTATTATTATTATTATTATTATTATTATTATTTGTCTGGCTTCAACATCATTTGAATAGAATCCTGCAGATCCAAATGTTACTTTTCAATTCTTGCCTTTACCCACATTTCAAAGAACAAACAGGTACAGCTATGTTCTACCAAGGTCACCCTTTCCACTTATGTTTTCTGTTTGGTATGCAGGCTTGCAAACCACTCTTTGAAGATGCAGAGTTTTCTTGTTCTAGCTAGTTCTTAAGCTTCTTTTAAAATAGAGTGAAATTCATGTAACAAGGGTCTTAATCACTAAAGGATTATTACCATACAGTGATGCTTCCAGCCTTCCAATTACCTTGAAAAACAACCCCCCCACCAAAAAAAAATTGTTCTCTAGAGTCTTAAAAGGAACTCAGATGTTCTTCAACGTTCTTGGTTGATATACATTTCCACAACTTCACTGAAATTGTTGGAGTTCAGTTCAGTTCAGTTCAGTTCATTTAGAGGTGAAACAAAACATTTAGCAGCTGTAACCCCAATCACACAAAACATTGCCTATTGACATATTTTCATACCATTTCAGCAATGAACGGCTCACAATTTGGATAAAACGGAGACTCTTGTAACCACATGAAATGAAGGAGATCTTCTTCTTCTTCTTCTTCTTCTTCTTCTTCTTCTTCTTCTTCTTCTTCTTCTTCATTATTATTATTATTTTGTATGGGAATGTTCCTTGTGTGCAGTTTCTATGCCCCAAACTTTGTCTCCACTCTCCCCCAAATCCGTTCTGAATTTTCCCCAAATCCTCCAGACCAAATTGCAAGGGTAGGAGAACAGAAAGGGGGGGGGTGGATTTCTGATGCCTGAGCAGAAGTCTTTGGATGAACCAGATGACTTCATTCTGTACAACCAATTGTAATAACCTGGATGCTTTTTTCCAGGACTGATATCACTTCAGCAGCATATCCGGGTGTTTCCCTTGTACCACGTTTCTCCCATATTTGCTCACAGCACAAGCTAACTCAAATTAATGTCAGCTATGGCTTTTGATGTAGATTAATTTAAAATTCATTAGAAAAATATTTCGAGGTTTCATCTGGAAATACATTAGCTTTCAATCTCAGGACTATGGTTATTTGCAATCCACCCTCAATAAATATGAAGATTGAACAGTAAAATATTTCTCGCTGTGCTAACAATAATCTTAGAAGCGCCATGAAATAGAAATCCATAAATTTGTTGAACACATTTGCAAGTAATCTTTGGCATCTAACACAAGAAGCATTTAAAACTACTTCACGAAAGAATAGAGCAGGAACTTCTGTAAAATTATAGCATGTCTCTGGATAAATGAATGAATATGGACTTCACCTGCCAAACCTCTGAAATGCTTTTGAGGGTTGGGAAATATAGAGGGTGTGGATGCCTGGAATTCAGGGTTGGAATTAGAGGTAGGAGAAGATGCTGGTCTTCATAGCCATCATCTGTGAGGTAAGTAAATAGGATTGTGGACTAGACAGTTAATGTATATTAATTGGGCCATGATTCAGCCAGGTTGAAATGTGAGAGTGAAGGCCAGGTTGGGTCAGCAGTTGCTGTGCATGTTACTAGACTGACATTCAGAAATTTTTTCGCATAAACAGTACTTCTTATTATATTTCACTGAATCCCGGACCATTTTAATCTGGCCCCACTAATGCTGTGAAGTCTGCTTAACTTTGACCAGATCAGCCTAGTTACAGTTTTTTTAAAACTTTTGGAACTTTCCATTTTAGAATTTTCTCCAGAAACAGGACAATTTGAAAACCTGGTATATTATGAAACAGTGTTAGGCAACACAGTTTTTTCCAGATGTTGTTAGACTCTATTTCCCATCTGCCGCAGTCAGCATGTCCAATGGTCAGGGGTGATGGGAGTTGTGGTCAAGTAACTCCACATTGGCTATCCTGATTTTAATTGCTTTTCTCCCTTCTTTCATAAAAGAAGAGGGGGGAAACTACACTAGAACTTCAAGCAACTGAAGAGCTGTAATCTGTGGTAATAAATGGTGATGACACCAGACTATTTTGACAGCAGCTCTGTTGCTGCTTGAAATGGTGAATAATTTTTCTGCTGTAAAATCTTAAATGGCAATTCTCCCCAACAGAATGAATGAATTTCAGACACAGACTGCCCCTCCCCCCACCAATAAAAAGTGCCATATTTTTTGAAGGCCACTTCTACCCCCTTCTGAAACCAATTAGAAACATCCAGGCAATTACTGTTGAGATAAGATGGCGCCCGGCACACTTCCCCTCTGCTGATGGACGCTTGTGCCGATAGGAAAAACTTGAACTCTTAGCAGAGTTCGTAGCAGAGTTCTGCAGCGGTAGAAAGTGTTGCCTTGTGTGTGGATAATAAATCAGACTGAACACAGGCTTCTTGCTAATCTCTAACAGCCTTTAATGAGAAGAAAAACATCATAAATCAGCCCGGCGAGAGAGCGGACATTCTTTCGTCTCTCAGCCAAAAACGAAAGGAAACTCACACACAAAGAAAGATTCCCGTATGTGAACCAAACCACGCCTCAGAATGTGAGACGTCATATAGAACTGTTTAACCCTGTAAGTTCTGATTCTCCTCACAATTACTTAAAGCCATAATGGAACTTGAAGGAGAATATGGTGTCTAACATTGGCATATCCTCTAACGTAATTAGCAAAACAAAGCACAGATTTTCCATACCTTGCCTTCATGAGAACTTTTGAAAGCTTGTCTTCTTTTTTTAATGTTTAAGGCATTTAAGAAGACACAAATTAAAAAGTGTGAAGCTGTGAACCTAGACTCCTAAGCATAAAAGCTGAGAAGCCTTGGAAGCAGAGAGCTATGAAAATGTAGTCATGTTTAGTGCTATTAGTTATATATCTTGTATAGTGACAGCAAAGCATCATAAGGGTGAACATCAAACAGCAAAGCCATAAGATGGAGGAAGAATTTAGGTTGAACCATAACTAAAGCATGACAGTTATGAAGGACTGTCAGCACTTCTTAGCAGTTTGAAAAGAGATACATATTTTCAGGCATGAGGGGTAGGAAAAGGTCACTTTAACTTGTCTCTCAACATTGCTTTCATTTGAAAATGGATACAGAGTTTGTCCAAGTTCCAGAGTGAGGCATCTAACCCGCCCCCCATCACTTAGCACATGCTGTACTCCTTAGGGCGTAAAAGAACAAACACCTGTTTTCACTTTTCTGCACGGAGATTAAGAGAGTTTATTTTATTTTTTTTTATAATAATATTTATTGAGATTTCAAAAGAAAACAGAAAAAATACAAAAATTACACAAAAGCAAAAAATAAGAGATACAAAAACTTACACACAATATGAAAAAGATACAAAAGTAAAAATAAAATAAAAATATAAAAAAGTAAGAAATACAGAAAAAAGATAATAGTAAAGAAGAAAAAACATTAGACCTCCTCCTCCTCCCTTCCTTTGTATTCTAGTTATTAATTATCCCAGCAAATCCTTTCCATTTTTCTATTATATGATAAACCTTACAATTTAAAATTTAAATCTTAATTATACCAACTTCTTATATTCATAATGTTCTTTCACAAATCCTTTCCTTCTATTATAAAATAAACTTTAAAATTTAAAATTTAGATCTTGACTTTACCCACTTCTTATATTCATAATGTTCTTTCATAATTCTTTATACCTTTTTGCTAAAGCCCGGTAAATTCTTCCAACATTTTCCTATCATTCATTTTTTCTCTCATTCTATCATTCATCAGCTTTAGAAAACATTCTATTAATTAAAAAACAATAAAAAAACAAAAAAGGAGAAAGAAGCATATAATCAAGTCCAATCTTAATCCAACGTCCCTTCCTCCTGGTTTCGGGATTTGTCAGTCCTTATTAATCAAACTAACCCGGTGACCTTATGTCCGAGGCCCTCAAGTCACTTCCATGGCCCTTCCGCAACTTTTCTTCATATTTGTGGCTGTAGTCACTTGCTCGTAGTAGCTCCAACTTAATAATGCTTTTAACCCTTCTCATCAGATCAGATCCTTTCCCCTGTTCATCGCTGCATTCCATATAGTATTTAAGAGCATACTTCAAGGGCCCCCCAAATTTGTGGACCCCCACATTTCCAAACATGTCGCAGCCTGTTACTGAATTTCCAAATTCAATTATCAAGTCCGAAGGGTCAAGCTCCTGTTGAGGCTGTTCTGTCAAGCCACACTCCTGATTTAATGCCACAAACCCCTGTTCTGTCAAAACACACTCCTGGTTTGAGTCCTGGATAGACTCCACATCTATTCCCACAGTTTGATCAACGCCTTCCACTGCCAGTCCGAGATTTCCAGTCGACTTGGCCATCTGGTTCACCTTATCATGTAGTTCTTCCAGTAGAATATTTGTTTCTTTGAGCAGGCAAACCACAGCTTCTGAAAACATTGTTGCACTCTCCCACGGTTCTTTGTAACAACTATCAAGTCCTTGGCATTTAGTTACAGTTTCTAAAGCTCCCCTTAGGGGAAGACTTATATTTCTTTCTGATACATTTCCATGTTACTTAAAATCCTTTATCCTTATATATTCGTTTAAAGTACGAAAGGGAACAATAGAGTCACAAAAATTTTCTTCTTTTAACCATCTGACACACACAGATACCTTGATTTGTTCACGTCAGTCCTGACTTCCCCGCTCCAGGATCAGGACGAAGATAACTTCCTTTTACTGCTTCAAATAGTCCAAAAATAATATTCCCAATTTAAAATGTTGGATTCCACTCTTTTAAAAGCAGTTTTCAAAGCTCTAGTACAATTTAACTTTGCTTTGTTATGTTTACAAAAGAACGGAAGGGTGACTTCCTGTTTAGCCCTTACCGCTCCGTACCAAATTCAATCAATTTTTCTTTCTTTTTGTAGTCCAATTCTGCCCTTTTCACTAATCTTCCTTTAATATCCCAATTTGTCCAAATTCTGGGTACTCACGGATATTTGTTTAAAAGTCCGAATTGTCCAGGAAAAAAGGCAGCGCTTTCCGGCAACAGCTACGCGGCTTCACTCTACAAAAGAAGCAGACGACTCACAGCACAGCGCCTTCACTTCCCCGCTCTGTTTCGGAGCCCGTTGCCGGGTTCCTTTGCAGACCGGGGGGGGCGCAAACAGTGCCCGCCGAGTCCCAGGGTCACAGGCTTCACCCGCCTGTGGTTTGAAGGGTCCCCGCTGCGCCGAAGCGGTTTTAGACCCGATTTCTGTGGAGCTATCTCCCTCTAAGTTAGAGGGATTCCGCCATTGCCGTTGGCGCCGCCTCCGGAAGTCCCCTAAGAGAGTTTAAACTGTGTTTCTGCTCTGCAATTACTTTTGTATAATAACAATCTCATCTCCTCCGAAGGATGTAACACAAGAAAAATCCCGCAGCTTTGTGCAGCAATGCATGGATGGGTTTTTGCACTAATCCATTTACCTCAAATCAATACTAAGAATTTGAGTTCCCCTCCCCTACACAACCTCTGACAATGGGAAACAGCACAAAGCCAGGTAATGTGCATTAGCTTTAACAAAAGAAATTCTAGTGAGTAAGAATGCATCATTTGTCTGTTAACGACTTTTGTGATAAACACTGGATGTCTTTGAAAGAAACAATATGTATCTGTCCTAATACATATAGGATTGATTGGATTTGCAGCTTCTGGGATATTCCAAAAATGTCTAAACATATAAAGAAGGATGCTTCCAAAATTCTATTTCTTCAAATTTCTCCTGAACTTTAGAGCTCTGGATTGCTTTGTCCTGTTCTGAAGTGGAACTGATGTATTAACAACCTTCTACCCTTCTGTGTCTTATTTCCAAATCTCGAGCTATGCATGTCTAGTAGGTTACAGCTTTCAGCTCATCCAATTTATCTTTGTTTCGGTCTACTCTACATTTTCAGGGGCAAGCATGCATTGATAAGACCCTGCAAAATTTTATGCCATTCTGTGTACCATTGTACCAAGATTCTTTGGGTTGGACATGCAGAGGAATACATTTATGTCTCATTATAAAAATTGCACAAAAAGGATTACTGGTGCAATCATATTGGCTGCAACGTAGCTAATATGCCCTTGTTGCAGCCCAGGATATGAATTGTAATCGCAATGTCTTTACCTTCTGTGCACCCTTTTAATTACTTTAAGGTTTGTACCGTGATAAGCATAAAGCCGTTATCCCCCCCCCCCCATAATGTAGCTGGTATTCTCTCTGAACACTTATCTGTCCATATGTTCGGCCCACACAACAGGCAATCAACTGGTAAATCGGCAAAATATGTGGCATAGAATGAGCCACCTCATAGATGTCAGATGACTCAGTTGGCTTACATCAAGATGTATTTAGTTGCTATGGCAATGTGCATCATAGTAATGTATCTTACGAATCTGAGAAGTACTGCATCTTCCGTGAACACTTAAAAAAAAATAGTCTGATCTCAAGTCGATGAAAGAAAGTCCCAATGATTTTAACAGAGCTTATATTCTAGCATGCAAGATTTGAATTGTAGTCTTTCTCCTCTTCTTCTTTTGAACTCTGCAGTTGGTGGGCCCCACTGTATAGTGGTTAACCTGTAGTCTTACATATGTTTCTGGACTACAAATCCCATCATCCCTGGCTATTAATTACACTGGCCTCCTCCCTCATTTTTCATTTTTCCAAGTGACCATTGCCTACTCATGTCAACAACAAAAAAATCAGCTTTATTTCATTCTGGCAATTTCTTTCATTCTTTTCTTTTTCCAGCAGCAGGGCTCTCATCCCCAGCATCATACCTGATTTATCAAAATGTATTTTGCTGTACTTTAGCTCAATTCCTATATTAGGGTTTTATTTTATTTTATTGTTTTATATTTTTGTGCTGTTTAGCTTTCTGTTCTGGCAGCAGAAGTGTACTTTTGTTGTATGGATAGGATGATTGACATTTCAAGGACAGATGATATAACCACTGGAGAATGAAGGGCCACTTCCAGATTGCTGCTTGTATAGTATTCCAGAAACAGGCAGTTTTGTTTCTCTGAATCTTTTGACATTTTAGGCAACCACCAGTTCTTGAAATAGCAGTATAATAAACTATATCACTGATATATTGAAAATATTTCTTGGCCAGTTCTATAACAAGCAGTTTCAAAGCTACCATTCAACAGCACTCCCCTTAAAAAGAGGAGCTGGAAAGAACATAATAAGGTTATTCCTAGATAGCCATTTTGAGAGGGGAAAGGTTTTCAGGACTTTCCAGATTAAATTTGTATCCATACATATAAATTAGCGTATGCAAAATTTATGCACATTTTTGTCATGGACCTGGGCTCCAGGTCTTTTAAATACTGAGTGATGCCCTTACTAGTTGTGATGCTATCTATGAAGTATTATTAAAGAGTGTAGGAATGACTTTTAATCTGATTTTTCTTCCAATTGGGCTTCATGTTGTAACCATGTGTCATTGCCTTTTGAATTTCCCCTTTTAACTACATTTCAGGGAAATCCGCTCAACCAGTGCAAAAGCTTTATAAAACAGAGATGGGAATTGTTGTCTTCTAATTGTTGTCTTCTATATATTATTTGACTACAACTCCCATCATCTTCGACCATTGACCATGCTGACTGAGGTTGATGGGAGCTATAGTCCAACAACATCTGAAAAGCCACAGGTTCTTAACATGTACTTAAGAGGATTTATTTCACAAAGTGCTTCTGTACCATCAGAGGCAGCATGGCATACTAGTGGTGTTTTGTTGCTTATTTCCTATCAGGTATCTTTCTATTCTATTATGAATTCACTATAAGACATTTTCCCCTTTTTGCAGAAATCTGCAGAATAGCTCCACTTCTTTGCATGCAAAGAGGCAGAAATATCTTGGGAATGTGATGATGGCAAAAAGGTCATGTCTGTATTTTATTGGAAATACTTTTAGAATATTAAGTAGTTTATAAGTCATTCAATCAATATCTTTAAGTAAAGAAAAGAGTGTATATCTTTCTCTCTCACCCCACAAGCATAGCTTGACTTTTTACAAAATATAATTTTATTACCCCAGTAGATCTATTCTGTATGTATAAGTCAACTGACAGGAAAGAAGGAAATAGCAGCAATGGAATATTATACAATTTGATATAAGATTTATTGTGTGTACAGAAAGAATAACCCTGGTGGGAAATTCCAGCAGCTAGTCTACAACCACCAACAGTTGTTGAGAAACAACTTTTATTTTGTCAGCTTCTTTCCTGGACTAAATTCCGCTTCATCTGATGTACCTGATGAAGCAGACTAAATATTTGAAAGCTTATGCCATAAATTAATGCAATTTATCAATCATTAATTTGCCACCACAAGACTCTGTTTATTTTGCTGCAACAAACTCACACAGTTAACCATTTGAAAACTGGAAGTCTACTGCAAATTGCTCAGTGCTCCAACAGTAGATCCTGACATACCTTGTAAGTAGTTTAACACATCCAGGCAGCTACTGACACAAGCAACAAACAGGCATGGGTCAACTTGCAGCACGATTCCTCTAGCAATACAGGAAGGCCCAAATGCTTCAGATCTCAGCATAGGAGCCAACTCCTAGGGGCTGAGATCCCTTCAACCTCAACCCCCCTAAAATATGGACGTATCTATTCAAATGGGTTGTGTGTGGCACATCTTGTGGTTATATATAAAGTCAGGGATGAGTTGACAATACCAATCAATTCTGGGATGAAAAGGTTTTCTTATAGGGTAGCTATTGATTGGGAAGAGTTCTCTCATCATTTTCAGTTTGAAAATGAAGTTATGAAAACAGACAATAGGTTGTTTATAAAAGAATAAATATATGCCCAAATGGGAGGATTTCAGAAATCAAAGAGCCAAAGAGCCCCTTTGTTGAACACCTTTCCCCAGAGGCGAGAACATAACAGTTACAGAAGCTCCAGGTTTTAAATGATAATAAAGTTACTCTCACATGGAACAATTTGCTTTGACTTTGCTGGAGAAATTCTCTAAGTTTAGTTTGTTCTTTGGTGCCAGTTGTTGTTGTTAAGTCTAAAAAAGAGTCACATTGGCAACAGTGGCAAGAGCTTTGCCATTTGTATCTTCTGCACATTTGTTACAAATCAGAGGTTCTTTTGATCTGTTTTTAGCTGGTTCTGAAGGAGAAAGAAACACAAGAAGACCCAGAGAGTTGAAACTCAGCAAAGCATTTTTATTGTATACATTGAAACTGCAGTCCCTAACACACACACATTCTCAGTCATGCTCACCAACTCTACACCAGTAGCTGATCAGGCTATTGGCAAGAGGACGGGTGGCAGGCGTTGCAGCGCTGGGAACCTGGCACACCTTTCCACTGGAAAGTTCCTTCTTTATATACTTTCAATCAGATATTCCATCTCTGGGGATTCACCACCATCTGTTCCTCGTCCAAGTTGTTCATCACATTCCAGAGTTCATCACATCCTTATTAGTCAATCTTGCTCAACACCCATCCTTTGTTATCAGCCTGTTTGTACACCAAGTCTCATGAACTCAGCACTTCTTCCCCACTTCACTTGCCAACCTTATCAGTTCCACAAGTCTTAGCAAGACACCATTTTAGAGTGGTGTTCTTCAGCCTAAAAACAGGCCTACACTCATTCCTCCATTCATACCATAAATTTCTAATGAATATGATTGTTATACTCATTACACATTTGTGGGCTTTAAGAACATATATCTTTGGAAATCAGTTTTTGGCTTGATTCAGTTATAGAAACTAGTGTTTCCATATTTTGAAAAGCAAAAAAAGAGGACACTGTGACAGCCATTCAATGCAATTTGTCTCAAAATTTACCCCTGAAAAAGAGGACATGTCCTGGAAAAAGACAACACATGGCAACCCTAAAAACTCTTTGAGCAGGAGCTTGTTCCACTCTGCACAAAACTATGGAAGGTGGAGAGGTTTGGTTCAGTTCACATTTTAATGTGAGCCACTGAAACAATACACTAATCAAAAAAAGATGGCTTTGAATTGGACACTTGTCTGGATTTTGTGATGCAGTTTGACAGCCATAATATATGTACAAAAATTCATATATTAGGAGAATATCTGCAGAAAAATGTATATTAGGGAGATGAACATACATGTATTGTGTTAGGCAGAAATTCACCCCAAAAGTGAATATTATTAGTTATGTAGACTAAAGATTGCAAATTGAAGATTGGGGAAAATGAAAAACAGGTTAAAAATGAAACTGACAGATTCAGCCATATCTCACAAAGCCACTAATTCCACCTACTCCATGGTCAGTGCCCAGAACATCTGCATGTCTTGGTTTTAGAGGACCAACACCCAACTTGTTTGTGCATAAAGCTACCTCCTGAATTGAAAATGAATCAGAAAGTCCATTCTTGCAAGTGCAGTATGCTTACAATGAATTGCCAATGTCTGTTTCTTACTAACAAATATGCATATGAAATTGTATTCCTAACGATTCTATGCCTGATGCCCAATTCTGCTAAACTAATTGCTGCAAATCCTGGAAAAAAATAGTTTTTGTGACATTCTGCAATGCAAACTAAGACCGACATTAAAGATGAGAATAGATAAATTTAGAAAATGGGAAAGGTATAAAGTTTTCATTGATCTATTTTTGTCAGGGAAAAAGTTTTCGATTGTGTCAGTTTCAGGTTTGAGCTATGAATAAGAGATGAAATATCACCAGGTTTACATGGGTCAGAGGTACAATAGGCATGGGTCTAAAATGAAGGCTTACATTATAATGAGCTATATTACATTTGAGAGGCAATACCTTGGTTTATCCCATGAGGCCAATGACTTTGGCTGTGTGCTCATGTTGAAGTGCTCATTATACCAAAGTATTTTTTATTATTTCTTTATACAACTTGGCTATATAGAATGATTTGATAGTCTCTAATTCCTGCTTTGTTTCCAAAAGGTGATGAGACCTGAAGGGAAGGGCATCAAATATGGAAATTACATATGGGAAACTGGTTCATAGTTTAGACTTAAAATTCAGATTGCTACCTGATGAAAAGTAAAGTTTTAACTAGGTCTATAACCTAAACCCCTCAGGCCACTCTGAAGCTAGAGTTAAGTTCCTAACAGAACTAAAGATCCACCCATAAAAATGGAAAATGATGCAACTAAAAGCAAGTTCAGCAAGCGTCCTAAATATTATATTTTATTGCTGAAAAAACCACACATATAAAATACCATTAAATTTTAGAAGTATATGGAGGTTGAAGCACCCCCATTGAGTTTAAATCTTCCATACATGCATGTTTCCTTGTGGTGGTATCCTACTTACTGTTAGGATCATCCTACTCGTGTGTAGGAACCTGGCATGTTCTCTCCCTCCTGGTTGGTTGTTTGGGAGATTCAAAAGCTTTCTCCAGCCTAAACATCACAGCGACTGATGCCAAAAGGCATTAGCAAGCTTAGGGATCCTGCAGAGTATTTGCAATTTGTGTAACATTACTCAGTAGCACAGCATTTTGGCTAACCTACATATAATACACTTGGAGCATTCTGATTTAGCTCCTTCCTCTTTCTCATCAGACAGCAAAGAGAAAGAACAAAGGACAATAGTCCCACATCACGGAAACACAGTAATCCAAACAGCCTGTCTCCATCACTTCCCACATTGTGGAATGAAAACATACACCGTCATGTGATATAAAACAGTCCCATGACTGCAAACATGGAACAAGAATCCTAACACTTACATCCTTGTGAGGCAGATTAGGCTGAAATACAGTAACTGGTCAAAAGATACCCAGTGACCTCTATGGCTCAGAGGGGATTTGTATCTAGCTCTTTAGGTTTAACGGCACATTTACTCCATATATTTAAAGCTCTATGATACCACTTTAAGCAGTTATGACTTTTCCCCATCAAAGAATTCTGGGAGCTGTAGTTTATTAAAGGTACTGAGATTTGTTAGGAGACCCCTGTTCCTCTCACAAAGCTACAATTCCCAGAGTTCCCTGTAAAATAGATTGATTGTTAAACCACTCTGAGAATTGTAACTCTGTGAGGGGAATAGGAGTCTCCTAAGAATTTTCACAACCTTACAGTTCCTGCAATAATTTGGGGGAAGCCATGACTGTTTAAAGGGGTATCATAGTAATTACATTTATGGTATTGTTCCACACCATCCCAATTCCCAAGTGGTGTGAGATTCCAGGGGTTCCATGTGTGCTTACCCAGGATTTGTGTTTCGTTTTGTGAATGATGTACAGCAGACGCTGTGGTGTTTCTATGATGTATGCCTAATGTACACATCATGTTCAACCTGAAGGACGGAGAGAGGTATTCACAGCACTGACACCCCAAGTGGGTCTTGCTCATCCAAAAGCTGCAGGCTTGGATTCAAACAGAAATGTCCCATTGTGCTCTGACACTCTCTCCTGCTTGCTGCCTTTAACAACCTGCAACCTTTTTTCTCTCTCCTCTGGGTCACATCACAGCCAAAACTGTCCTTCAAACACTGCCTTTGTCTTCTGATTCTGAGGTGAGGGAGCCTCCCAGGAGGGGACAGAGGCAGTGACAGCTTCCCGGTGGCTGCAACACTGTACTTAATTGGGGCAGAAATGGGATAGGTTGAGGGAGTGGCGAGGTTCCTCAGTCTAGGTTGTTCTGCAATCTAGGTGTTCTAGGTTGGCAGCTGAGACTGTCGTCTCCCCAGAGCTCCCACAGTCTCGTCACTTTGCCCAGTTCCATCATGATTGCAGCACTGCTGCCAGGAGAATGACATTGTCTCTGGCTTGCCTTCACAAGCCACCACTGCAACCCTGATGTATATTTGAGATTTAGTCTGCACTACACAGGTTCTTTTCACACTGAACTTATAGGTATGCAAGAAGAAAGCACTGCTGTTTTCTCTTCCTTTTTTTGTAGCTCACATAAAGTGTACTATCTGTGACATTGTTTTGTGATGGAAGCTCCAACCATTATGTTTTTATAACTTCTCATGGGCAGGTGCTTGCTCTTTGAATGGAACAGTATGAATATGGTGCCAGAAGAATACTTGTCCAGTTCTTTTTTAGAAATGACTGTTTAAAAATCTGGTTGGTACAAATAAGGTCTGAATTATCTCCCTCCTGTGGGTTATCAGGAAATAGCTTTTGTAATGTCTGTTCTGGGTTAAATGTCACTGAGAGAAGGGCTTACATATATATTGAGGTAAGCTCTGTTGCAAAAGCTGTTTAACAAAGGAGGATTTAAGTTTAATAGTTTGTTCCCTTTCAGTCTGATTTGTCCTCTAAATCCTAAGAAATTACTCATCTGGTGAATTAAATTCAACAATACATGAGCAAGAAATACACATGGAAAAGGTATTGAAATAAAACTCTGCACACTACATCACACCACACAAAAGAACCTCTGTGGTAAATAAAAATGTGGGGAAATGCAATGCATTTCAGAAGAATAAATATTCCAGATACATGGCTGAACTGAAGAGCCTTTTGGATGATTATAAATGCTGCAGAAAGGTTTTGTTTGTTTCCACAGATCAAAGAGTTAAGGAAAATTCTTACACACAACAAAACAAAACAAACCAGACTTAGTTCATATGTTAATGAGCAGTGCTAATTGCAGCTTTCCCTAGGTAATCTCTGTGTCAATTATTCATGAACCATTGACAGCCTGACATGACATTTCTAACTGACAGCCTTCAATCCTTTTATTTACAAGTCTGACGTGCCTTAGCTGAAGAAAGGATCAGAAGAAAAGCATGTTGAAATTCAGAGTTTAAATAAAATAGAAGTGTATCCCTGTAAGATATAGTAATATTATATACTCTCTCTCTCTCTCTCTCTCTCTCTCTCTCACTCTCACTGTGTGTGTGTGTGTGTGTGAGAGAGAGAGAGAGAGAGAGAGAGAGAGATTCTAACTCCTGAATTCTTTTCAGGAATGTAGTTAAAGAACTTCCATGACTTTTTGATTTTCACGAGAAAAGATATTCACAAAAGCACCAGAATGTTATCTAACATGACAAACATATTTTGTGTACTATTCTTGCAGACTTCAGGTATAATGCTTACATTTAAGGATAAACAGCACAATGGCATCTCCATGAGTAAAATAAATGTTAGGGCTGAAAGATTAAGAAAAACAACTTGAGGGAAAGGAGGATGTGTGAAAGAGGCTGGCAGAGTGGATGAAACAAAAAATTTAGGACCTTGAAGTTGATAATGGAAATTGGAAAGAAGCCAGAGATATAAATAATGGGACTGGTTACTTGGAAGAAAAGAAAGATTATATTTAATTGAGGCATTCTGAATTCATGGAAGAGCAAGCAGTGTGAAGCAAAATTCAGTACGCTAAAGGCTACAGAGGTCTATGACTGGCTGCCCCAGAGGTGGGGAAGATTTTTCATCCTGAGATTTTTCATATCAATGTTGGCCACAGCCAAAATCGAGCAGAGCAATTGATGTGATTCTTTTAAAGTATGCTACAGTATAGCAATGCAAAAGTCAGAGAATTTTAATGCTCCCACCCCCCACATTTCTTATCTATGCGGGTAAAGACTACACAGTATCATTGTCAATGACATATTGTAGCTAAGGATGGGAGATTCTGTAATGTTATGTTTCTGGCTTCAGGTCATAAAAAACAAGATGTATTTGCATTCGCTTACTAGGTCTAAGCACAGCCCTGGCCAATGACCAGTGGCCAGGATGATGAAAGCTGCATTCTGTCAACATCTGGTAGTCCATAGGTTCTCCACTCCTGGTCTAGCAAAAAAAGTGCCACATATTCAGAAATCCATACTACATGTTTTTATAAGAGATGAACAATATTTTGATTGTTGTAGAGTTAATTCTGGTCAATAGTTCTTGCTACTACACACAGAAACTATAAAATTATTCTGATCCTATTGTAATTTGCTAAAGTCAAACTGAAAAATATCTAACTTTTTAATTCACCTAGAACTTTCCAGGAGTTTGAACTAAAATGTACAACATAGGAACATTTCAGTCAGTTATATAGAGACTATATACTGTCCTTGTAAGGGGAAAAAATAAAATACACTCTCACTTTGAAAGGTTTAGGATCCAATTCACTTTATTATAACATAAATACATGTTTAAAATGTTACTCCAAAGTGTGGACAATTTAATGCAGCAGTAGGCATTCTATTGATTGCAAGAGTTTCCTTGGATATCTTGCGCATTGGCTGTAAACAGTCATGGTTTGGAGAAAATATGTAACAAGATGCCTGGTTTTCTACTGAAACATAAAGCATGGTGAATACCTACATTATTTTTACAGTAATGGGAGTATATTTTATAGCTTATTAACCTTTCATATGCCTGAAAGTAAGACTGGTAGGATGAGCCCTATAAAGTGTCAAGTTATGGAGTAAAACCCATAAACTTCATCAAATAACTTTTATAGGAGCAATAATGATAGCTCATGATTGATTACATTTCCTTTTGGTCTTTAAGAGCTCTAGATTATCTGCTATTTATATTTGCACCAAGTGAGAGATATACAGCTTTATAACAAAGATAAGAAAGCTGATGTCAGTTGCTTTTTAAACAATGAAGCATTGTTAAGTTTCCTGTGGAATAATTGCAATGCTTTTTGCTTCTAATATATTTAATCTAATATGATGAAATACTGCCAATTATCAGACACCTTACATCTGTCTTCCTCACCAACCTTGTGCATTTCAACTCTGTCCATATGACAATGGCTATGCTTTGTGGGGCTTATGGGAACTATATGGGGGCTGCCTGAAATACTATGTTGCATGAACCATCCAGCCATGCTATTCCAGTCCAATTACTGTGGAAGGGAAATGGAAACTCCAGCTGCTGGAAGCTGCCTAACACTGCGGCAACAAGAAACACCATTTCTCAATCCTTGAAAATGTTTAGCTAACCCAGTGAATCATCAAATTCTACAGTGTGCATGATTTCCTTTTCCTGACTAAACCAGGCTCCTTACTTATTACAATTAACATCAGGAAATATCAGGAAACACTCAAAAAAATACAGGACATACAGAAGGTGTTCCAGGTAGATGTGCACACAGTGGCAACTTGGTTCTTGAACTTAATCCATTCTGGAAGTCCATTCGACTCCCGAAATGTTCGAAAACTAAGGTGCGACTTCTGATTGGCTGCAGGAGCGGAAGCTGTGTCGGACATTCAGCTTCTAAAAATTATTCGAAAACCAGAATTTTTGGCATTCAGAAGCTGATTTGTTCATCAACAAAGCCGTTTGAGAACCAAGGTTCCACTGTACTCATGTGTACATGCAAATAGCTACCTGAATTACACACATACTTTAGGGTTGTCATATTTCAAGAAGTGAAAATGTGGACAGAAAAGCTGTTTGCTTTTTTTTGCAAAATCTCAAAAATATTTGGAATTTTTGAGCCAACAACACTGCCAACATGGGTCATCATACATCTGAATTTTCCTGGACGTTTCAGCAATTTCCACTATGAACAGGAAATTCTGGATGTATGGCAACTCTAAATAGTTCCAAATACAGCAAATGACACCTGTTTGTTCACATTTGAATATCTCCTTAGATGGATTAGAGTATTAATATTAACTGCTCTCCCTTGTGTTGGATTGGGGTTATTGCTCCCAGTTTATTGGAAATCCTTACTTGATAAAATATGAAATATATTATTTGATAAATAAATATAAATAAATAATAGAATATAATATAATAATATAATATAATATAATATAATATAATATAATATAATATAATATAAATATAATATAAATAATAGTTTCTCAACAAAGTTCACATCAGCAAAAGACAAACAGCATGTGGCTCCAAGAATGCTCAAGAATGTGCATCATTTAAATATCATAGCAGATATTTGGGAGAGGAATATAATTCATCAGAAAATTATTTTCAGAAAGATTCATTTTCAAAACTAGTTTGCTTATCAAAATGGGTTAATCCCCACCCAGGTTTTAAATCATTTTATCGGATTTTCTGTTTTTAATCTAGGAACTGATTTTCCTCAATGCTTTGGTTTAGGACATTGGGGTTTTCTTTTCCCCTCTGAACAAAGTAAAGCTACTGATGCTGAATCTTGACAAATGTTAGATGTTCACTGACTGTATTATAAGTGTAAGATTAAATTGAGATGCATATTTTGCTATAAAGATTTAGGCTTGAAAAATAAAACCATTATCCTTATGTTATTGCACTTAGTCATGTTTCAGCAACAATGAAATAGTGCTGATAAATATTAAGTATTCAGTTTCACTCTGAAATTTATCCTCATCAGTGAAATTTACTCATGAGGCAGGGAACCCATTCTTGGAAATTAGTCAGAGAATCCTTCCTGTTATCTCCATTTCTGAATTCTTCTTCTTCTGGTGAGAAGCTGTAGAAGCCATCTTGGCAGCTTGACTTTTTGAGATTTTTAAGGAAACAAATTAAAACATAAAATACTTTTGCTTTCCTTGGTTTTCTTAACAATTTCAGGTAGCAGTACTTTGACTCAGTATCATCACTTCTATCTGCCTTATTGAGCTTATACCAGTCAGAGGAAAGTCAAATGAAAGGATTGTTTCCCAAACCACAACTATGAACCACCAATGTCTCACATGAAGAACAGGGCAAGTGCTTGTATACATGCCACACAAATGAAAATATTGAGGATCCATTCCAGAAATTTCACAAAATTTGGAGTTTTTTGTTTGTCGTATAAAAAGTGGGGTCTTTCCAGTATACTGTTCATTCGCTGAATAATGATGACATTGTGTGGCAGCATGCCAAAAAAACTGAACCCCCCCCCCCAGCAACTATAACACTATAAATGGTAAATGTAGAAAAGCCCTAGGTTGGTCAGCTTTGTCTATAACTGACCTCTATAGATTAAAAAGCATGCCTTCCAATCTAATGTCCTCCTTTAGTCAGTCCCAGAACTTCATCTACTGCAAATACAAATCATATCTTCAAAATATGCTTTAAACAAGCCTTTAAAGGCAGATTTTTCTAGTTTGCATCTGTATTGGAACTGTTCTAAGAAGTTTTTATTGTTTTGTCACTTCTTGTCTGCTGCCCTGGTCCCTTTGGGCAGAAGGGCAGGATACAGTGGTATCTCGGGTTACAGCCCCTTCAGGTTACAGACACTTCAGGTTACAGACTCCGCTAACCCAGAAATAGTACCTCAGGTTAAGAACTTTGCTTCAGGATGAGAACAGAAATCGTGCGGCGGTGGCGTGGCGGCAGCGGGAGGCCCCATTAGGTAAAGTGGTACCTCAGGTTAAGAACAGTTTCAGGTTAAGAATGGACCTCCAGAATGAATTGTTATTAACCCGAGGTACCACTGTATAAATTATCTATCATCTATCTATCTATCTATCTATCTATCTATCTATCTATCTATCTAACATCTATCGGTTGGTAAAATATTTCATATTCAAATAGCATCTGGGAAGGCAATATTATTCTGAGGTAAAACCAAGTTTTAATAATTGTTTTGACAGAAGAGAATATAAATAAGCAATTCAGCTTTGTTTGTTTAGAAAAAAAAATCAAGTCCTACTTATATGTATATATAAAAGGAAGATCACATTGCCACACCAACAATTCTATACATATCTGTTCAGTGTTACGTCCCATTGCATTTGGTAGGTTTTACTCCCAGTTAATTAGGAATGCAGTCAAAAGGCAAATTCAGGCTGGTTCTAGGCATGCTCTAAGAATGTGCCATTAATATAATAAGGGTAAGGCCTGGTCAGACAGGAATAAATAAATAAAAACAGCATTGCACTGTACATGTACACACATGTATAACATTTGTGTTTCTTAATTCAGCATTATTTAAAGTGCCTCCACAGATGTCACATTCCATTTTTACTGTAATAACATCAGTCTTTCAGATAGATAATACTGGAGGTTTTCATTTTGATAATGTGCCTATTTCCTTGTTTGGAATTAAAAAGTGAAATGCACAGGGGTGGATGGGGGAACAAATCCACTAGGGAAATGGATTACATTACCTGGCCTGCACTCAGCTGAGCCTTTGCGGCTGTTTAAACAGAATAAAAAAGATCTTTTTGTAAGTATCCCTGCAGGACAAAAAAATGCAACTTTTGCTGGCTGCCTTAGTAATAAGCCCATACACTCATGTCTAGCTTTGGCTATTTGCCTACATAGGCCGCTACTGTCTTCTCTGACTGGAAGCAGTTCTCCTGTGTGATCCAAAGTACTGACCTTCTGCATGCAAAACATGTTTTCTACTGCAAAGGTGCTGACCACTAGCAAAAGAAGAAGTTTTACATAAATGCAGAACCACTGTTCGGCCATTGTGTTTACTCACACAATGGTCATCCCATGAGGGAGAGCAGAGATGTACTGCCAAACCCTGTACCCCTCTTACACATACCCCATTATCTTTCTTTCCAGAGTTCCTGGGGAGGATTGGCCCCTCCTGTGGCTATGGCAGCAGCCATGTAGCACCTCAAATCATTCCTGAAATGGAGAGAGATGTGCCAAACCATGAGTAACTTTCATTTTTTTCATTGCTAACAACAAATGTTATGGGGCTAATATTCATTGGGACCACGGGGTGAAAGAGGCGTTTTAACAGTTCCCAATAACACACACACACACACACACACACACACACACACATATACAAGCATGGGAGATTTTGTCGGGGAAGGAAAGGTTAAATGTCTTCTCAAAGAGCAATATAATCCCAATGAAAATCAGTCTAGTCTCCTGAACACTGATTTTTATTTTAGGTTGTCTGATTATAGCTCTGAATATTACTGCAAATGATTGCAGGGGACAGCTTAAAGTATGATGTGGGCCCGTGTTGCACCTAAAACATTACAGCTCGAAAGAGGAACTATCTATTCATCAGAGAAGCCAAAATACTGAAATATGAAATCTCTTACACCAAAACCGTTCATCTGTAGAGTCTGTGAGTGTAGTGAGGCATGCACTAGAAGAGTTGCATGATGGCTTTCGGAGAGTACTTACAGTAAAGATGAAATCAATGAACAAAATCCAGCAAAGTTAAGTACATATAAACCAGCATCAAAAAGAGAGAAGGATAACCAAACTTGTTTTAGACTTTTTGTTAGGTCTTTTTTTTGGTGGTGGTGGTGGGGAATGACCGCCTACAGTCTTCAGCGTTTGGACTAGTTAACTTTATAATTTCTTAGTATAAATGACCCTGTGCTTTTGCAGCCCAAACAGGGCAAGCCATTTCCAATGGAAAAGATACATGTTGTGGATAAGGTATAGCAATAAACAACAGACCAAAGAAATCCATGTGGAAGTCAGGGTGTGTGTGTTTGTAGTAACAAAACCCCCACTTCCTATGCTCTTGGAGCACTGCTGCCAGCCATGGAGAAAGGTAAGGAGAGATGAGGCATTGTTTCAGAAATTGCAAATTAGGTAAGTTTGCACTGAAATGTGAAATGAACCAAATTTCTCCCCCATTTGCCGTCGAATGGCTTCCATCCAGATTTCAAATTGAGAAATAGTTCAACATCTTATGAACTGATGCAGGTTAAAGCAGCCCCTGTCACAGAGGTGCCAGCTTCAATAAGCCCCACTCAGTATAAACAATCACAAGACATATGCCCACACACCATTTGAATGACAATACACATCAACTTTGATGGGTATCAGCCCCTCAAATATTTTATGGGGTTTGAAGGGACCTCAGTCCCTAGGAGTTGGCTTCTATGCCCTGTCATGTTCCTAATTGTAGATGCAATAGAATCTAATCCTTTCCCCATCAGCCCAAGCTATATTACCCAGCATTACTGACATAACGGCATCAATGAGAGCGAGGGTTGGAGACCTCTGAGTAAAAGGAAGGAGACTGGAGGCAAGAAGCCAAGTAGGTTTGTGGATGGCAAAGAGGGAAGAACAGAGTTATTCTCCAGAATAACATAGGTACCGGTAAATAACTGAGTTTGAAGCACTGAGAATCACTGAGGTTTGTATTCTGTACCAAGGAATTATGGCATTCAGCGACTCTTGGCAGGCATGCCTGTCAGTCTGGAGTTACAAGGCTTCACAGGTATAAAGATCCCACCACAAATACTATACAGTAATACCTCGGTTTATGAACTTAATCCATTCCAGAAGTCCGTTCTTAAACCAAAACCGTGCATTCCCTAATGAGGCCTCCTACTGCCAGTGCCCTTCCACCATTCGGATTCCGTTCTTAGACCGAGGTAAAGTTCGCAAACCGGGACACTACTTCCAGTTTTGTGGAGTTCTTAAACCAAATAGTTCGTAAACAGGGCTGTTCTTAAAACAAGGTACCACTGTATTCAATTTCAAGGGAGCATCAAGAGCATCAGAACTGTTTTATTCTACCAAGGAGTTTAATAGCTCTTTATTATTTAATTTTCTTTAATTGTATTGCTTTGCTGAGAAAATGCCATATTCCATTTGATTAAGGATTTCAATAGCAGTCTTTATTTTTAAGCTTTTAAAATCTTAAAATAGAATGCTCTTCCTTTCCTTCTGTGTGTTTCTTGCAAAACAAAGGGTTAGGTGCGTCTGCCAAGAAGCAGTGGTTAGGTGTAGTATCTGACTAAACCAGTCAGTTGTATGTGCCTTCCCCAGATGCTGGTTTCTGACTGACAAACACAGAGAGATTCTTCAACCATGAATCTTATGAACATTCACAGACAGGCTTCTCCGATGCCATGAACTCTGCAAAGTGGTTATGCGGTAAGCTGAGAACCATGCATTTCCCTGTTCTGTACCACTGCTATGACAAATATACGACAGAGCCAATCCATAAATACATGAAAGGCTGAACTGCCACTGTACTGCAGTTTGTGTATATATGTCAGCAAGAACAAGAGCACTTATCACCTGTGAAGATGGATGAGGGGACCATAACCCAAGACCTTCCTTCATCTGTCTTCTATTGGGTGGTGGGAGGGCCTTGATAAGATTATATGAACATCTCAGAAGTCTCAGGTAGGGGATCAGTTGGGGGATTCAGAGGCTCAGTGCCTTCTTGCACCTGTTTCTGAAAATGCAACTGCTACAAAATACAGGTGCCCAGACACTTGTTGGGGATGGACAGAAGGCATTCAGTACACCTATATTATTCTAGTTGTACCAGTTCCCATTATTGCTATGGGCCAATTCAAAATGTTTGTAGTAATCTTCCAAAACCTTAACAATTTGGGACATGGTTAACTGAAGGATCATGTCCACCAGTACCAACCTGCCCACACTTTAAGATCATCCTCAGAGGCAATGCTCAGATGCTCACCATCAACATACCCTCCAACATTTCTCCGATGAAAATAGGGAAGTCCCATTCCATAATAATAGTTTTACTATTTATACCCCACACATCTTACTGGGTTGCTCCAGCCACTCCGGGCAGCTTCCAACACACATAAAAACATAATAAAACATTAAACTTCCCTATGCAGAATTGCCTTCAGGCAGCTCAGGGGTTGGATAACTCCATACCGTCCAACATTTGTCCAATGAAAATAGGGACCTCCTAAGGAAACTGGGACATTCTAGGATCAAATCAGAAACTGGGACGACTTCTCTAAATTAGGGACACCCCTGGAAAATAGGGACACATGGAGGGTTTGCATCTATGATTGAATAGTTCATGATCAAGCAAAACAAAGGCTTTTCAGCAGTGGCCCCACATCTATGAGAATCCATATGAAGGCCATATGAATGTCAGAAAATTCTGATAAAAATGGAGACAGGACACATAATCACTGATGGATGTCACACATCCAAAATGGAAATCAGTTCAGCAAATATTATCAGTATTCCCTGTTGGTGTGGCTTTCGTTCTACTATCCATAGGTAATTGATTACCTTCCCCTCTGTTTTGTTTGTACTGAAATGAATGGTAATGACAAAATCATTTACATAGTTAATTATGTGAATTATGTAAGTTACATAATATTGCCACAGTGGACAGTACAGTTTTGGGTGGAAAATGAACTGCAGCAGAACTGTGTGTAGAGAGCAGTGGGTGGAATAGAGGTCTCCTTCCACTGAATAGAGGCTTCCTTCCACAAGTATTTTCAAATGAGCTTTAAAGACCCCATCTGCTTATTGTGTCTTTTAATAGTTAACTGTTGGGCCACTCTGGTTTTAGTCAGACTCTGTTATGTTGGGTATCATGTTTGTCTAGCACTAATTTTTGCAACATTTTGGGTGTTTAAATTGATATTATATATGGTTTTATTGGGTTCTAAAAGTGTAATTTAGTCAATGTGATCAACTGTAAACTGCTTGTGAAGCTTAAGTTTGAAAAGCTATTTAAAACTCTTTTAAAAAATAAAGAAATATTTCCTATCTGGCACAGCCGGCTTCTGTGGTTACAAGGCTCCCATTAGATCAGGAGATATATCCTCATGTATATTCGTGCTGCTAATATGTTTTATACTTTTTAAATCAAATCCTTCCATTACTGCATGTTTTTGAAAATACAATTATAACACCTTGAAGTAGTTTCAGCACCTTTGGGTTCCACTCATAATAGCTTTTAAGGAAAGTAATAAATGCACATTAACACAAAGAAAGTAACTATAATTTTTCCTATTTGTCAAAGTGATGAATTAATTTGTGACAGTCTTTTCTCCGTTCAATTAATTATTAGCCCTTCACTCAAGAGAAATATTCTGAATAAGTAATTAAAGTTCTTTTTAAAAGTTTCTTGTTTCTTTCAGTCACTTTTTCTCTTAAAAGCAGAGGTTTCGTAATTGTCAGTTTAATGGTACGATGCATTAAATGCTAGTGTTTAAATATCATTGTCCCCTTATGTGTGTGTGTGTGTTTCTGTGTAAAGGTGTGCAGTGCCTTGACACACTAACTGGTTGGTGATTTCAAGACCAACTGCTACCTTAGACATGCTTAGTCAAGAGAGAGTCTCAGAGGAATAAATGGAAACTCGATCAAAGCCACAGATATCTTTGTACAGGATGGCAGCCTTGGACAGCAACCCACTTAAGCTCACTTTGGGATAAGTGCATTCAAACGGTGTGATGTACTTTTAACCAAACATGCTTACATTTGTGCAGTATGTTTCTCATCAACTTGAGCATGCATTGTATCACTCCCCTCATATTATTATTATTATTATTATTATTACATCTGTAGGCATATTTTCCTATTATAATCTCTTTTTCTCCCTTGAATGCTTTCCATTTCTGTTATGCACTAAACCTGTAGAGCAGTGATGTGAAATCTGTGGCCCTCAAGATATTACTGGACTGCAGGTCCTATCATTCCTCACCACTGTCTATGCAGGCTAGAGTGGATAGGAATTGTATTCCAGCAATCTGGAAAGCCCCAGGGATACAATACCTCTGTCATATAGTTTTATTTACATAAAACATTGTTTAAACAAAGCACAGAATTCTATCACAGTGGTGAGGAACCTTCTCCATGGGGGCCAAATAGGGTCTTCCAAGGCTCTATATGTGGCCATCAGAACTCTCAACACACCATACCCCACCCTCCTCAGGCCACATTTCTACCAACCTTGCTTTGCGTCCTCCTGAAGTGTATTTGCATAGCTGGAACATATCCTTCAATCTGATAATGCCTCTGCCATGACTGGGTGGACTTAGAGGGGTGTGTGAGCTTGTGTGGAAACCAGATTCCTGTGCTAAGGTGAACTTCACATTTGTTGCTATCGAACTGCAATGTTTTATGTGCTTCCCAAAACTGATGCAGCCTCCAACTATTTTAAAACTATTGCTAGATATAGCTACATCTGACTTAGCATTCATTCATTTTATTTCAGACCCTTTTATATTGCCCTTCCTGAAGGAGAAGAAACACTTTTTGTTGAAACAAAAAGAAAAAAAATGTCTTCAGGTGTTTCAGGAAAAGTGTAGATAGCCTCATATCTCCAAACAGTTGCTACAGAATAGGAACAGCCACACTGAAAGCCCTATTCGAAGTGACTGTGCAGCTTCTGATCTTTTTGAGACTTGAATAAGCTCTCCTGCAGCATGAAATGACCTACTGGGAATATAAGGGATAAGGCAGCTGCTCAAGTAACCTGATTATGACCTGTATAGGGCCTTGTATGTTAGGACCTGCTTGGTTGCTACAGGATGTATAGAGGATGAGGAAGAACCAGGTAGCCGTTTTTGAAGCAGTGGCTGCATTCTCTGTGTCCCTGCCCCCATTAAGTCTAGTTAAGTCTTGAATATCAGCAGAGGCAGTGTCTCTCTGCCACTACTAATATGAACAAGGCTCCCAAATCCATCTGAGATGCATCTCTTGTTTAATGAGATACTTATAACCTCTAGATTTCTTTCATTACAAAGGTTCATCAGCACAGATCATTATCAGTCCTGAAACCCTAAAGGCATAGGCTAACAAGAATAAAATGAGTTGCTTAGGGAAAACTCCTTCTGCAAGTATGTTTGATAGTCAATATTGAAAACATAATCTGATAATCTATTATTCCACAGAGATTTATATTTTAATTGAACTAGGCTAATTAGACATTGAGGCCTATGAATCTGCAGATATTCTCTAATGCTTTCAGTAGTAGAACTAAGGTTGAAAATAAGGCGGGCAATATATTAATTTGTCAGAAGCTGTGTATGCTCTTTGTCTTTAAATATTTAATGGAAATATTTTAAATCCTTTGACTAATTTCATCCTTTAGCTATCATAAAAGCAGGTCTCTCCAGGTCTGGGTTTCTGAGAGGAATATGTAATGTGTGTTTCAACATGCATTTTGGCCCCAGACCAGATAACTCCTTTAGGAATGCAGAACAATTTCCTTTTCTACATGAAGGCTGTTTACAAGTTTACTCAAAAGTAAATCTCAGTGGTGGTAACTCTCAGGTAGGGATGGGGGGGGGATGATTCAATATGTATTTAAAGCCAAATCTATCAAATGTGCACATTCTGACACAATATGTGAACCAAAACACAGTTTCCTTAAAAATTTGTACTTCATTGAATTTTGTGGTGTGGTTAGCTAAACAATGATTACAAATATGCATACAGCGGTACCTTGGGTTACAAACACTTCAGGTTATAGACACTTCAGGTTACAGACACTTCAGGTTACAGACTCCGCTAACCCAGAAATAGTACCTCAGGTTAAGAACCTTACCTCAGGATGAGAACAGAAATCGTGCGGCGGTGGCGCAGCGGCAGCGGGAGGCCCCATTAGCTAAAGTGGTGTCTCAGGTTAAGAACAGTTTCAGGCTAAGAACGGACCTCCAGAATGAATTAAGTTCTTAACCCAAGGTACCACTGTATTTTAAGAGAAAGTGGTCCTAGAAATGAAAATATTAGTGGTGGTAGGGACTTACAAAAACATTTTATTAGGGGAACCTGCTTGCAAAAATGTGTAAATTTGTAAAAACAAGAATGCATATAAAATGGGTTTAACAGAAGAAAATGCTGATAACTTTTTTTAAAAAATCATGGATTGCTGCAAAATGTAAAAAAAACACACACCTTAATTTAAGTTTGGAAAAATGGGCAACTGAATGAGAACAGAAACTGAGCTGGATCATAGCCATCAGTGATAGACAGAAGCTGTCCCAGCTGCCATTAATGGAAGGAAGCACCATGGTTCAGGGTGGTTTCACCATGACAAAGGTTTGAGCATTTCCATTCAGCTGGAAAGGTGCTGCCATCAGTTCTTGCACTACCGTTAGCCAGCAGAAAGTTCAGAAGCAGAGTTTCTGTGTGGAATGTGTAGGGTTTGATGGGTGCGGTTTGGGAGACATTTGTTTCATGCTACTTTCCTCTGACTGATACGAGCTGTCCATTTGCAAGTTCAAAGAAGAGATATAACAGGTAGAGATTATGGTACTGAGTCAGCATTCTGTCCATGACTGCAATCATTAGATGCAGTCAAAACTTCATCACAATAACTAGGTTCCTCATAGTTCATGCATAATTCCTTTTCTAATTTGCTATACTGCCACAAGAGATTGGAATTCCAGAAGAGTAGACATTAAGTACCCCCTGCACCAAAAAGAAAAGTTTGTGAAAGCACTATCCCCAGGCATATGTTCCTAACTCCATCATTTATTGGCTGAAAGAACATGAGGATAAGTGAGGAGTGTGACTACTACTACAGAACAGTTCTCTGTTCAGGCACAATCCACAATTTCTGTAAACAGTTTTCCAAACCCAACAGAAGCCTGCTTCTGCATATGAATTTCCCTTCCTGGAATAAGCTGGCTGCATATTTATTTTTTTGTAAAATTGTTTCAAGGTTAGGGCGCAGTCCTTGCATCCTGACAAATGTATGTAGTGTGTGAAATTATATTTAATCAAAAGATAAACCACCTTCAAATTGAGTTTACAACCACCTACATCTTGGAAGTGGTTGAAAAGCTTTTTAAAAATAAAAAAGTGAAGAGTTAAGTGTGTAAGACATTAGAGAGGAGGGAAATCCATAGTATGATGAAGGAATAATGGCTGAGAGCGATGATTAATATGCTAAGTATTGTAAGTAAATGAGCAGTCTAATGCCCAGAGATTGAAGGAGGAAAAATAATGATCTAAAAGCGTGACATTTTTAGGTGTAATTGGAACCCTGAAAAATCATCACTTTTCTATTAAGAAGTCTCTCATTATTACTGCATGTTACACATTTGTCAAGGGCTGGATGCCTTCACTGGTATTATTTAATTTTGCCATTTTTATTAGGTCTCCATTAACATAATGCTTCTTTTTAAAAGCTCATTTTCTCCCTTTATTTGCCGGAATGCAGGATTATACTTTGACACATTCAATTCATGAAACCTATTCATTGTTGCTACAATTGCAACTCCCTGCATCTTCTTTGTTTTGGAATCTGTTTTCCTTCCCTTCTCTTCTCTTCTCTTCTCTTCTCTTCTCTTCTCTTCTCTTCCTTTCCTTTCCTTTCACTTCTCCATTCTCCATTCTCCATTCTCCATTCTCCTTCCTCTTTCCCTTTTCTTTATTGCTTTCAGTTTGCAGATAGAAGGTGAAAGAAAGAAAGAAAGAAAGAAAGAAAGAAAGAAAGAAAGAAAGAAGAAAGAAAAAGGAAGATGGATCAGATCAATATCTATGAGTGGGGAAAGGTAAGGGCTGTAAAGAAACAGGTAGGTGGTGGGGAACCCAACACCTTGTGCTTCACCTGGAAACCAGTGAATTGTTATTGACTTAGATTTGATACCTGTAAACATGTTAAATGTTCTATGGCCAGGACACCGCTAGTGGTTTAGGTGTCTCCAAAAACAAAGAGTTAATGCCCAAGGTGGCAACTCTGAGGGGTCAGCAAGCAGGGTCAGCTTCAGGGGTCTTTGGAATCAGATCCATTGATCCCCCAAAACCACAACATCATGTGCCCATTTTGCTGAGCCAAGCAGGAAGGGAGGAAAGCCAAAACAAATGTTCAACAAGCTTGGACCACCCTGGCTTCTCTTTCATACCTCCTTTGGCGTGCAAGCAGAATCAGTGGAGGAGAGCAATGGTTTCCCACCCCACCCCAGCTAGACATGTAGGTGGTGTTGCACAGCACTATGTGCACTCGTGAGTTCTTTGCCTTTTTCTTCTTTCTTTCTCTCCCTGCACCCGTTATCCCTCAAGTGGGGTTTAGTGCTGCTCAGCTGTCATAACCACCAAATTTCCACTTCCCATCAGAATGCAAGTCGATGCCCATGAACTGTGTTCTTGGCACCAAAGGAATAATAGAATCACACCATTGTAGAGTTAGAAGGGACCCCATGGGTAATCTAGTCCAAGTACCTGCAATGTGGGAATGTAAACTAGAGATTGAACTCTAGGTTGACAGATTTGGAATAGTTGCTCAATCTTCTTCCCTCCCTCTTCCTGGAGTCTTCTGAGGTCCCAGAATGAGCAGGAGGTTGCAGAGAGAGAGTGACCAAGTCATTTAGAGCAGGTTGCACAGCATATAGTTGGACAAAAGAATCACCCACTAACCTTATCTCAATCTGGCCTGGATTCAGTTTATTTACCCTCATCCAGTTGACTATTACTTCCAAGCACTGATTCAGCACTTCAGCTGCTTCAGCTGCAGAAGATGAAAAGGAGAAATAGAGTTGTGTGCCACGAGCATACTTATGACAGTATGCTTCAAAACTCTGCATAAAACCACTCAGTGCTCCACAAGAACTACCTTCTGGAGCTGGTCATCCAAACAGGAGTTGAACCACCACAGCATAGTCAATGGAATTGACATCAACTGGAAGTTCAAGGAGGATCAACAGGATCACAATCCTCAATCTCTCTCCCAACACATGGCATTGTACAGGACAATCAGGGCAGTTTCCACACCAAAACCAGACCTGAATCTCAATTGAAATGGATTTAGAGAATCTGTCTTCTCCAATAGAACCTGGATCTGGTTGTCAGGGACTGGGCAGAAGAGGAGGAGTGGTGAAGACTGCCTCTCCATCCTGACACTTCCAGGAAAGAGGAAGAAAGAGGAAGATTTACCACAGGGGTTTGAGGGAGGTCATGGTGCAGAGGCAGATGAGGGAGAAAGTTGGGAAATCATGGGAGAGCCAGAGCAGCTGGCTGACATGTTGTCATTAGAAAGCATTCCAGACCCACTATCTCCCAGAACTCAGCAGGCCTTAAAAGTAGGAGAGCAAAGAGATTGGAGACAGAGGGCACTTAGCAGCAGCCATAGAGGACGTGATGATCACAATGCATGAAGAAGTGGGAGCGACGGGGGTGGAGATTCACCTAGGACAACACCATTATCCAAGATTCTGGGTTTTATAGCCTCACTCTGTAAAGTTTGAAATAAAAAAGAACTGTAAGAAACTTTTCCTTGTCTTTATGCTTTCCTGGGCAACTAGCCAGGACCATAACATGATTATATCAAGTGTGTTCACTTCCACATATACATATGCACATACCCCAGTTATCAAACAGAATCACCTCTTAGACATGCTGCATGCATAGACACATGTCAGCATGGTGATTTGTGACTGACAAAGCGTGTTCTCCTTCAGGGAGAGCACGTGTTGCGGTGGGGTCTACTGAGCCACCCCCTTTGTTGCTGGGTAAGTTCTCCAAGATGGCCAGGGGGCAGTGATTGGATTGCTGAGTTGCTGGGGCAAAAGTTGTGTTGCAATTTTGGTGGGAGGGGTAAAGGGTTTAAATACTCTGCACACAGCCTTGTACTTTCTCTTTTGCTGCGTGCAACGGATCACCCGCCCACCCGCCCTAGAGTAAGGGGTTGTTGCATTGACCTTGCTATGCCTGTCATGGGGTCGTCTGCCTTTGAGCAGGGGCCTGGTAGGAATTTTCCACCTGGCAAATTGGCCGGCTGGGTGGTTTTTGCCTACTGCGTAGCAAATCGTCACAACTTGTAAGGTTGTGGTTAGGCATTGGTTATAAATCTGCTGGAGGAGGGGTTAGGATAGGCTGGGCCTGCCCCTCCATGGTTGCTGCGGAAAGGGAATTCCATTAAAGGAATCCTGGGGCTTGCCATCTTTTCGTCCAATCCCTGGAATGGGACTAGGGCCGGCAAGCCTTCGGGGAGCAGGCGGGTGAGAATTGAGGGTCTGTGTCCCAGCTCCATTTCTCCCCGACTTGCTTTCCCCCGCACTGTCTTTCGGTGGTGCCCGGAAGTCAGTTCTGTCCCCAGGCGGGGGGACAGATAGTCTTAACCAATGCCTAAACAACCACTCACGTTTGTATTTTAATAAAGTTGTGGCCAAAATCATGCCAAAAATCTTAAACAAAAAATTACGTCTCCGTTGTGAGTTATTTTGGGGGTGGATCGGGGACCTCGACACGCAATTTATGAATAACCCTCCATAACTACTAATTTGCTGATGAAAGTGTGCATTAATTTAAAACACATCTCACACACAATATCTAAAAAAAGAAAATGTTGGGTATAAAAAACCCACATATCAATCTATGTACTGACTAGATCACTGTAAAGTATATATATTTTTCCCATAATGTGCCAAACTACTTATTATAAAACATATATTACCAAGAGCATTTGCAAACATTTTTACAATTACCATAATAGTGAACCTGTCCCCAATATATAAATGTTCGTGGAACACTGTAATGTGGCTAAGAGCAGGAAAAATCTCTACTTTTCCTTCATCAGCAAAAGTAAATATCATTCTTGTGGCACAGCCAGGTAAATATCATTTCATTTATCAAAGGAGTGGGGGGAAATACACAGTGACCTATTTTCTTTTGCCATTTTCCCCAACAGCTGCATTAAATCAAATGGAACGTATTAAAACAGCTACAAAAAGCAGATAATAGCTTTTTTCTTATTGCCTCTCTCAAGTCTGGTAGTGCTACAGAAGTTACAAAACTCATTTGTATCTACTCATTACTGTGTTACCTCATTCTGTGTCCTTGCAATGTAAGTAGTAATAAACGCTGGGGTTGGCTCCGATCAATTTGACATGAGCCCAGCTGTTGAAGGTTAATATCAACAGATATTGACATTTGGGCACAGCCGTTTTCTTGGCACCGATTTGGGCCATCTTTTGTATTTGTGTGTGCTTCTGTGAAGAACTACAGCATTTTCTTGAGGCAACAGCAATACTTCCTCGGCCATGGCTCTAGCATAGGAACTAGAACTGGTGGGGGAAGGAGATTGGTGTAGAAGATATAGCAGATGCTTCAAGAACTTGCACTAGCATCAACCTTTGCAACCAGGATGGAGTAACTGTGATTTTTTCCAAAATTGATGGAATCCAACTCCACTTATTTCTGACCATTTGCCATGCTGGAAGTAGAACTGTAGCCTTATTATGTTTACATAAACAACAACAACCATAATGCTGCCCTGTAGGCCCCTTGGACAATGCCAAGCTGTTCTTGGTAGACCGATCTTCATGTACTTTAATTCAAGGTAATGATGTTGTTGTAACTTCAAATGCTATTAAATGTCAGGGTACCAATCAAAACCCTTATGTTGTTTCAAAAGGTATAAAATTATATCCTAAGAAAAAATAGCTTAAACAATGCACACTTCTGAGGTACTTTAGAAGAAAGAAAGAAAAAGAAAAACCCTCTCTTTTAAGTACTTAATGTGAAAAGGAATAGACTTCTTTCAACTTAAGAAAATGCATTTGCATAGAAGTTTTGCACATTAAATCCTTTTGTGGTGCATTTCTCTACCTCAGTTACATGAAATATTTGTTCAGTTAGATACTAAAAGTTACCAAAGAAAATGTCATATTTTAGTTATCATGGCTGAAGATATATGGAGCCAATATGACTTTGGGTAGAATTTTATAGCAAAGCCTTAAATGTTAATATATTTCATATTAATTTATTTTTTTCAGTAGCAGTGTTCCAGTTTTTCCTGAAGGCAGCTATAAAGTCATTTATTTCATTCTTTCAGAATGTCTCATTTTTTTTAAAAAAAGAGATTTTCATCTAGTGCCATATTGTTTTCAGATATGATTGCTCCCTCCTATCTCCCTATTCTCTGGCCTACCATTCTTCATGAAAAGAGATTAAACATACCACAGTGAAAGCAGCATAGCAATTAAAAGATCATTTGCTGAGTGTGAGATATGATTATCTATTTGTATGTACAGCATAGAGATGTTATGATTGATGGAAGCTGACGGAACCATCTGAGTTACCATGCAGTCCATGCAGCCACTTGGAAATGCAGGGAAGCAGTAGGGGGGCTGCACAGGGCATGAAAGATGGACAAATCATTATTGGTTTGAACTTTTAATGAAGGAAAGGACTAGTGAGAGCCAAAATAGCAAGCATACATCAATTTATAGTTGATTGAGCAACATACATGTTGTGCAACACAAACCTCTTCCTCATTAAAAAACAGGATACTGAATTGTGCTGTAGATATAGAAGGCTTTGTTGGCAATTCAAGAAACTAGAATGTCCAGAGATTTTGATTGTGTGTGTGTGTGTGTGTGTGTGTGCATGCGCGCGCGCGTGCACCTACTCACCTACTCACATCTTGACATCACAGCTGTGCTAAACAGGTTGTGCTGATTGAGCACATGTGAGGTAGAAATTCAGTTCAGTTCACCTTTAGAGGCAAATCTACCTAATCCACACTTTCTAAAATATGTACAAACCCAAACACAACCAACATTTGGAATTTGCACTTCTCTGAATTGTTCAATGCCATTCTTCAGCCTTGAAATATGATAGATAGATGATAGATAGATAGATGATAGATAGATGTGTGTGTGTGTGTGTGTGTGTGTGTTTCTGGGGGGTATGCAAGGGTACACATACCCCTAAACATTTTGTGAATCTAAGTTTCTGGCCTCATTGAGGGGCAGTATTTCAATATGAGTGGGAAAATGAGAGTACCCATAAACTTTTTTTTTTTTTTTTAAGAAAAAAGCACTCTGTGTGTGTGTGTGTGTGTGTGGATGAATTTGCTGATGAATTTTCATGAGGACTTTTTCTTGAAAGGTGTACATTGGTATGTAAATATGGAGAACAGAACTTAAGGTTGAGAAGATGAAAAACTAAAATTGTCAGATTTGTCCGTTGCTAGCTGTTTCTTTATCATGTACTTAGAATATACTGCTTAATATAGTGGGGGGGAAATATTCAGCAGTGTGCATATTCCTCCCTGAATAGAAATGCAAATGATCACATTCAATAAAACTTCTTACAAACTATGTAAGAACAGAAGAAAGCTATATTGCAGATAAAACTGAGCCATGTGCAAAAACATGGCTTTGGAAGTACAGTTCTCCAAATGGTTTTGAAACACTGCAGGAAGAAACTGGGAACCTTTAGGTGGCAAAAGGACTCTTGGACCCCGTCAGAGCTTCCTGTCTCCGTCCCTAAACCAGGCAGACGCTTCTGGGCTTTGGGAAGGATGTGCCAGGCTTTTAATACGTTAATACTCTAATTTACCAGGAACATTTAGGGGACTAGCCTAGACCCCCTAGTCCACTGACTACATGCCGCTGCTTCAAATTGTTTTGAAACACTGTGGGAAGAAATTTGGAACCTTTAGGAATGGACCATGCATTCATTTATGAATATAAATTAAATATAGCCCAAACCAGCAGAACAGTCCTCTCTCCTCTCAGGTATTTCCACCATCTTCACAAGCCTGTTTAAATAATTTATTTACTGGAGCAGAGAATACATTGTAGCAAGTGGATGATTTAGAGTCTATTCATTTTTATTGCTCATAACAGTAATATGGCTTCAAATATAATCCCATGTTTTTACCACGTAATAAAAAGTGATAATATATTAATCATGACTAGATGATTGTTAAGCTTCCACAGCTCTTCTTCTAAATATTCAGTGGTGGTGACATTTTTATTTGTAACAAAGATTTATTGTTAATGGCTTCTTTTTCAACTGAGTATGTTATATCTGCACCCAAATGAACCAGTTTCAGAAGACTGGGTCCTAGTTTCAAAACAGCAACTGTTTTGGGAAGGGGAATTCTTGTAACCATAAGATATAATAGATTAAAAAGTGCATTCTGCAATCAATGCAAATATTCATTACCTCTGAGGGGGAAATTATGGAAGGGCAGCATGCGGACCTTCTGTCAGCACAGGGCAATAAGTTGCAGGAAAGTGCAGGCAGAGTAGCAGATAGCAAAGGTAGAGTCTGGATGTACAACTTCAAGGTTGCAGAAATCACTATGGGAATAAGTAGATCAAAACTGAGCTCTTGTATGATTGTGGAAGCATAGTGATAGACAAAATGCAAAGGAATTGAAGAGAGCCAGCACTATGGTCCAAGACTTGCCCTTTGCCCTTCACTGCTTATTTATTATTTACATGTATTCATCATCTATCAATCTAGTACTAAAGATAATGTTCCACAAAAGGCAGTTAATACAATAAAATGTCTTATAAAATAAGTTCAGCACAAGAAATATGAATACATAAAAAAGTTCTGTAACAACACCTAGGGGTAAAAATAAAAATAAAATGTTCCAACACTGACAAAGCCCTGTTTAGGGAAGTTGTTGTTGTTGTTATAGCAGAGACTAGAATAATAGTCCACATCAGCTTTAAGATATTAATAACACTAAAATATGTTAAAGGTGTTGGGGTGAGGAGAAGAGTCTTGGCTTGGTTGTCCCAAAATGTTCCTAGATGTGTCTTTTGACAGCTCAGGAGTTAGCAGACCTGAATAAGTCACTGTGCTAACTTTAAAAATATGTGTCCAAGGTAACGTATTTCATAACAACTAATTTTGTAATATAAAATAATAGTTTGGGGTTTTTTTAACTTCCCATGTTTTAAATTGCTAGATTAATGGTGGCTGCTCATTTCTATGTAAATCAGGTCTCTAGATCTCTCTATGCTACCCTTGGCATAATTAAAAAAATATGTGGCTGTAAGCAATTCATGTATCCTAAAGACTAAACACTTAAGATTTTGTCCTATCAGCAGTCTCTCTGTTCATAAGTGTCTCAAGCTGAGGAAGGTAAAACAAAGATACCTGCTGATCTATATTCAAGGGTGTCCTTATTAACTGCTTCAGTATTTTGATTTAGAAAGATTAGCCCATATAAATAATGCATCAAAGATAGGTGAGTTACTTTTGCATATGAGACACTTCCTTGTTTACAGTTTTTTAAAATGTAAAGTATAGTAACTATGCTGAGGTGAGTCACTGAGTGACAATTTAGTATTACTGAGGCTGCCACCTAAGCATACTTCCTCCCCATTGAGCTTCTGAAGAAAAACCACAGAATTAAGATGTGTGAAAGTAGAGAGAAAGTCAAGTTCAGAACTCCAAAGAGCTGGATATTTGCTCTGTAGTGAAGTTTTAGTTCAAGGTTCATATATTTAAGTCAGGTGAAGAGCTGATTGTAAATATTTGTAATAAATACATAAATAAGCAATTAATCACTTTTAAGAAATCCAGGGACATTTCTAACACTTCTAAGAAAACGGCTATATTATTGTGAAAATCTAGTAGTCACATTCTTTTTTTAAAAAAACCCTCTACTATCTGTATACGATAACAGTATGTGACAATATCACATGTCTTATACATTAGTTCAATTTGTAGACATGTCTCTGACTAATCTTGACAAAACCTCAACTCTTGTTAAACACAGTAGCCATGCTCCAGAATTCTAATTCCAATTTCCTCACAACAACAACAAATCATCATATAATGTGCCACAGATTCACATGACACTCTGGCTCATGGTCTACAAATTATTTTCTATGTGGGCTGACATTTTTCATTAGCCAAGATCCCTGTGCGCCATAGGTGACATTCCCGGCAGAGTGTTCTGTCAGAGCTACAAACCATGAATCAACACCCTACTCCTGAAAAGTCTGCCCCCCTCAGTGTGCAAAACTAGATTTCCATACTAGATATCCTTGTGGGATACAGAACTATATTTTTCTGTATGGGTTTTGTCTATGCGGCTGCCTTTCTTGACTTTATCGCCAGGATGGGAAAATCTTCTTAGAGCTATGAATTTCAGATTGATCCTTTGCATCCGATGCCTGGGGCTTAGTTTTGTTTAATGAAAAATGCATCACCTGGTGGAAGGGTCAGAGGAAGCATGAACAGGAATTTGAGCCTTTCCTCCCTGCTGCTGTTCTAGGGGAAACCTCTATTTTGAAGCTGGAATTTGGGTTTTTGTGGGGGGTGCAGTCCTTATTTTCTAGAAAAATAGGTGCCTTTACTCACCATGAAGTTGTTAACACTAAGTGTCACACTTTTTAACAAAACAAAACAAAAAGGTGCTGGTACTGCGTACTGTTGAGCTCCCCCTGGAAAAAAAGCTGGAGGGGAGAATCCATTACTGGCACCAATGGGCAATTTCTTCTGAATGTAAAAGCATATTCAGAGGCAGGCTCCAATTAATTATCGGTCCTATTCCTGTATTTGCATGTTGAGAAAGCGGAATGTTAGACGCAAAGAAAAATATCACCACTAGTTTGGCCCAAAGTGTCTATGTTCAGTCGCCAAATTGGTATGTTTGTCCCCCCCCCCCATCTATCTTTTAAAACACCGTTTCATGCAGTATGTATATACAGGTTGCATTTATTGTGGCAGACTTAAATCCTGATTGCCTCCATTAAAGTAAATTAACTGCAGACATGTCCAGTTTTGAGAAGCAGAAACCAAAACAGCTACACTTAAGCCCCCCCGCACCTTTCCTTTTCTTTCTGCTGTTATAGTTAAGAGCACCTGGATGTTCAAAATTCATACAATGTGAAATGCAGTAGCAAAACACAAAAACACAGTCACATATTATCAAACCTCAAATCTTTCTGTCCAGAGATATGGAGAGTCCTTTGGAGCTTAACTAATGTGACACACCAATTTTATGTGTGATTTCTCATCTATTACTTGGTTTATGTTTAAGATTACAAGATAACCAGGACAATTCAGATACTATTCCCAAAAGGATGAGACACAGTGCTACAAAGCACATTCATCTGTGCTGCAAAGATTGCAGCAGATGTGGTGTGTTAAACAAAAATCCCTGCTTTTTTAACGGCATGCTCTTCCATAGAAAATTCACTGTTAAAGGATGCATGATGGGGTCAGTAGCATTTCACTAAAAAAACAACAAAACAGCATCAGAATAAAAAGACATTATTATTATTTAAAAATTAATTGTCATGTCTAAAGAATAGCCATGTCTAAAGAAATAAGCCTCTTTGGAAAGTATTTAGCAAACCATTATTTTCCTTTATGAACATGTTTTTTCTGATAAAACTTAAAAATTGCTGTTATAAAGCAGGCAACGAGCAGGAGTTTAACCCTTTGTCCCTTATAAAATTTAACTCCTCCAGAGCTGCACCAAATCAGAACTTTTCTACTCCTGCAAACAGCAGCTTTGAAGGATTTTTTTTTAATGGTCTTGATTACAAAAGAATAGAAAAGGAATAAGCTACTATGCCTCACATATTAATGTTCTGATAATCAGATACCCTCCTCAGAAATTGCTATTTGCATTTAAAAACACACATACATGTGCATCTTAAAGGCAAGGATGCACTGAACATGTGTAAAGGCAAAGGTAAAGGGACCCCTGACCATTAGGTCCAGTTGCCGACGACTCTGGGGTTGCAGCGCTCATCTCATTTTACTGGCCGAGGGAGCCGGCGTACAGCTTCCGGGTCATGTGGCCAGCATGACTAAGCTGCTTCTGGCAAACCAGAGCAGCGCATGGAAATGCCGTTTACGTTCCCGCCGGAGTGGTACTATTTATCTACTTGCACTGCATGCTTTCGAACTGGAGCTGGGACCGAGGAACGGGAGCTCACCCTGTCGTGGGGATTCAAACTGCCGACCTTCTGATCGGCAAGCCCTAGGCTCTGTGGTTTAACCCACAGAACCACCCGTGTCCACTGAACATGTGTCTTTGATCCTAAATGTAATTATACATATCATTGCATCAAGCATTCTCAATACTGCACCTGGAAGCTTCAGAATGTTTTGTTGTTGTTTTTCTAAGTTAACAATTAAACCCTTTCAATATGACACCTCTTCCTGACTTTCTTCAGATTGCTTTCAGTGCAGTGAAGTTGATTGTTAAAGGAAAACACACGCCCTTGGCCCCTGCAAAACTAAGTGAAACGAAATGTGATTCATCTCTAATGGAAGAATGAACCAATAGAAGTGTCTATTGAGCAACATTGGTTTAATGGATAGGCAACAATTCTATATTGTGTTTTCACATAAATTCAATATCAATTTCGAACAGCATTCTGACACAAAGCAAGTTTGATTTTCCTTCTACAATGTGATGAATGCATCTTAAGAGACTAAGAAGGGGAGTGAAGAATTATATTGCTTAATACTAAACCAGAGAACCTCAGTTTTCAATAATGCATACTTTCACAAATGCAATTTATTATGTGGATGCGGCTATAGATTATAAACATATGTCCTATAAACAAATCTGCATTCACTGGTGTCAGGGAACTGTCATTAGTGCCGGAGGGAGAGAGCAAAATCCAGAGGGATCCAGAGAGCGTCCCGGGATTGGGAGAGGCAGCCAATCTTCTGGGGAAAAGAATCAGCGTAGCACCAGTGGAGAAAGGGGGCAGATGGGGGAAGCGGTGAGGCGGTCCCATGACTCCTTGCCGGGGACCAGCGGGGAGAGTAGAGGTCCTCCGCTGCCTACGCCCTCCTTGCGCAGAAGGCTTTTGCGCAGAGAGAGTAGGAGGAGACTAGGCGTCGAAGAGCTTCTTTGCTGGAAGAAGTTTAAGAAATGCCCACTGACGGATTCTGCCAGCGATTGAGACAGCCACGGGTGAGTGGCTGTCCGGACAGAAAAGGTTCACTCAGGCAATCCAGCCAGGTGTTTGCACCGGCTTACGCACGAGCAACCCCTAGAACCATTACAACTGGATATCCAGAGATTCCTTCTGTGACCTTCCAGTCTTCTGTATTTATACAAATTTTGTCTCTTGTTTATCTGCTCAGCTACTGGAAAATGCCGTGAAGGAGCAGCCTCACTGATATCGCTGATTGGTTGGTATTGGCTCTGACTTAACTTGGCAACTCTAAGCCATAAAGAAGACTGTTGGAAGACTGGAGCCTGGCTTGTGATCAGATGTACAAATATCCTGCTGCTGTTGTGGTTATTTTGCTGTTGTTGTTAATTCACCATCCAACAGGTTTCATGGGAAATGTTTCAAAACCAGTGCTTCACACCATTCAAATCAGAAAGCAGCAGCGACTCTTTAAATGCAAATGAGCAAAACACATCCCCACCTGCAGGCAGGATTTGCTGTTGGGACAAATGTCAAACATTTTTTTTTTCTTTTAGCTGTTGTGATGCCTAGCTCAGGTGGCCATGTGTCCTACTTTGAAGAGGACAAGCGTCTGTTTGAAGGAGTACTCTAACTGAAGGACCGTCTGATTTAAATATAAGAAACCACAGAAAGGGAGACCAGGGCCTAGCAGATGTCTGTAAATAGTTAGACCCTGGAAAATAGTCTGAGCAGCAACACATGTCACCTGAGAAGGGTTGCATTCCAACAGAAATTATATTAATTGTTTCTAGAACAAAGAACACATGCAAATTAGATGCATGCCTCTTCACTGGTAGCAGTAATAAACACCAACTTGGATTGCTTTAATATAACTCTCACACATCGCACAGAAGGTAATCTAATGACCCCCCCCCTTAATTGGGAGGGCAATGACACCCAAAACAGTGACAGGTGACGGGGTATTATTCTGTCTGGCAAGCTGCATAAGTGTTGGGGGAGCGCACCGCGCCCGGCAGCGCAATCCCGGTGGGGTGCCATCGCGGCTGCCACCCCACCCCGCTGGGCACCATGCCCCTACGGGCGGCATGCCACACCCCAAAGACACATGCCATGCCATGCCCCTGCCTGCTCCGCCCCCCGGTGTCGGAGCATGAAGCTCTGCCACTGCCCACAGATTCTCAGAAATGCAAAATTATCAGAACTTAGAGTTATAAAGCTCCCAAGATGGTTTTGATTAAAACAACCACCACCACCACCCTTGGCAATCAGAAGTAATTTTCCTATTGCTAGTGCATATAAAGCTATCCTATATGTATCTACTTACTGGGACTCCATTTCTTGCATGCCCACAGGTATCCTGTCTTTAAAAGCTGTTTTGGTTGCCTAGTTTGATGAAATTTTCCTTAAAAAATAATAATCTAAAGCTACTTCCAGGACTTTCCTTGCCATCATCCAAGGGATGAAGCAGTTTTGCATCTGCATGCTGGATTTTGTCTCCCCAAAAAACTTAGATTTGGGCCACATAAGATTCTCTTTACCATTTGCAGACAACTGTGGAATCAAGAATACTCAACCACAAAACAGCTTGTGTAAAAACCGGACACAAACATACACACAGACAACCTGCAGAAAAGGTGGTTCCTTTCTAAATCTATTTGTATGTAGAAAGCCACCTGTTTTACAGGGCTCAAGATCTCCATAAATACGACTCGCCAACAGCTTTATAAATTGTTTACAGTCTGTAGAGTCTCAGTCGCACAACCCCTAAGGACTCTGCACAAATACTCACAGACTCCAAGAATTGTAAATCATCACTTTACTGGAATTGCACATGAGGCAGCCGGGAAGAAATCGCCAGTTGCATTAATTATTTATTTACTTGAGGAAGTCTTTCCTCAAGAATTTAGCAGCTCACATAGAAAGACCTCAGGGGGAAAGCAGAAATATAAAGTTCAAATCTATTAGGCCTTTTGGTATTAAAATAAACATAACAGAACTGGCTCAGAGTTTTGATTCCTTCTCTTTTATTCCAAATTTAATGTGACTTCAGAGCAAAACGAGTTTCATTAGATGTCCTCTAAAAAGGTATTCCAATTGAACTTCCTTAGCTAAAGAAATAAATCCACACACACATGTGGCCCCCACATTCAAAATGACTCTCAGGCTGTTTCAAACATTTGCTACATAATGACCCTTAGAGACTTAAAACGGAGAGCTGGTCATCTCCTTGGTCAAATGGTGAGGCAGCTACTGCCAGGTTTCAACAACTACTCTCTTTTATTTATGAAGCTCTTTTTCATATTGCCAGAAAGCATGCAAAACTATATATGGGAAAAGAGCAACAAAATTGTGTCTGCTCTCATGGCTTCCAACATCTATGTGCCCAATTGGGACCTGTGTTCACTGAGCCTACACAGAGAGGAAGTTTGTAGGATGTGTTCATTGTTTTATTGCAAAGATTCTCTAAACTTTGGCAATGGGGACAGGGTGTGTGGTCTTAGACTTCCTCCATGTGTTCATTATACATTTTCAAACAGTGCGACACAAAATGGAGGCATGTATTTGGAGGAAGTGAAAGGTGAGGCAACATTCAGTTCGCCATATAGGCAGAGGTGTTGATTTCTGTCAGCACATTAAGTCAGAAGAAGAAAGGGGCAGCAACACTCTATTTGGATTACTTAGGAGCTGAGGAGTTTATTTATTTTTTAGATACAATATGTCAGACACAATAGGTTTGTGAAAGGGCCAAACTTAGCTCAGTGGTACAACAGATGTAAAGTAGAAGTAAAGCTTCATTTAGTCCAATGAAATGCACTGGTTAAATAAAATTTCGGTTGAATTCCTAAATACATTTTGATAGCAGTGGTGGGCGAACCTGTGATCGTCCAGATGTTGTTGGATTTTAGTTGTCACCATCCCTGAGCATAATGGCTGTGGCTGATGGGAGGTGGAGTCCAATGACTTCTGGAGTGATACAGATTCCCACACGCCATAGCACGGAATAACTCCATTGAATGCAATAGGACTATTTTTATTTTATTTTATTTTATTCGTTACTTTATTGTTAAATTTACATCCTGCCCTTCCAAGGGAGGCCAGTGAACATTCACAGAACTGCCCAGTTGATTGCAAGTTAAGAAAATTGTGGTTAAATATGATAGACATGGATGGGGTAGACTTGCATTATATTTAGTTAAACCTGGCCTTTGAAAAAATATTCATCTCCATTCCCCACCTATACACACAGGCTCATTTACCTAAAGCCATTCTGTTCCGAGATTAATAGTATCACATGCTGCAAAATATGATTTAAGGGGTTAATCAAATTAGGCAGCTACTTCTTCTTTTTGCCTAAAATCTCTCAGTGTGCAATTTTAACTTTTTCGGTCTCATGAAAAGAAACTATGTCAATCGTTTGATTTGTGAAGCGGGACAGCATATCTAATTTCAGCCTATTTAATGCCACATTCTTCTGGGGCTTTGTATGGCACTTTCAGCTGGTTTCCTTTGCGCTGGAAAAGAAAACACAGATCCACAGGCATGAAAACAGGCAATAGCTGCCACATGGTGATACAGGATTAGAGAGGGAGGCGAGTTCAAAGCTTGGCATGCGAAGTGTGCCACAGCAGCGTGCCCTGTCAGGCAATCCAGTAAGACTCGACATGAAGCTCTCCAAATGAGAAACCAAAATATGAGAAGTTTACGTGTGGGTGGTGGATTGGGGTTTTGTTTTGATTTTTGGCACCTGTTTGCTTCCTGATGGGTTCCAAATGGAACCCTGGGCCGTTTTTCTCTAATCCATCTTGGAGCTGACAGAGGTGTAAGTTGTGAGCCGCAGCTTGCCTGCTGTGCTGAAAGATGACAAAGCTCAATAAAAACAATTATTTCAAAGCCTCCATCTCATCTATTATTAAACCTGTGAAAAGAGTTTTAATTTCCTTTGCAATTACACTGTGGAATGTTATACTTGAGAAGGAAAACTAAAGAATGTTTGAGGGGGTGCCTCTGTGTGTGTGTGTGTGTGTGTGTGTGTGTGTGTGTGTGTGTGTGTGTATATATATATATATATATATATATATATATATGAGAAATGTGTATAATTCAGGACACTATTTAATGCCGATAATGTTCTTCCTGTCTCCAAATTTGAGATAGTTTGCTCTGTAAATACAACACAATTATTTGCAATTTTGCCCATAAAGAAGATCAGATGAAATATTAATGCTTCATAGCATATGCACGACAAACAAACATTGTCTTTGATAGCATCTTGCAGGTATTTTACAAATACAGAATGGCAGGCAATGATTTATGCATTTTGTCCCACCACAGATTTACCAAATTACTTTGATGAATGTTTGTGTTGTGTTTTGTCTGTAATACAAGTGAAAATGCACATTATATTCTTGTGTCTTTGACTAACCAGTGATTATGAGGCAATCTATTACACCGACCAATCATTCTTCTTATACAAATCTTTGTTGTTATTGTTTTAATCAAGATAAACTGATAGCACACAAATCCTCTGGTGCTTCCTGATCTCCGAGTTCTAGAAGAATTTTGCAGGATCTGACTACATAGCCCCAGCCTTCTCAAGCCCACGAGAGAAGGAATTTAATCTGTGAAAAAGCTAAGAAATAGATGAGACTGACATTTAGACCTCTCATAACTCGTCTAAGCTGACTGATGCCTCATTACTGAATTTAATTCTTTCATGCTGCACTCTGGTTTCTCCAAACATCTGGAATATTCATTTCACAGGAAATTAATATTTCCATAGTTCCGCAAGGGTTATACATCTTTACATTTCTTACTGCTCAGTATTCTAGCATACAGTAATTTTTAACTAAGTACCAGATACCAATGAACACATTGAATGCATATTTATGCAGATGATTAAAAAGGTAAAAGGCACAAATGTTTATCTGATGTAATTTTATTATATTCGGGATTTTGTATCAGGACAAGGTGGTGTTACAGGTCAGTGGTGGGTTGGTTGGCAGAGCCAGTACCATATCTACATCAATTATTCTATGGAGCAAAGCTAAATATATTTTTTCTTTTAAAGCAACTCCGTGAAGAATAGATATAAAGTTGCCCCCCAGATGTCAGTATTTTGTCAGATGGATTTAAGGCTGGCACAATTAAAGAGGATTAAAGTGCTGTCACCCAAGTATAACAAATTCATTTTTAAAAAAATGACTGTTTGCAGTTAGGAAAGTAATGGGGAAATACACTGAAAAGTGTGGAATGAACAAATGATTAATTAATGGGAAGATGTGTAAGCACTACTGAATAAAAGATACAGTCTTACCCTGCATACACTTTGTGCAAGCAAATAAGGATGAATGCTCAATAAGCATGTTGCCTGGAGGAGCCCAAGGGCTTGCATTTAGGACACAGTGGCGCCTCTTGTGCTAGGTGGATAAAGGTCCTCACTCCACCAGGGGTTCCCTCAACCATAGCATCACAGCTGAAGTCCCTAGCATCTTCTTTTTTTAAAAAAAGAAAAGACCTTTCGAGCACCAACTGCCGACTATGACCTGTGTGTAGGAAATGAGTACTGTGAAACCAGGAAGAATGATGGGTAGATGATTGTGTTTCTATCTCACCCACTCACTTATTTGTACCCCTGGTTCAGCTGCCTCTAGGGTCTCTGAAAGCGTGTGCGCGCGCACACACAAACACACAGGGAGGGAGGGAGGGAGGGAGGGATGGATGGATAGATGGATAGTGAAGGGGCCATGACTGGCCAAGGGAGCCTTTTCCGTCTTACTCATATGCACACATACTTCTATGCAGAAACACAGGTTGGTGGAAAGTATGGTGCTGAAGTATGGTGCATCAAGAAGGCTGATTGCCGAAGAATTGATGCTTTTGAATTATGGTGCTGGAGGAGACTCTTGAGAGTCCCATGGACTGCAAGAAAATCAAACCTCTCCATTCTTAAGGAAATCAACCCTGAGTGCTCACTGGAAGGACAGATTGTGAAGCTGAGGCTCCAATACTTTGGCCACCTCATGAGAAGAGAAGACTCCCTGGAAAAGACCCTGATGTTGGGAAAGATGGAGGGCACAAGGAGAAGGGGACGACAGAGGACGAGATGGTTGGACAGTGTTCTCGAAGCTACCAACATGAGCCTGACCAAACTGCGGGAGGCAGTAGAAGACAGGAGTGCCTGGCGTGCTCTGGTCCATGGGGTCACGAAGAGTCGGACACGACTAAACGACTAAACAACAACAACAACATGGTGCTGAAAAATGAAAGCCTTCCTTTGCTGTCTCCCTCCAACCCATCCATACACGCAAACTCATAGGGACCTTACCCTCATGCTCCTTTCTTCTCTATCCCATCTCAGCTCTTCTCCTCCCCCTGCCCCCAACCAGCACAGCAGCTCTTATTTTTCCTTTTTTATTTTTCCAGTGGGTAGCATGATGGCAACAAAAGTAGGGAGTGAAAGGCTGACATCCTAAACTGAGTGGAACTGCCAACAATTGCTTTCGGGGCCTGATAAATCAAAACCAACTTCCCATATATTTCCTCTTGGCAAGTGAAGCCTCTGCTCTTGGGGGAGGGGAGGAAAATGGCCTCATTTTGTTTGTGTATTTATCCATCAGGTCAGGGATGGATAAATACAAATCCCGCCCTGCCCAATTCCCCGTTTCCTGCCTACTGGCTAGGTTGCATGCAGAATGAGTGAGCTCAGAAATACAATATTGTTATGAATATGAGGGGGCAGAACCCCAAAATTCTTATTTTAGTAAATGGTAGAATTTAGCTAATATTTGGAGTATTAAGGGATGATGCCAGGCACAGTGTAAAAATATAGACTAAGCCTCTCCTCTTGTTCAGGAGATCAGCCAACAGAGGTGCCTTCAAGGAACAAAGACGAGTGATGGCAGAGTCATTACTCTGACAAAAGATGGGACATTCAATGTAAGACAAGAAGGGGAGTGCCTCCCCTAGCTGTGTGTTAGTTAGCAAAAGACAATAGAAGAGTTTGGAGGGCGAGGTTGCAAGGGTTGGAGGCAGAGCTTTCTAAACTTTTCATGTTGGTGGCACACTTTATAGACATGCATTATTTCGCGACACAGTAATTCAGTTTTACTAGCAAGCCAGAGGTGAAACTAACCCCTTTCCAGTCCCGGGAAGAGTGCAGGGAACCAGTGCTGGATTTATGTATAAGCTAAATAAGCTATAGCTTAGGGCCCCACTCTCTTTGGGGGCCCCAAGAAGTTTAAAGGGAGGAAAAAACTGGATGTACATTTCCAAAATATAAGATAAAAAACAAATAAAATAACACCTACATAAAGCAACAGTGTTTTGTGTTGTGTAGGCTCCTATGATGTAATTAGGTCCATAAATTAGCATATAGCATATATTCAACACAAAAAAAAACAGTGACAATTTGTTGTTGACAAAGGACAGCTGGACATATAAAGGGTCCCATTACCTTCAGTAGCTTAGGGCCTCATAAATCTGGCCTTGCAGGGAACATTTGCACACAACATACCTTTTTTAGGAAGAAGAAGAGAGGGGCCATGCAAGGCCAGCTGGAAGTGGCTGTACTCAAAGATCGGGGAACATGGCTGGCTTCTTCTCGGGACCCAAGCTTGCTGAAGCTGTGGAAGAAGCAACAAGACACACTTTTGGGGAGTAATGTTCTGCACTCCATCAAAACTCAGGTGTAAATAAGTGTAAGTAAACCATATTTCTTAATGACACTAGTTTCTCCGCCGTGCCTAATTCCAAAGCAACACAAACCCTGGTCAAGTGCCAAGACTCCTGGACTCTTATGCACCACTTGGCAGAGGTTGGCGTGGCCAGTAAAAATATTTTTTAAATGCCAAAAAAACCACCCCTCCTAGAACAGGGAAATAAATTGTTCTGCTTTGATATATAATAAGAATATCTTTAGGTATTGGCAATATTTCTAGTGCTGAGGCGCACAATGAAAAGGATAACAAGCTCAGAGATAATAATTTGCATATTTGGAAATACTGTAAAATTTGCAAAAGAAGAAGAAATCATTATCATGGAAACACCAATCCTCAGTGGCTGGATGTTTTGTGTGTCACTGGTCCAACTCCTGGTGTCAGGCTATAAGCAGGATTCTTCAGGGTTTTCTGGCAGTGGAAGTCTATTTAGTGCAATTTTGGCTAAGCAACAAATTGGACCAATGTGCGGTTTTGATTGGGCAGGAATAAAAATCTCTTCAAAAAGCAGAGATTCATACATCCCTTAGCAATGGTAAAGGATACAGTCATACATTTCTCTGACTAGTATACAAAGTGTGAAGGCCCACTTCACTCCTCTCCTCTTCCCTGGGTGCTAGGAAACAAGGTTGCAGGTAGCCCAGAAACTGATATGGAAAATGATATTGGAAAAACGAGAAACTGTGAGGAACTGAAATTGACAGATTGACCCATCCCTAATTCAAGTTCAGTAGTGAAGATGTTTGTTCACAAATATATATTGTTACACATTCCCAAACAGTCAGAAGTTGCAGGAGAAGCACTACACAAGCTTGGGTTTCCTTTGGTGGGAAGACCACTAATATATAGAGAGGGATGTGAAAGAAGTCAGAAATGCAGCTTGCAGGTATATACATACGAGAAATGTGAGGACTACATCAGAGGTCAAGAAGCAAGTTGGTGGCTGATGTTCAAGAACAAAGCAAAGCAAGACTTGATGAAACTTCTTGTTTAAATTCCTTATTGACTGATGTTATTACTTTCTAATGTTGTTTTATGATCAGAAGGTAATGTTGTATGCTTAGTAGGATATGTGTTTTGCAGAGAAACTAATTTTTTATAGCATTACCTGACATTTTCATAAGGTAAAAATACAATTCTTTGGTTTTAGAAGAGCATTTTATCTGCTTCTTAGTCAAATGTAGATTTGCGTGTTCAGACCCAGAGACCTCCCCCCTAAATAAACACACATTTGACTCAAATTTTAGTTTTTGTTTTTGGCAGAATTTAGGCCACAACTTTATTAATTACAGAAAAGTGAGTGGTTGCATAGGCTCTGGTTCGACTTGCAGGCAGCGCTGACCCAGGGCACCAGAATAGGTCAGCAAGGATGAACACCTGAGGTAGGCAAAAAGCCAGGAACAGACTATGTTCACGCCCCGGATGCTCCCCTGGACTCAGGCACGTGCACAACCCCCTCTCAGAGGTTGACCAAACCAGTTGAGTCCCTGGATTCCTTTAAGAGAATACCCTTCACATAGGGATGGTGAGACCATTCTTCCATCCCTATCACCTGAACCAACGCCTATCCACAACCTTACAAGTTGTGACAAATTGCTACGTGGCAGGTGAAACCCAAATAGCAACAGCCAATCAGCCAAGTGGGGAAAATTCCTGCCGTGCCCCTGCATAGCAAGGTCAATTGCAAAATGCCCTAAAAATAGGGAGAGGTGGGCAGGTGTTCTGAATGCACAAGCCAAAAGAGGAAGCTCTGGGTCACATGCATGGGTATATATAGGTCCCTCAATCCATTTGGACTGCGCCCCATTGGCCAGATTAAACCCAACATCAAGGGACCTACCAACTGAGTGTTGTGGCTGTCCAATTTACCCACCCACAGCACAGGAGGTCAGTCTCCAGGTCTCACCGCAACACAGGCCCTGTTTTAGGGAAGACATGATTTACCAAGCTAAATGTTGTCCAATCACAGAAATAATAGCATTTTTTAATTCCTCACAAAAGACCCATCAGTGCAGAAATTTGTAAAAATTACATTTCACCTGCCTAAAATGACACACAGCCGTGCCTCAGATGATAACAGGATGCACAAAAGGATTGTCCCTTCTGTGACTAGGTTTGTATGGGATGAAAACATCCTTCAGACAACCTGAGCCCATGTTGTTTAGGTCTTAAAGGTAATCCCCAGCACGTCCAACTTCACATTGAGACATATCAGAAACCAGTGCAGCAACAAAAGTGTTACATGATCCTTAAAGCAAACTCTGTTGCAGACACAATAATCTAATGAATCACACACACAACAATGTCCAGCTCTACTTTGCTAGGAATAGGCACACTTGCTGCACTAGCCTAGGTTGTGCAAAAGCACTTCTAGATACAGATGCTAACTGGGCATTTGGGACAAGGCCAGGAGCATACTCACACTGCATGTCTGATTCTTCAAGGGGAGTGCAACCCAAACCAGAATGTCTTTCTATTCCTGGATCAGCCTTCTTACTAGCCAATGGCATTTTTCCCTTACCTGAATTAAGCTTCAGTTTGTTATCACAAATCTGGTCAGTCACCATCCTTAGTCACCAATTCAAAAGTTCCAGAAATATGCAGATAAAACAGAAGTGTTTATGAACAGTATGCATACCTACAAGGTAGTGGATCTGCTATTCCACCTCTGATTGTAAAGTGCCTCCAGCTCACCACCTTCTTTCTGCTTCACTTGGCCTCACCACCACTATTGCTTTTTCACATCTGCCCTTCAGATTCTCCAGGCTCTAATGCCTTGAACTCATAACATAACATAAGAAAAGCCCTGCATGAGCAGGCCAAAAACTCATCTAGTACAACATTTTTCACAGTGGCCAACCAGGTGGCTATGGAAACCTCCAAGCAGGACATGAAAGCTATCGCACTCTCCCAACGTGTGATTATGAGACCTCTGGATAGATCAGTCATTAATTCCCTTTAAAGAAACACCACCCAACAATTAACAAACAATTTCCCTAACTAAGGACGTTCAGCTAAGCAATGTATTTACAAAAAATTATGGAAAATAAAGGTTGCTCTCCCCCCTTGAAGTGTGTGCGTGGGACAAATTAATGTCTATATTAATATATATGAAGTTATTTTAAATTTGTTAAAGTGCTTAGCTGGCTCTGTTGCCCACTCTAGTTATAACATGTAGGATTTCCCTTCCCCCTGTTGCAGAAACTGTATGCTCTGTTGTCAATGCAACATACTTTTCTTTTCATTATAACTAACTGTCTTAATAATTCCTTCTATCAATCAAATTGCATTTTGAGGTACATTGTACAGGACTTAGCCTCAGATTTCATTAGACATTTTTTTTTGGGGGGGGTCTTAATTAAAAGGAGTGAATTGAATTAGTAGAACAGCATACATTTTCGATAAAATAATTGCTACTACAAAATAACAAGGCATAAAAGAGATCCTTTAAAAATGTTTAATAAGCTGGCAGTCTCTATTTTTATTTTTTTAAAGGTACCCAGACACATTAAATCTCTCCATGCTCAAAAGACTATCATGGATTGCCATTTATTTATTTACAGTAACCAAGGGCGTTTCTAGTCTATTGCTATTTTCTTGCGGGATTCAGTCACATACTGGCAAATTCTTATCCTATGATTGCTAAGCTTGCTCAGGAGTCTGATGAGGAACTTTGTCGAAGGCTTTTCGAAAGTCATCGTAAACAATGTCAACTAGATCACCTCTACCTATATACTTGTTGACCCTATGAAAGAACTGCTAAAGGTTAGTAAAACAAGATTAGGACTTATCATTGCATCAAGATTCAGTCTTCTCTATGCTTTGTAATTCTATCATTGACAATGCTTTTGGTCTTCTTTCTAAAACTCAGTGACCTGTATTTTCCAGGATACCCCCTAATCACTTTTTAAAATTTCATGTTACATTGACTGCTTTCCAATCCTCAATTATGGAGGCTGTTGTCAGGGTCAAGTTGCATATTTCTGTTAAAACATCAGGAATTCTACATGTATGTTTTTGAATAACTCTTGGTTGAATGCCATCTGGACATGGCGATTTGTTCATCTTTAGTTTTCCAATAAGCTATTGATTCATCTGTTGTCACACCTATTTCCTTGCTTTCTTAGACTCCCTTCCCAAGAAAGTTATTTCAGGCATTTGGACCTGCTCTACACCTTCCCCTGTTTAGGCACATGCAAACAATTCATTAACCTTCAACAACACATACACCTTGCACTGGGTCTTGGGCACTGCTTAAGATTAGGTCTGGGGTTGCTGTGGGGTTGTTCTGATCAGTTATATGACTAAAAGTTCAAGGACACATACATTTAAGATACCTAGAACATTTACTACTTTGTCATAACTTGAAAGTTGCATTGCATTCCATCCTACTGTCTTCTTACATCTTATGAAGATTATGTATTTTTCAATGCAGCGGTGGAGGAAGCTGTTCGGGTGCCTGGGGCAACATACCTAGGGGTGGGGCAAGCCACCCAAAGGGGTGGGGTGCACTGCAGGACCTCCAGAGTCTGCCTGCCTCCTCCCACTCAGCCGCCCTTCATTGGGGGGGGGGGAGCAACCAGGGGACCATTTGGGCAGCACGGAGCCTGCGCACGCCCAAGCCACTGCATCTCTCCCAGGAGAGACGCATGGCTCGGACACGCTGCAGGACCCACAGTGCCGCCCGGCATTTTGTCACCCCCCCTCAGGGGTGACACCCAGGGTGGTCCGCACCCACCACACACCCCTTCCTCCGCCCCGTTCTCTGGTAAACTAAACATTCTGTATGCCTCTTTTCAAGGCTGGCCCAAGACATTTTGGCACCCGAGACAAACCACAAAATGAAGATCTACATCGGGAATAAGGGCAATGAATCAAATCAAACATCTAATGGTTGAATGCAAGTGAAGAGGACAGATGGCACCAGAGAGAAGCCCCTGCCATTTCCTACCTCAGGGTGGATGGACCGGCAGCACTTCCTATTTGCTAAGAACACAGTGTAGAGGCTGCATTGGGGGCACTGCTAAGGAATGTGGCAGATGAGGCCTCCAAGAAGCATGCAGCAGTGTTGGGCAATGAATTCCCTGGAGAAATCTGCTGCTCCTGTGGATCTTTCAGCCTCCACCTGAGCTTGCCTCATAAGTGGGCTGGCCCTGCATCTTTGCTCTTAAAGCTGAACATATTTGGCCCTGAAGGCTGCTTGGATGAGAACCAAATGTAAATGGCCTTGAGTTCCTCAGAGGAAGAGTGTATGAGTGTGATCAATAAATCACAGTGCTTCTGGTTATTCCCTTTGGAAGCAAGACAATAAGAAAAATAAGGACATGAAAACAGAAAAACATCACAAGAAGAGCAGTGAGAGTTGGGCTTTCTTTATTTTAAAATGAATGCAATCAGTGAGTTCTAAGTAATAATGGAGAGTGCATTTGAAGGATGCTGAACTGAATGTTTCTTTGCAATAGTGGCTTTACTTCTCCTGCGTCTGATAGGAGGTAAGCAAACGATAGGTGTGGCCAGCCCAAAACAGCCTCATGGGCCCAAATGAGGAAGCCTATTGGGACTACAGTCTGTGGACTGGAGGTTTCCCACGATGGCTGTACCAGCTCAAAGTCATTTCCCTCTGTATTATGGCTGACAAGTGTAGAGTTCTTGGTGAGAGCCTCTTAAGAGCAAGACAAGAGTCCTCTGTTGTCAGTTTTTGCTGAAGAGATTGGAAGAAAGGGAGTTGTGAAATTTCTAAAACAAAATCAAGAGAGCAAGGAGCGGAAATCCAATCCAAATTTGATAGCTGAGAAATGTCTCTTCATCCTCACACCCAGCAGGCTTTAAAGTAGATGTCCAGTTCATGGTAAACAAAAATCCTGGGATTGTGAGTTGTACCATTAGTTCCCCCACTGTGATCTTACGGAAAACTATTAGTGATTACCATACCATGAAAACAAACCCCATCTGTTTTATCTCCAAGACAAATTTTTCTCAGTGCTTTATGACAATGCAATCCTGTCTTTACCAGCTGTGGAAACCTATTTCTGATGCTTTTAAATGAATGGAAAATAATCTAAGGAGGAGGGAAAGCCACACCTGAGGCACAAAATTAAAACTTATTATACAGTGTGACTTTGGAATTTCTCTTGAACAGACTTACAGCTAGCAGATGATTTTTTTCGTCTTACATAAATGAATGGCACCCATACAGATGTGGCAGAGATAGAGGTAACTTGTGCATCTATGACCTCCCAATTTATTGTTATTGGCTCCAGGTATTGTATTGATTATTTGATTTACATTTTTCAAAAACTATTACACTGATCAGTTTGCAACTGAAATAAAGAGAAGGGGCGAGGGGAGGAAGGGCAAAAGTTCGCTACACCATTGTTTCTATATTCTCTGTCCTCTGAGGCTGCATTATATTATTGCTGAATAGTTGTATAGAATTCAGAAAATCCACGTGCTTCTTGAAGCATTTAGACACACATGAAACTATACTTCTTGCCTGTTTTATTACTAATGTTTCAAGACTCCCTGCACTCAGGAAGGTTCTTTTCACACCTGCAAGTATAGGAGCCCACAGAATATTACACTGAAATGGACCAGTCTGATGAGATTCAGCCTGATATGATTTCAATACCTCTGTCCATCTCACTCACAGCTAGTGTCTGCCTGTCTGCCTGTTATCTCTCAGTGTTGTACATTTCAAAGTCAGGTCAATCCCAAGTTTTCAGTCGCCTTTAATTTATTTGAATATTATCTCTCACGACCTGAGGACATATTTAAATAGACTATTCACCTCATGAAATCAATGCAATAAACTTGTTCAGCTTCAAACAAAGAATGCAAGAATCAGTCCTGAAATAAATACAATATTCACATTTATAAAATATGCCAAGTAATCAAAACAACATTTATATGCCACTCCTATCCTTCCAGCCAATACCAAGTATCATATTGAATAATTGTTCAATTGCAATATAAGCCAATGTTTTTATAAGGACTGTAGCAGCTATTTCTTTCCCCCCCCCCGAGTTATACTATTTCTTTCTTGAAAATAAGCTTATTTCATTCAAAATGGCAATAAATTCTGAGCCACTGTCAAACCCTTGGATGACAGACATCTTGTTTAATTGTTTTCACTACCATAAGAAGTTACCAAGTCATGTTGCAAATTCTTTTACAGTATTCCATAAATATAGTCCTTCTTTTCTGTCTTCTCAATGAAAACTCGTGTTTATGTCTTGAACACATCTCTTCTTGTACTGCACTCTTCTTATCCCTGCTCTTTTCTTTGGTCTCACCTTCGTCCATCATATCCATCCAGCTGCCAAAATAATTCATCTGTCTTGTCATTCTCTCTCTTGCCATCCATCCCTTCCCAGGTCTTTGTCCAAACCTTTAAAACCCTCCATGGCCTTGCCTCACCATATCCCTCTGTACTAGTTTTGGAGACATTCCATCTCATAACCTTTGATTGTCCAGCTCTCCCACCCTCAGCCACCAAACATCCCCTGCTTTCTGAAGTAACTCCACACATTTCCCCTTGCTGCCCCTTATTGCTTCTCTAAACGTCTTCCCCTCATTTCCTTTAAGTCCTTCTTCGAAATTCACCTATTGGGCACACCCCCTAGTGTAACTAAGCCAATTGATGGCCACATCTGTGCCGTACATTTAAAGCACTCTTACACTTGCTAAGAGTGCTGATAGTTATTAGGAGAGCCCGGTTGCTCTCAAAGCTCTACAATTCCCAGAGTTGCCTGGGAAGATGGATTGATAGTTAAACCACTATGAGGATCACTCTATGTGAACTAAAGTAAGAGGGGGGAAATGTCCTCCATTTCTTTGTGTCTATTGTAAGCTTATTGGAGTAGGAATCTCTCATATCCAGGGTGGATGTGTTTGTGTTTTAAACAGTGTGCACACAGATGGTGCTATATAAATAATAATATTATTGATTTTGTCTTTTCACAGGATACTATCAAATACCTTGAGCAGGGTTTGATTCTTAAAAAGCTAGCCATCCCCATAAAAAACCCACACTGGTAAACATTTCCAGGTTTCTCAAAACAGAATGCAATGGTAATTGGATTCAAAGGTCAGCTGTTCCAGTGTGCTGCATAAACCTGTCATTTATAATACCTCCTGAAGAGTGGACACCTTTGAATTAGTGATAGTTGTGATTGTCTCCATGCTGAAAACTTCTCTGTATGTGGAGTTATGGTAATCCACCTGGACCCATTATAGGTTTTACCTGTGAAGCAGCAATCCAGCTAAAATCACATCCTGTCATTTTGATCAAGATGGGATTTGAAACTAAGCCTCGGGAATAAAAACAGACGGAACACATTTTCCAATGCCTCACAATCTGGACAATGGCTCATTATACTTGATTTTTGGAAACATACACACACATCGTAACCCCCACAGATACTTCTACATCACTGAACTTAACATTTCTGCAAAATGATGTGCGTTCCAACATCCCATTGCATTCACCAAATAAACGAACATTCCCTATGCATGAATGCATAAATAAATACATACAGCACATGTCTCCAGAGGCAAGTATTTTCCCCTTTCAAAGTACTTGACCCAGGATTGCAGGATTTCCTCCTTATCCTTATCTCTGACTTTAGTGAATTCTTCATAAAACTCCCAGCCAATAGCTGTGGACCATTGCTGTAGAGCAGGAACATGGAACCCAGTGTTGAACCAGCAGGCCAGATTGTTACTGTCCCCATCCCCATAGACAACCCACCAGCCAATCACGTGACATTGTGAAATACAGTGGTGCCCCGCAAGACGAATGCCTCGCAAGACGGAAAAACCGCTAGACGAAAGGGTTTTCCGTTTTGAAGTTGCTTCGCAGGACGAATTCCCCTATGGGCTTGCTTCGCAAGACGAAAATACCTTGCGAGTCTTGAGATTTTTTTTCGCTTTCCCCCCCCCTTTATCTAATCTGCTAAGCCTTTAATAGCCTTTAATAGCCTTTTAGCAGCTAATCCCCTAAGCCTTTAAGCCTTTAATAGCCGCTAAACCGCTAATAGCGCTAATAGCGCTAATCCGTCAATGGGCTTGCTTCGCAAGACGAAAAAACCGCTAGACGAAGACTCTCGCGGAACGGATTAATTTCGTCTTGCGAGGCACCACTGTACAATGACTAACAAACAGATTGCCCCACCCACCTACCCAAGTCCCTTGCATAGCACTTCCCAAGCACCCAACAGCCAGTTGGTTGTGGAGTGCTTAGAGGACAAAATAATAAGCATAGACCAAAGCTGCTTTCGGCAGGCATTGCCTTTGTGATTGAGTTCCCCACTAGGAGCTCAATATTTGTGATTGTCAGTCACAGGTATGCTCTGCTTTATCACCTCAGAGGCTTTTTGTATAACCCTAATAGTTCAACTTAACAAAGGGTTGGGACAGGAGAACTGAGTAGGACAGAGATGGGGAACCTGTTCCCTCTCAAGTGTTGTTGGATCTACAACTCCCATCAAGCCTAGCCAGCATGGAGGACCACAAACTCTCCATCCATGGGGTAGGAGGGAGGGTGAGAGAGGTTTGGCTGGAAATGGTCCATTGGATAGGAAGTTCTGCAACAACAATGTTAAGTGCAGGAAAAAAAACAAAGGGAAGCAAGGGAAAACCAGAGAATTATAGACAGTGGAACACAGACACAGATATTATAGACAGTGAAACACTCATAAAGGGAAAACGTATTTATTTCTAATAAATCCACAATACTTACTCTATATTCACAATTACTGTGCAAGTGCCATTACATATAAAGTCGTGATCTGAGCTGTCCTTGTCATTTGCGTTAGGTACAGATCATTCACTTGCTACTTTATTGGAGGGACATGTTGGAGCTTTTATTAAATCTTGCTTGTCACTATAATATTTTCATGATTATAGCTTGCCTCCAGAGAGCATTTTTCATTGACTTCTGAATCTGACTCTTCACCGAGATATTTGCTCTCAAAAGGCAAAAATCATTGCTACAACAGCAGTAAATCATTATGGATGAAACTTTGAATGTGAGATGTCAGCATCATAATAAAGGAATTAAAAGTTCAGCAAATTAGCAGAGTCAATCTGTTTTTGTTTTGTTTCTCAGAACAAATACTTGAAAGATGAGATGAATGATCTCCTATATATGTGGAGCCGACACTACATAGCTCCCTTGAATACTGTATGTATTCTGAAGTGTGTAAGGAAAATGTTGAAAGAAATGTTCGTAGATAAAACATGTTTGCTTTGGGGGGACACATGTGAATCTTGTTTCTAGCCCACACAATTAGTAGTTAGTGTTACAAAGAGCTGTCCCACTACTCCGTGTAGCAACATTTTGGGATGGAGCTGCTTTATATTGAGTTAGGGCTGATCCACACTTCTGTTTGCCCCACTGCTTACTCCCAGGAAAACCCACTGTTTAGCATTGAATTAGAGAAAACTGCAATTCGGTTTTCCGTGGGAAAGCAGAAGGGCAAAGACAAAACCATTCAGCCTCATTCATTCTAGGCACAGAACAAGCAGAAGTGCAGACAAGGCCTTAGACTATTAATTTATCTAGCTCAGTGTTATCTATACTACCTTTGCCCAGCCTTGGGCCCCAGATACTGCTGGGGGTAGAACCCCAGTCCTTGGTCAGTGGCCTAATGTGCAGGGATGATGAGAGTCCAAAAACATCAGAGAACTGAAGGCTTGAAAGGCTGCTGTATGCTGACTGGCAGTGACTCTCCAGGGTTTCAGACTGGGCTCTTTCCCAGGTGAAATTCACACACACATAAAAAAAACACTAGGAAAATGTTTTGTTTTGTTTTTTAAAAAATTGAAAAATATATTGAATTTGCCATAGCTCTCAATCACCATCTAGTGTCACATTTGTATATTGCACTTTGCAACACACTTAAAATGTTTTATTTGCAGCAGTATAGCTGAGTCACTAGTCTCATCAGGATATTTTGGGACTCTTCCCACCAATGCAAGCATAGTTGTGCCAGAAGTGATGCTGTTCTCTGGGTGCAAAATTAATGATGGACTGGTATATTGGACTTCCTGGTGTGCCCACAAGCCCAAGGTTTCCCACTCCTCACCTACTCACTAGCTTGCAACAATTTTCCCTTTTGCTGTATTCAAGGAAAATGTGTGTACTTTCTTCCACAAATTTCCCCTAACCTCTATTAGCATATTCACTCTTGTGTCTTCAGCCCATTTTACCACATATTTGACTTGTTCAGCCTCTGCGTCACATTTGACAAGCAGTTGATCAGTCATTGCTAATCCATGTCCATGATTTTTCATTAGCTTCTCCAATTCTGTTGCTTCTCTTCTGTTCCTCATGTATTCAGAGATTTTCCTGAATGCAATTCTTTTCATTTATAGAAATGGCAGAGTACTGAAACCTTAACCAATATTCTATTCTGAATTATCTAAATTAGGAAAAACTTGTGTAATAAGAACAGCAGCTGCCACTTGAAGGCATCATTATTTTAGCTTTGGTTGCTTGTATTCTCTGTCTGACATATAGATATTGATATATATTTTAAAGAAAATAACAGGCACTCAACTGCCTCTTTTCAATAATACATTTTGAAGAGTGCAAAACTGCTGGCATAGCTCTATGGGGACACTCTTTTAACCACTATGCTGATATTACCTATTGCTCTATGTTCCTTAATCAGAACCAGAGCTTTCTAGAAGGGCCCACAGATACATCATGGAATCCATGATACAGAGCAACATGGAATCCATCCCTGTCAGTCACACATTAGACCCATTAAGTCCTATCCTGGTAATGGATCCAGCCTCACCCTTCTGTGAATGTAAAGGCTTCTTCCATACTTAGAAGATTCAGTGGAGACTCCCACTGGAGAAAGGAGAAGGAGCCAGTTTCACCCCTTTCCCATCTCCAACACTGTTACTGTCCAACAACTTTTAAGGAGGCACAGGGGCTGCAGAATGAAGATGATAGGAATAAATGAAGACACCCCCCACCCTTATTCCAGCAGGAGCATCCTGTGATCTGGCTTTGACTCATTGGAATTCCAGTTTCAGCCCACAGTGTATTAATGCTGGGACATGTTCCCTATGAGCTGACCTCACTTGGTTGATGTTTGCTGTTTATTTATTTCATTTGATTCAGTGGTTTTAATGAGGTGTTGTTTGTTTGTTGTTAGTATCTGTTTGGTTGTGGCCCTTCAGAGTGGGTTACATCTAAAATATATAATGTTGTTGTTGTTGTTTAGTCATTTAGTCGTGTCCGACTCTTCGTGACCCCATGGACCAGAGCACACCAGGCACTTCTGTCTTCCACTGCTTCCCGCAGATTGGTCAAACTCATGCTGGTAGCTTCGAGAACACTATCCAAACATCTCATCCTCTGTTGTCCCCTTCTCCTTGTTCCCTCAGTCTTTCCCAACATCAGGGTCTTTTCCAGGGAGTCTTCTCTTCTCATGAGGTGGCCAAAGTATTGGAGCCTCAGCTTCACGATCTGTCCTTCCAGTGAGCACTCAGGGCTGATTTCCTTCAGAACGGATAGGTTTGATCTTCTTGCAGTCCATGGGACTCTCAAGAGTCTCCTCCAGCATCATAATTCAAAAGCATCAATTCTTCGGCAATCAGCCTTCTTTATGGTCCAGCTCTCACTTCCATACATCACTACTGGGAAAACCATAGCTTTTACTATACGGACCTTTGTTGGCAAGGTGATATCTCTACTTTTTAAGATGCTGTCTAGGTTTGTCATTGCTTTTCTCCCAAGAAGCAGGCATCTTTTGATTTCGTGGCTGCAGTCACCATCTGCAGTGATCATGGAGCCCAAGAAAGTAAAATCTCTCACTGCCTCCATTTCTTCCCCTTCTATTTGCCAGGAGGTGATGGGACCAGTGGCCATGATCTTTGTTTTTTTGATGTTAAGCTTCAGACCATATTTTGCACTCTCCTCTTTCACCCTCAATAAAAGGTTCTTTAATTCCTCCTCACTTTCTGCCATCAAGGTTGTGTCATCTGCATATCCGAGGTTGTTGATATTTCTTCCGGCAATCTTAATTCCGGCTAGGGATACATCCAGCCCAGCCTTCCACATGATGAATTCTGCATATAAGTTAAATAAGCAGGGAGACAATATACAGCCTTGTCGTACTCCTTTCCCAATTTTGAACCGATCAGTTGTTCCATATCCAGTTCTAACTGTAGCTTCTTGTCCCACATAGAGATTTCTCAGCAGACAGATGAGGTGATCAGGCACTCCCATTTCTTTAAGGACTTGCCATAGTTTGCTGTGATCGACACAGTCAAAGGCTTTTGCATAGTCAATGAAGCAGAAGTAGATGTTTTTTCTGGAACTCTCTAGCTTTCTCCATAATCCAGTGCATGTTTGCAATTTGGTCTCTGGTTCCTCTGCCTCTTCTAAATCCAGCTTGCACTTCTGGGAGTGCAAACAGTCCACATACTGCTTGAGCCTTTCTTGTAGAATTTTAAGCATAACCTTGCTAGCGTGTGAAATGAGTGCAATTGTGCGGTAGTTGGAGCAATCTTTGGCACTTCCCTTCTTTGGGATTGGGATGTAGACTGATCTTCTCCAATCCTCTGGCCACTGCTGAGTTTTCCAAGCTTGCTGGCATATTGAGTGTAGCGCCTTAACAGCATCATCTTTTAAAATTTTAAATAGTTCAGCTGGAATACCATCACTTCCACTGGCCTTGCTATTTGCAGTGCTTTCTAAGGCCCATTTGACTTCACTCTTCAGGATGTCTGGCTCAAGGTCAGCAACCACACTACCTGGGGTGTACGAGCCATCCATATCTTTCTGGTATAATTCCTCTGTGTATTCTTGCCACCTCTTCTTGATGTCTTCTGCTTCTGTTAGGTCCTTACCACTTTTGTCCTTTATTATGGTAATCTTTGTACGAAATGTTCCTTTCATATCTCCAATTTTCTTGAACAGATCTCTGGTTCTTCCCATTCTGTTGTTTTCCACTATTTCTTTGCATTGCTCGTTTAAGAAGGCCTTCTTGTCTCTCCTTGCTATTTTTTGGAAATCTGCATTCAATTTCCTGTATCTTTCACTATCTCCCTCACATTTTGCTTGCCTTCTCCCCTGCTATTTGTAAGGCCTCATTGGACAGCCACTTTGCTTTCTTGCATTTCTTTTTCATTGGGATGGTTTTCGTTGCTGCCTCCTGTATAATGTTGCGAGCCTCCACCCATAGTTCTTCAGGCACTCTGTCCAGCAAATCTAAATCCTTAAATCTGTTCCTCACTTCCACTGTGTATTCATAAGGGATTTGGTTTAGATTGTATCTTACCGGCCCAGTGGTTTTTCCTACTTTCTTCAGTTAAAGCTTGAATTTTGCTATAAGAAGCTGATGATCTGAGCCACAGTCAGCTCCAGGTCTTGTTTTTGCTGACTGTATAGAGCTTCTCCATCTTTGGCTGCAGAGAATATAATCAATCTGATTTTGATGCTGCCCATCTGGTGATGTCCATGTGTAGAGTCGTCTCTTGTGTTGTTTGAAAAGCGTGTTTGTGATGACCAGCTTGTTCTCTTGACAGAACTCTATTAGCCTTTGCCCTGCTTCATTTTGATCTCCAAGGCCAAACTTGCCAGTTGTTCCTTTTATCTCTTGATTCCCTACTTTAGCATTCCAATCCCCTATAATGAGAAGAACATCCTTCTTTGGTGTCACTTCTATAAGGTCTTGTAAGTCTTCATAGAACTGGTCAATTTCAGTTTCTTCAGCACCAGTAGTTGGTGCATAAACTTGGATTACTGTGATGTTAAAAGGTCTGCCTTGGATTCGTATCGAGATCATTCTATCATTTTTGAGATTGCATCCCAGTACAGCTTTCACCACTCTTTTGTTGACTATGAGGGCCACTCCATTTCTTTTACGGGTTTCTTGCCCACAGTAGTAGATATGATAGTCATCCGAACTGAATTCGCCCATTCCCGTCCATTTTAGTTCACTGATGCCCAGGATGTCAATATTTATTCTTGCCATCTCATTTTTGAGCACATCCAACTTACCCAGGTTCATGGTTCTTACATTCCAGGTTCCTATGCAATATTTTTCTTTACAGCATTGGACTTTACTTTCACTTCCAGGCATATCCGCAACTGGACATCCTTTCGGCTTTGGCCCAGCCGCTTCATCAGCTCTGAATCTACTTGTACTTGTCCTCCACTCTTCCCCAGTAGCATGTTGGACGCCTTCCGACCTGGAAGGCTCATCTTCCAGCGTCATAACTTTTATATGCCTGTTGTCTTTGTCCATGGAGTTTTCTTGGCAGAGATACTGGAGTGGCTTGCCGGTTCCTCCTCCAGGTGGATCACGTTTGGTCCAAACTCCCCACTATGACCTGTTCATCTTGGGTGCCCTGCTCGGCATAGTTCATAGCTTTTCTGAGTTATTCAAGCCCCTTCGCCACGGCAAGGCAGTGATCCATGAAGGGAAAAATATATAATGCAGTATAAGAAAACAACTTCATGTATACATGTATGGATACATATCAGTGAGTGAGATCGTATATTGGAGGACACTAGCAATAATAATTGGCCTGTCAATGGCATCCTAATGCTATTTCTATAGGTAGGGAATTCCATCATTTGGGGACCACTATGGAAGCTTCTTCATGGGCCATCACCCCATGTACCTACAAGGGTGATGACACTGAAAGATGATTCCGCTGCTGCAAATGGTAACAGCCTGACTCGCACATACATGAGTACAGTCTTTTAGGACTTTAAACACCAAGGTGAGCATCTTGAACTGTTGCTGCTGTTCATCACCCAAGCTAGAGAAAGGCTAGGGTTTGTGTGTGTGTGTGTGTGTGTGAGAGAGAGAGAGAGAGAGAGAGAGAGAGAACTATTATATTCAATATTTCTTAACATTTGACAGCATACTACTGTGCTGAACTGTTTTTAAAAGAAAAGTAACTCTCATATACCATTGCTCATCCTCTCTGACAGCAGCAGCAGGAGCCAGAAAGCAACTAGTCAAGGCTAGAAAACCCAGTGTTGCCACTGTGACCCTTTGCTCAAGCAAGCAAAATGACCTTAGAGCCAGAAGTAGTTAGATGGCGGGGTGGGGTGGGGAGGTGATTCAGTTAAATATGAAAATAAGTGGTATCTTCACATGTTCCAGTCATTCACCAACTAAATTGGCTGACAGTTTCTATGAATCATGCTTCACAGTTATTCTAATGTACCTGCACTAAGGTTGACTTATCTTTGCACAGCATGTGTCATCTGCATTGTTGAGAAGACAAACAGAGGAGGTTGTGTTCTCCCCTTGATATGTGTGCATACTTTAACTTCAATTAGCATCATTAATCAGGAGAGGAATCGACCCGTGAGCCATTTTTAATTCTGCCGTGAGGTTTCATAGCGAATCCCAAGCACCGAGGAAAGACACACCCAAGTGCTGACAATGCAATATCACCTTGCTAGTTGCTCAGTCATTTCCCATATGCTTATCCTGGGAGACAGTTGACAGCTATGACAGAACATCAATTACTGTCATCCAACCATGTAGAAAACTACACGGAGGCTTATTTCAGCTTGCCTGTTACATTTCCACATGTGTTTAACTTTTTTGTAAGACAAAGTCTCTGTCTGCCATAACTTGGGTTCAAACTACATAATCACTTGTACGTGGGGAATGAAATTCTATACAGTTTTCACCTAATTGCAAATCTACCTAATTTTCACTTTTCAGCATAATATGCAAACCGAAACATAACCATCCTTCAAAATTACACGTTTCTGAATTTTGCACTGCAGTTCTCCTTTCAGTTAATGTGTACAAAAATGTATGTGCTCAGGTAACCTATGCACAAACATGTGTCTATGTGTGAAAATAACATTAAAATACATTGCATTAGGGGAAACTGCTTTGCAAAAATGTTTATATTGGAAAAATGTAAAATGTGTATATTAGGAGGGATTCACACTGAAATGCTAAAACATTTTCATGGAATATGGAAATTTGGGGAAATGAGAAATGGAGAGGAACCAAAATTGTCATATTTGCTCATCTCTGCACACTATATTAATGTACACAGGGAGATATATTAATTGTTGTTTAGTCATTTAGTCATGTCCGACTCTTCGTGACCCCATGGACCAGAGCACACCAGGCACTCCTGTCTTCCACTGCCTCCCGCAGATTGGTCAAACTCATGTTGGTAGCATTGAGAACACTGTCCAACCATCTCATCCTCTGTCGTCCCCTTCTCCTTGTGCCCTCAGTCTTTCCCAGCATCAGGGTCTTTTCCAGGGACTCTTCTCTTCCCATGATGTGGCCAAAGTATTGGAGCCTCAGCTTCAGAATCTGTCCTTCCAGTGAGCACTGAGGGCTGATTTCCTTCAGAATTGATAGGTTTTATCTTCTTGCAGTCCATGGGACTCTCAAGAGTCTCCTCCAGCACCATAATTCAAAAGCATCAATTCTTTGGCGATCTGCCTTCTTTATGGTCCAGCTCTCACTTCCATACATCACAACTGGGAAAACCATAGCTTTTACAATACGGACTTTTGTCGGCAATAATAATAATAATAATAATAATAATAATAATTTATTATTTATACCCCGCCCATCTGGCTGGGCCTCCCCAGCCACTCTGGGCGGCTTCCAAAAGAATATTAAAATACTGTGATACATCAAACATTAAAAGCATCCCTAAACAGGGCTGCCTTCAGATGTCTTCTAAAAGTCTGGTAGTTGTTGTTCTCTTTGACATCTGGTGGGAGGGCGTTCCACAGGGAGGGCGCCACTACCGAGAAGGCCCTCTGCCTGGTTCCCTGTAACTTGGCTTCTCGCAGTGAGGGAACCGCCAGAAGGCCCTCGGTGCTGGACCTCAGCATCCGGGTAGAACGATGGGGGGGGGGGAGACGCTCCTTCACGTATACTGGACCAAGGCCGTTTAGGGCTTTAAAGGTCAGCACCAACACTTTGAATTGTGCTCGGAAACGTACTGGGAGCCAATGTAGGTCTTTCAAGACCGGTGTTATATGGTCTCGGTGGCTGCTCCCAGTCACCAATCTGGCTGCTGCGTTCTGGATTAGTTGTAGTTTCCGGGTCACCTTCAAAGGTAGCCCCACGTAGAGAGCATTGCAGTAGTCCAAGCGGGAGATAACCAGAGCATGCACCACTCTGGCGAGGCAGTCCGCAGGCAGATAGGGTCTCAGCCTGCGTACCAGATGGAGCTGGTACACAGCTGCCCTGGACACGGATTTAACCTGTGCCTCCATGGACAGCTGTGAGTCCAAAATGACTCCCAGGCTGTGCACCTGGTCCTTCAGGGGCACACTTACCCCATTCAGGACCAGGGAATTCTCCACACCTGCCCACCTCCTGTCCCCCAGAAACAGTACTTCTGTCTTGTCAGGATTCAATCTCAATCTGTTAGCCGCCATCCATCCTCCAACCGCCTCCAGACACTCACACAAGACCGTCACTGCCTTCACTGGTTCTGATTTGAAAGAGAGGTAGAGCTGGGTATCATCCGCATACTGATGAACACCCAGCCCAAACCGCCTAATGATCTCTCCCAGCGGCTGCATGTAGATGTTGAAAAGCATGGGGGAGAGGACAGAACCCTGAGGCACCCCACAAGTGAGAGCCCAGGGGTCTGAACACTCATACCCCACCACCACTTTCTGAACACGGCCCAGGAGGAAGGAGCGGAACCACTGTATGACAGTGCCCCCAGCTCCCAGCCCCTCAAGACGGTCCAGAAGGATGTTATGGTCGATGGTATCAAACGCCGCTGAGAGATCCAGCAGAACTAGGAAACAGCTCTCACCTTTGTCCCTAGTCCGCCGGAGATCATCTAATTCTGATGTCTAATTCTGGCTGCCTGCATGCACACCATATTAAAAAAACAAAATAAGAAAGTGCTGCGTGGTTTGTTTAGTAATTGTTATTTATTACACAGATGTTGACATGTATCAAACTTGTCAGATGTTGGAATTAATAAAAAAAATGTATCAGCATTTTACTTTTTGAGCAATTCAGGGATTTTCAGCTAAAATCCAGTTCCTAAATATCACCAAGATTTTTCCAATGTTCCTTCCAGCTCTGTTAAGTCTATGATTCAATATCTCTACTCAGGTGTTACACTGATAGCTAAGACCAAGTCAAAAGCAGTAGGAGCCCCACCCCAGTGTTCCAGGTACTGACTAGCCACCCAACCCATCTCACATGAATTATGAGCAACTGCAGGGACAAAGTATTGTGCATACAACTGTGTTCACAAAGGCTTCCTTGCTGAAGGCATTCACACAGTACAGGTTGACACTATGGGCAGGACAAGTTGGCACATTCTGACATCAGGGATGGGGAAACTCAATGTGACCCCAGTCATGTGTTCTGAGTGTAACTTCTAAAAAGGACTTATAGTTCTATGAAATGTTGTCAGAGATTGCCACCTGGAACAGATTTCTTCATGAACAGTTCAGTGCTCTGAAGTGTCTCTGCTGTTGCTAAAAGAATGTCATTGTCTACCCAGGTTTTTGAATTTGTGCTGTTGTTGTTTTCCAAAGGGTTTCTGCTGCTGCATACTACAGCATTCTAGCATGTTGTAAAGCTGCACAACGCCTACAAAAACATTCTTACTCATTTTTGAAAATCAATGCATAATTATGAAAAGAGGGTCCTTCAACAAAACATTTGCTTCCTTATTCATCCAACTAGCTGTGGTGAGGACCTGGAAGACTTTCACAAATAAGATTCAGTATGTGCTAGTGGCCTTGTTTATATTTCACTTTCCTCTGTTGAACCTGAAATATTTACTTCGACAAAGATGTATTACTACACAGTGAACCAGCAGAAGATTCATCATAACACCCCATGATATATTTAAACTTCTCTTTAAGTATTCAGTGACAATTATGTACTGCTCTTCTTCACAGAGATGGATTTGAGCCTTCATAAGTTATGGTTGCTTAAGGAATTTTGAAAATTCTAATATACGTCAACCCAAGAGGTCAGGTTACAAGGATAAAAACTGAAAGGAATTAAGGCAGCACCCTTGACACCACCATAAGAAACTCAGAATGGAACATTGCACCAGGTTCTCAAATATTGGTTGCTTCAGAAATGAGCAAACCCACACTGAACTTTCAACAGGACTGCAGCTCCATCTCAGAGACTAGTTATGTTTCCTGTGAGCAAAGAGTTCAATTAAAGTGATCTTGCCTGTTTCAGTTTGACTTCACCCCCAAAGTGACACCCCTCCATTGCTCTCAAGATGGATGCCAACACCTATTATGTAAGTGACATACTATTTGTTTTCTTGGTTCCAATTTCACTTTCTATCCTTTAGAGATTAAAAAAGTGGTATATATTTAATGCAAACATCATCATCCCTTCCTTTGCCACATTGCTATTCCTTATTGATGAGTGAGTCCTTTCTCCTTACCATGACCTTTCCAGTCCTTTGAAGTCTGATGATTTTGCAACTCAGTCCCTCAAATTCAGGTGCTGCATTTTAAAACTGATTTTGCAGACTACAGTGTGGGCCTTGCTTTGAAGATTTGCTTCTAAACTCTAAACCACTTTCCAAGCACATTCTGTTCTAACGAGAGATAACTCAGAAAGTTGTAAGTTTTGTTAAACTAGGAGCTGTCAAGCTGGTAGAAATTATCAGTAATTTGTCATTGGACCAAACACCAAAGCTTATATAGGATTATGAGCGGTGAGAACAGAATGAAAAAAGACCACACTGTAGTAATATTTTTGATAGTTTTAAACATTAAAATTTAATGCACTTCTATTGGTTTTGGCTTCATTTCAAGGACCATTAAGCCATACCCAGGATCCCAAATACCCTGGAATTTCAAAAGCCATCTTGGTATCTGATTTGATCCTAGAATGTCCCTCCTCCCCTTCCAGTGCTGCCGCTGCCAAGCTCAGAGAGGAGGATGAGCCAGTGCTTGTCCTGGGCGACAGCAGTGAGGCGATTGTGAGGGAGCATTCTGTTGTCTCTCCATGGTTGCTGCTGCTGGCCTTGGGCAGCTTGTAGCAGCTTCTAGATAGTGGATGAGGAGGAGGAGAGTTTGCTTCCAGCAAAGCCCAGTCCTGCATGATGTGCCAGTTGAGGGACAGGCAGAGGGCTGCCCTGGGCAGAAAGATAGGAAGTGTAGAGTGGAACACAAGGAGTCTTGAATTTTTTGGAGAGAAAAAATGCTTTGTGCATCCACGGCTAATTTCGCCCCTTCTTAAATGATTTATTCGTGTGTGTTTTCCTTTTTGTAAATCTATCAAAGAATAAAATAAAATAAAATTGGGATTAAGGGGTTTTCTCGAGACTGTGGAGGTAAATCCAGATTCAAAATGGTCACAGTACACATGCATTCTTAGCTATACTTTCCACATATAGCATATGTAAAACAAGAAGCCAACTTTTGACCTTATCATTATAGGACAAAATGTCTCTATCGATGTTGTCGGACTATAACCCCCATCATCCCTGACCATTGGCTGTGCTGGTTAGGTCTGTTAGGAATTGAAATCCAACAACATCTGGAAGACCCATCCCTCCTGTACTGGCTTGGCTGTCCTTGTTCATAATCTCTGAACTATCTCTTCCTTCTCCTTCCATGCACACCAGAATCCATTGTGGGTTTCTGAACATGAGCAGCCACTAATTGGGGCAACTTTGCTCTGAAGTAGAGCACTTCAGCTAACAGAGTAGTCTCTTTACAACAGAATCAATCACTGGGCTTCTGTAATTTTGCCTGCTGAGTTCAGAAATATTTCCAAAGCTTTATAGGCAGTAATGCTCGTATTTTTTTTAGTTTTATTTCAATATCATCAGCAGGGGGGAAAGCGGGTCTTTCAATGTGTTCCTTCTGAGCTGAAAAATTAAAGAAAATATTTATGTTCAGATGTTTGTAATCATTGGAAATGAAGGTGATTTTCTCTTGTAAAAATAAGAAGTTCAGCACCATGGAAGAACAATGCTTCCTTATAACAATAGCACAAAGTCAGACAAAGCTTTGCTCCTGTCTGTTATCAAGTGTTTGAAAATTCACCAGAATGAGCACAATTTCAGTGAAGGTATACTAATCATAAAAACAATTTCACTGGTTCTGTTACTGAGGTTGCAAAAGAGCTTTGAGGTTTTCTTCTTCTTCCAGGACACAAGGAAATTTAATGATATGGAACATCAGATCAATGACAGTTGCACCTCTGACATATATGGATAAGGATTTTCATCTTTTATTTTTACTGTCATGGAAGTCATTTCATGCAAAGTCATGCAGTAGACATATTTCTGGTTTGTACATATATATATATATATTAAAAAACTTTGAAAATAATACATTGGTAATATAACTGTCTGAACAGTTAAGAATGGCAATGCAAGAAACATTCTCATAACACTCACCTCCAAAAATAAGCTGCTATTTATGTTAGCTACATAAAGTGTAATCTCAGACATTTTTTTCCCAAATGAATATATGATAATATTCTGTCTTCTTTCCCTATGCAATTTTCCTTATGTTGCGTTTTTTTTCTCTCTCTCTCTTTGGAAAAAAATAGTTATATATATTAACTATTAATTTATGAATGTATCAAAATATTCTCCACTTCCTTGAAGCTGACATGTTCTGACATCAGATTCTTAGTTAAAACAGATTGAAATATAAAATATTCCCAAACTAAAGACTGTTTCAATCATTATGCAGCAACAAACATAGGGTTACCACTGAGTAGAAATTCAGTTGATACTGACTCTCTTAAAAGGGTACCTACATTTTCAAATAACTTGCCCTCACATTCATATTTTACGTTCCTAGGTATACACAGAAAATCACAGTATGTGAGGAGAGTTGAAGGTATTGAATAGAGGTCTGTTTGCAAAAAGAGTACCTTGAACCTTTATAAAGTCATAAGGTGGCAATGGAGGTGAGAGAGATGCTCCCTTGGCAGGACAGAAAGTAGTCTTTTTTTCATTGGATTTCAGACGTTACTATTCTTTTCCATGAGCATTTCAGACCAATTGCATAGTTATCACTTAAGAAGGGTCCATTGCTTTCAAATGCTAGGTGTTCATTTTGACAATAATTTGATGCCAGTCATTCCAAACACAGGGGCCTAGTTGAAAAGCTATGCCCATATAGTTGTGAACCATCACCCAATTTCACATCCTCTGGGCTTGGAGCCTCATTAAAGGGCATTAATGGCTTAAAGGTTCTGTACCTCACTTGAATCTAAAAGGGGCTTTGAGCAGCTAATTATCTGATCTTGAAATTCAGCATCACTGCTGGAACAAATTTCTCTTAACCCCTAAGGAGGTTAATGGCTAAACTGTTACTATCTAGCTTGATCTCAAGGGCTATTCAATATGGCTGTTCTTTTTTGCTGAGAGAGTGGTTTGCATCCTGCATACTATGCATTTACTAACCACCTATTGTAAGCCCTCCAGCAAAGTTGTATCCTTGAGCTCAGCACTGTTGTGTGAGCCTTCCAGCTGCATATGCAAGTTAAAGCAGCACTCTGAGGTGCTGTGGTCTCATCCTTAGTAATTCTGGTCTAGCGAGATGGTGATTCATAGAATCGTAGAGTTGGAAGAGACCACAAGGGCCATCGAGTCCAACCCTCTGCCAAGCAGGAAACACCATCAGAGCACTCCTGACATATGGTTGTCAAGCCTCTGCTTAAAGACCTCCAAAGAAGGAGACTCCACCACACTCCTTGGCAGCAAATTCCACTGTCGAACAGCTCTGTCAGAAAGTTCTTCCTAATGTTTAGGTGGAATCTTCTTTCTTGTAGTTTGGATCCATTGCTCCGTGTCCGCTTCTCTGGAGCAGCAGAAAACAACCTTTCTCCCTCCTCTATGTGACATCCTTTTATATATTTGAACATGGCTATCATATCACCCCTTAACCTCCTCTTCTCCAGGCTAAACATGCCCAGCTCCCTTAGCCGTTCCTCATAAGGCATCGTTTCCAGGCCTTTGACCATTTTGGTTGCCCTCCTCTGGACACGTTCCAGTTTGTCAGTGTCCTTCTTGAACTGTGGTGCCCAGAACTGGACACAGTACTCCAGGTGAGGTCTGACCAGAGCAGAATACAGTGGCACTATTACTTCCCTTGATCTAGATGCTATACTCCTATTGATGCAGCCCAGAATTGCATTGGCTTTTTAGCTGCCGCGTCACACTGTTGGCTCATGTCAAGTTTGTGGTCAACCAAGACTCCTAGATCCTTTTCACATGTACTGCTCTCAAGCCAGGTGTCACCCATCTTGTATTTGTGCCTCTCATTTTTTTTGCCCAAGTGCAATACTTTACATTTCTCCCTGTTAAAATTCATCTTGTTTCTTTTGGCCCAGTTCTCTAATCTGTCAAGGTCGTTTTGAAGTGTGATCCTGTCCTCTGGGGTGTTAGCCACCCCTCCCAGTTTGGTGTCATCTGCAAATTTGATCAGGATGCCCTTGAGTCCCTCATCCAAGTCGTTGATAAAGATGTTGAATAAGACCGGGCCTAAGACAGAACCCTGTGGCATCCCACTAGTCACTCTTCTCCAGGATGAAGAGGAACCATTGATGAGCACCCTTTGGGTTCGGTCAGTCAGCCAGTTACAAATCCACTGAGTGGTAGCATAGTCAAGACCACATTTTACCAGCTTCTTTACAAGAATATCATGGGGCACCTTGTCAAATGCCTTGCTGAAATCAAGGTAGGCTACATCCACTGCGTTCCCTTCATCTACCAGGCTTGTAATTCTGTCAAAAACAAGATCAGGTTAGTCTGACATGACTTATTTTTCAGAAATCCATGCTGACTATTGATGATCACAGCATTCCTTTCTAGGTGCTCACAGACTGTTTGCTTAATGATCTGCTCCAGAATCTTCCCTGGTATTGATGTCAGACTGACTGGGCGGTAATTATTTGGGTCCTCTCTTTCCCCTTTTTGAAAATAGGGACAACATTTGCCCTCCTCCAGTCTGCCGGGACTTCGCCTGTTCTCCAGGAATTCTCAAAGATGACTGCCAGTGGTTCTGAGATCACATCTGCCTGTTCTTTTAATACTCTTGGATGCAGTTCATCTGGCCCTGGAGACTTGAATACATCTAGACTAGCCAAGTATTCTTGTACTATCTCCTTAGTTATTCTGGGCTGTGTTTCCTCTGCTGAATCATTTGCTCCAAATTCTTCAGGTCGGGCATTGTTTTCTTTATCGGAGAAGACTGAGGCAAAGAAGGCACTGAGGAGTTCAGCCCTTTCTGTGTCCCCTGTTTGCATTTCACCATCTTCTCCTCTGAGTGACCCCACTGTTTCTTTGTTCTTCCTTTTGCTACGAACATACCCATAAAAGCCTTTTTGTTGCTTTTAACCTCTCTAGCAAGCCTGAGTTCATTCTGTGCTTTAGCTTTTCTGACTTTGTGTCTACACGTGCTGGCTATTTGTTTGAATTCCTCTTTGGTGGTTTCCCCCTTTTCCATTTTATGTACACATCTTTTTTAAATCTTAACTCAGTTAAAAGTTCTTTAGATAGCCACCCTTGCTTCTTTAGGCACCTTCCATGTTTCCGTCTCATTGGTATTGCCTGACGTTGTGCTTTTACTATCTCCCTCTTAACAAACTCCCAGCCATCTTGAACTCCCTTTCCTTTTAGTATTACTGTCCATGGGATCTCACCCAGCACTTCCCTAAGTTTTATGAAGTCGGCTTTTTTAAAGTCTAGAAATTAAGTCCTAGTATGCTTGGCTGCTCCTTTCCGCTGTATAGTAAACTTCAGAAGAGCATGATCACTCGCGCCTAATGATCCTTCCACTTCTACCCCACTAACCAGGTCATCAACATTGGTTAGGACCAGATGGAAGAGGAAATGGCTGTTCCTCTTGTTGCTTCTCCCACTTTCTGGACAATGAAGTTGTCTGCAAGGCCAGTGAGGAATCTGTTTGACCTTATGCTCTTGGCTGAGTTTGACATCCAACAAATATCCGGGTAATTGAAGTCCCCCATTACTACTATCTCCCATCCTTTTGCATGCTTGGCCATCTGTTCCAGGAAAGCATCATCTATGTCCTCCGTTTGGCTTGGGGATCTATAGTAAACTCCCACAATGAGGTCACTGTTATTCTTCTCTCCCTTAATTTTGACCCAAATGCTCTCACTTTGGCTTTGAGGTTCTAAACCTTGGATCTCTTCACAGGTATACACATCCCTGACATATAACGCCACTCCTCCTCCTTCCTTGTTTGGTCTGTTTCTCTGAAATAGATTGTATCCCCCCATTATTACATTCCAATCGTGGGACTTATCCCACCAGGTTTCAGTGATGCCTATTATGTCATATTTAGTTTGCTGTACCAAGAGCTCAAGCTCATCTTGTTTATTTCCCATGCTTTGCGCATTAGTGTACAGACATTGAAGTCCATTAATCATTCCCCTGTGTCTCTTATTTAAGGATTTTTTCCTCCCACCACTAGGTCTGCGTGCTGTTTGCTCCATTTGGTCTATGACATTTGGATGATCATCTTCATCAATTGATAGACTCCTACCTTCAGGAGCAATGTCTCCTTCGCCCACATTAGTCAGTTTAAAGCCCTCCTGATGAGGTTTCTGAGATATTTGGCAAAAACATTCCTCCCAACCGTTGTGAGGTGCAGCCCATCACTTGCCAGAAGTCCATCTTCAAGTAACTGCAGTCCGTGATCTAAGAATCCAAACCGTTCCTGTTTACACCATTTGCGAAGCCAGTTGTTCACTTCCACTATTTTTCCCTCTCTCCCTGGGCCACGTCGTTCAACTGGGAGGACAGATGAGATGACAATTTGTGCATTTAATTGCTTCAATTTCCTGCCCAGAGCCTCGTAGTCTCTTTTGATCTTCTGGAGGCTATTGCTTGCAGTGTCATTGGTTCCCACATGAACCAAGAGGAAGGGGTATTTGTCAGTGGGTTTTATGATTCCTTGCAGTCGTTCAGTTACATCTTGGATCTTAGCCCCGGGGAGACAGCACACTTCCCGAGACATCTTGTCTAGCCCACAGATCACTGCTTCTGTTCCCCTCAGTAGGGAATCCCCTGTCACCACTACATGCCTCCTCTTAGGTTTGGTCGGGGTTCTTCCGTGAGCTGTCTGTTCCAAGGTCACCTGCACATTCCCTGAGGACTGACTTTGCTACTCATCTTCATATACCTGATCGACTGTAATGAGGGAGAGATCCTCAAATGGAGTCTGCTCTTCGTCTTCCATGCTAGGGGAGAGGACCTCAAAGCGATTGTGTATTTCTAAACAATCAGAGCGAACCCTGGACCTCCTACTTCTTTGAGTCATGTTTCTCCATACAGTGGTGCCCCGCAAGATGAATGCCTCGCAAGACGAAAAACTCGCTAGACGAAAGGGTTTTGCGTTTTTTGAGCTGCTTCGCAAGACGAATTTCCCTATGGGTTTGCTCCGCAAGGCTAAAACGTCTTGCATGTTTGTTTCCTTTTTCTTAAAACCGTTACAGTAATACAGGGTGCATTGCTTGAAGAGGTGCAGTTGCGACTTGACTTCGAGGAGCAACTCATAGCACGCGGTGTGGTAGCCTTTTTTGAGGTTTTTGAAGACTTTGGTGATTTTTGAAGCTTTTCCAAAACTTCTTTTGCAGCCATTTGGTAAGTTAAACTTTTAAAACTTTTTGGGGGGTTTTGGATTTTGGGTTGGGGTGTTTGGAATTCAAGGACTTGGTGTTGGGGAGGGGTTTGCAAGAATCTGGAAGCTCGTGTGGTTTTTTTTCTGAATTTTTATGATTTTCTGTGACCATTGGGCCACTCTGCTGTTTTTTTAAAAAAATTCTGGATTTGAATTTCTGTGTGGTGGGTGGCTGGGGGAACAGTTGAGGAGGGGGTTCTTCAGAAAGAAGCAAAGAGTGGAAGAGGAACCTTCTTCGAGTTGTCCCCCAGAGTCTTAGAAAATGTACTGTACACTTTGTTGATTTTTAAATGTTTTTCTGTCATGTTTAGAAACCTAATTTATTGTTCCTTCAGTTTTTGAAATGCTCTTTACAGTATGTGTGACTTTAAAGAGCACTTAATAAACTCTTGTTGTACCAAATTTGGCTTTGTTTGGACTTTTTTTGACCATAGGAACGCATTAATTGAATTTCAGTGCATTCCTATGGGATTTCGTGCTTCGCAAGATGAAAAATTCGCTAGATGAAAAAACTCGCGGAACGAATTAATTTTGTCTTGCGAGTCACCACTGTATATCTGGCTCCTGTGTTGGTGAACTAGCCTCCTTCTCAGGGGAGTACCCTGTCCCCTCCTTGGTGGAGACGGTGTGCTCTGTTGCTTCCAAGAAGAGCTCCAGCTCTCTAATTCTTTGGAGCGTAGCTACACGTTCCTCCAGTTGCTGGACTTTGTCTTCTAAGAGGGCAATCAACATGCAATTGCTGCAGGTAAAGCTGCCTGCAACCTTTGGCAAGATGGCAAACATTGCGCAGGAACCGCAGGCGACTGCAGCTGTTCCCTCCCCCTCCATCTTGAGAACGTGTCGTTGGGGGTGGCTACAGCTGTCCTCCATCATAAAAAGCGTGAAGACAGGACAAATAACTCCAAAAAACCCTAGGTCTCCCCCAACAAACGTTTGAGACTAGCTCCCCTAAATCTAAAAGATGGATCAAACTGCGCGCGCCGCTGCCCTGCAAGCTCTGATAAGCTCCTCCCACAGCTAATCACCTGCCTCAACAGAAACCCTGCCTCCTCTGACCTTTGCACAGGGAGAGCAGCTAATAAGCCACAAAGAAACACACACACAAGAAAACCCTTTTTGCTCCTTCTTCAGCTGCTGCCCTGCCCTGATTCATAATTCTTCTTTCCATCTTTCTGCAAATGTGGGTGAGGCAATGATGTACCTCACTTTATGTTGACTATCAAACCTGCCAGACACAGCCAAGCATCTCAAAGGAACAAGATGTGGGGGATGTCCTCTGGGTTGCCAGGGCAACCTCAGCTGAAACAGTCTGTACCAAAGAAGGGAGCAGCAGCCCGTGTCCCATGAGACTTTTCTTTTACTGAGCACAGCAGATGCACAATCTGAGTCATCCTATTTAAGGCTGACATGGCAGAAGGACAAGCAGACAGAACCATAGCACATCAAAGGGCCTGAATGCAGGGGAATACAGGAAGAAAATCTGAGTCTGAGGCCATCAAGGAACAAAGCGGAAGGGAAATTGGGTACAGCCAGCCTTGCCCTTACCCCACCCTGAGCCAGCAGGGTCAATAGAACCCAAAGGCCAATCAGAAGGTTCCAACCCTAGTCTGTTCTGCACCTCCTCTGCTGACACACACACACTTTGACACTATCGCTAAGTCAACCAGCATCATTTATTATGAGAAATGTTGCATTTCCCATTGTTAGGTAAGAGATTCAACAGTCCAAGCCACTATATCTCTCCCACCCCCCCACCCCCCTCCTGAATTGGCGTGTTCAGTGCATACAGCCAAATGAATTGACAGAATTTGCCTGTTCCTGTATGAGTCTGCTCAAGTTAGAACATTTGCTGCTGCTAAATAAATGGGTACCTAAGGCAGGGCCTTTTTGGTGTGTATGGCCCTGTCATCGCTGGTCATCAAGAGGAGCTATAAAGGCATCTGTATTCTTAGAAACTGGTTAATTTTAAGGTGCTATCCCTGCAAGTTTCTTTCTGTGTTTTGTTTTGTTTTGTTTTTAGGTATCAGGTATAAAATTCCTAACCTAATCTATTCCTGTTGGGCTATCTTTCTATATGTGATAATCTTTTTTTCCACAGAAAGGAGCCTTCAAAAATATTTTTCTCCTACCTGCAATTAGTGCAATTCAATGAACCACCTCAAAAATGCTACAATTTCATTATTACTTCATTGTCATGCATGTGTAGTGCCTTGCAAGCTAAATATGGGACTGTCTTTTCTGATCATATGTTTGAGAGTATGTACAAAAACATGCAGGCTACTTTCTTTTCTATTGATGTCAAAGTTTCATTCATCTGGCAGAAGCCCTGACGTTACTTTCAGCTGCTATATGTACATTTATGTGCTGTCAGATGATATTTTTCACTCTCTATTTATATATTCTGCTTTTGTTATGTCTGTTAAATTACATCAAGAAGAGATTTAGAATGAATGACAATAAGGTACCAGACATCTGTTGTTGTTTTTCACTCAAAGGCTTTTTTTTTCTAACCTCAGCTTTTTAAAAACCCTGAGCCATTCTTCTACAAAGCAAAAAAGCACAAAAGTGATATTCCTCAGAGGATCTTTTTATACCCCGCAAAGCATAGATTGAGATTGTGAATGAATTAGTCTGTGATTACACTTCAATGAATTCAGAGTAGAAGTAAAAGGATTTTCCTCTCTCCTCTGTGGATTGTGTGATTGAAAATGTGTGTCTGAGAAACTCTGGCCACTGGCTGTTAGAACAGAGTGGCGTCAATCTGAACATTGTTATTCCAGAAACTCTTCTCATTTTGCTGCTTTTTGTTGCAAAGGGCTCTTCCTGTAATCATTTTGCCTTGCGGGGAGGGGGCTTCTTATTTCTCCTCTGCTTTACTTAAATTTTGCCAACCTCTTTTTATAAGAGGAAATGGTCACATGCAGTGCTATTTTTCTAGAAAAGAGGTGCCGGAACTCACCACAAATGCCTTCCTCATTCTCTTGGATTAGGGTTACCAGACATCCCCGGTTCCTGGGGACAGTCCCCAGATTTGCAAATCTGTCCCCGAGAAATGTGGCAGCGGCAGCCTCAGCCTCAGCAGCCCAGAGGCAGCCTGGTAGCACAGTTGGCTCTGGCTGGCTTCAGGAGCTGCTCTCCAGCCAGAGCCAACTGCGCTATCAGGCTGGCTCTGGGCTGCTGACTGCCGCTGCTGCCACCACTGCCAAAGGGGAACCGGGGAAGTACGGTGGTACAGATCTCCTGCCCCCTTCCCCCTTTATTTTGACTGATCGGGGGAGGCTTGGGAGTCATGAGTGGGCAGCCGTTGCCCAGTTTTTAAAAACTCTGTGCATTTATGT